CCTCCCCCGGGAGAAAGGGAAAAGGGCCTAAAGGGAGAGAAGCCCATCAGGTGGGAGTCAGAGGGGAGTACTCCCCCCCCCCCGTGGGCTGCGTGCACAAAAACAATTATTGAGTCCCAGAGCGGCTGGCAGGTTGTTCCAGGGGAGGCAGCTTCTGTACCCCCGCCCCGTCTTTCTTCGGGCCCCACTTTGGGGGTCCCTGAGCGGCAGAGCGTCAAGCCCCACAGCCCTCAATCCTCTAATTCCCCCCCCCCCCAGGAGTCCCCAAGCCCTGGTGAGGAGAGGGCAGCGGAGAGGTCAGGACAAGGCTGGTGGCTGCTGGGCCCCAGCCAGGACAGAAGCAGCAAAGCCAGCAGCTTCCCAGGAGAGAGAGGGAGGCAGGGGCGGGAGCCAACGGGTCCCGACTGGATGGTCTTCTGCAAGAGCAGGTGGGTCCCACAAGGCCTCCTGCTCATCCCCAGCCAGCACAGCCCACCTGCCCTCTGCCTCAGTGGCTGCCCTTGCCACCGTGCCCGGTCTGAGCGGCCCAAAGGGAAACCCTGGCAGGCGGACCCCAGTGCCAGGACGGTGGGTGTTGTGGCGCAGCAGCAGGCAACACCCCGGCTTAGTTGTGCCTCTCTCTGGAGAGGGTGGGGCAGGCCAGAGGCTCTACAGCAGTGGTGGCGAACCTATGGCATGCGTGCCATCTGTGGGCACACGCACTGTTGCCCCAGCCCCGCCTCCTCCCACGGCCCCCTCACCAGCAGACCCCCGGAGGAGAGTCGCCCCTGGACATGGCCCACATGAAGCAGCGCAGCCAAGGACATGGTAGCCGGGCAGCAAGGACAAGACTACACCCTTGCACCCCGTCGTGCGCAGATGATGCAGGGCACAGGCGGAGGGCATGGCTGCCATGGCGCTGCTGGCTACCTGCGTGATCTGTGGTGGGCCGTGGAGGTGGTAGGTGGCCCAGTGGACACAGCAGAGCGGGGACGGGTGGGGGCGGTTTCTGGGCACTCGATCGCTAAAAGGTTCACCATCACTGCTCTAGAGCAGTGTTTCTCAACCTCGACAATTTTAAGGCATGTGGACTGCAACTCCCAGAATTCCACAGCCAGCATTGCTGGCTGTGGAATTCTGGGAGTTGAAGTCCACATGCCTTAAAATTGTCAAGGTTGAGAAACACTGCTCTAGAGCAATGTGGGGTGAAGCTACCCCAGCAATAACGCCAAGGAATATGGTCAGCCTCTCCTGTTCTGCCAGGACAGCCGGAAGGAAAATAGACAGGCGGTCCTCATCTTACAACAATACGTTTATCGACTCTCAAAGTTACAAAGACACCTGTGATTGTTTTTCACACTTGCAACGTGTGGTCACGTGATCAGAATCCAGGCGCTTGGCAACTCGTATCTGTGACGGTCATGATGTCCCCAGGCGGGATCACGTGATCCCTTTTGGCAGCCTTCTGTCAATCCAAGTCAATGGGAAATCCGGATTTGCTTAGTAACTGTGTTACTAACTGGAGAACTGCAGTGATTCGCTTAACAACGGTGGCAAGAAAGGTCGTATAACGGGGCAAAACTCGCTGAACAACTGTCTTGCTTAGCAACAGAAATTCTAGGCTCTGTTGTGGTCGCAAGTGAAGGACTAGCCGTGCATTGAGCAATAAAGGAAGTTCTGGGTTCAGGGAGATCCTGTGAAAAGCAGATTTTTTTAGAGCCCTTCAGAATCCGCTTCCTTGTTTTGGTACAGTTGTCATAATATTTTGATAAGAGTGTTGGGCAGAGATTGTTAACACTCCGATGTTGACAGAGCCGGAAGTTTCCCAGACAGAGAAAAAGACGTTTGTGTCGGTATTAATTGCGATTTAATATGTGGATGCCAATAAGTAAGGTTAATCTTTCATCCAAAGCTAAACAAATTAATAAACAAATACAAGTTATATCAATAAACATATTACAAAACTGTACAATAAACATTGCTAGTTTAACTTAGCTACTAGTTAATGCGAAGATCTCCGTTATACCATTACTTATTGTGTGTACATGCCAGAGAAAAACAGAAGACAAAACAAAACGAAGAGCAAAAATAAAGTTATTCCGTTTCCCTCTTTTTTGCGCCTCTAGTCATTTGCAATGTACATACTTGACCTGCTGCCTGATGCATTGTGTGCAGGGGGATGTTCTTGCTTAAATTTGATGAAGCTGTTCATTTTGGGGCTGCACCAGGGGTACCCGCCCACTCGTGGGTCAGGTTCAAGGTCCCATTCTGAGCTGGCCTTGCCCCAGATCTGGTTCTGGAATGGGGCAGGCACGGAGCAACTGCACCCCAGAGCTGGCAGCAGCCCCCACCCCCAGCATCTCGGAGGGACCCAGCCTGGTTGTGCTCCCCCCTCCGCTCAGTGCCTGCCCTCTGCTTCAAGGCGGGGGCCACAGCCCGTGCCAGAACTTTCCCCAGGGGTCAGCTGGCCCCAGGGGTTCCTGGCAAGCCTGCAGAGGGCACCTCAACCCAGCTGGGGGCCTTCCTGGCTCCCGCCCAGCCTTGCGGTTCCGGCTTGTTTTGCAGAGGAGTGTTGCAAATTAACCTGAGATGAATCAGCCCCTCTAGGCCCGCAGGAGGACAGAAACCGCAGGGGGGGGGCATGAAGGAGCAGGGAAGAGGGGAGGCAGCTGGAACTTTCTTGGGGGCAAAGGTCAAGGCCAGCCCTGAACCCCTGGCTCCCCTGCCTCATCTCTTCTGCCCGTGGCCAGAGACCAGAGCCAGCGAAGGGGGGAATTGAAACTGACCTTCCCTGCCCATGGGGAAACTGAGGCAACTCAAATCAGATCGGGGATCTGTCAGGAGGAAATCACTGGGGGAGGGGGTGTTCATAACCTGGATTTTTACACCAAGAGTATGCTTTCGGTCTCCCCAAGACTTTGGGGGAGACGGTTGTCCTTCCTACGCTTCTTCTGGGTCCTGTACGTCTAGCCAGCCCCTCCGGGAGCTGATGCCACGCGTGGCCTTCAAACGTCCCCAGGCAACACGGGTTCCCACTGAAGGGAAGCAATCCGATGCCGCAGGAAGGACCCCCATCTTGGCAATCCCTGGGGTTCCAGCCCCCCCCCCGTTCCATCCTTGGGAAACAGTGTGGCCTTTTCTGCTCTTGCGATATAAATTCATACAGCTGGTCCTTCACCACTCAAAGTTACAACGGCAGTGAAAAATACGATTTAGGGCTGTTTTTCACACTGATACCCTTTGCAGCGTCCCCAGGGTCACGTGATCAAAATTCAGACACTTGAATCACTTAACAACCGGGTTACTAGCTTATCAACTGCAGTGATTCAACTGTGGCAAGAAAAGTCGTAAAACGGGGCAAAATTCACTCAACAAGTATCTCAATTTAGCACATAAATTTTCTGGTTGTAAGCCGAGGACTACATGTAGTGCGAGTCCCAGCAGAAGGAAAGTTTGTGAGAAATGCACAATCAGGAAAACCTGTTCAACTCCCTCACCCCCGCATTTCGAAAGCAAACAATCCCCCCCCCGTCCTCCTTTGTGCAGACTGCAGTTTATTGTGTTCCCAAAATATTAAAAACTCAGCCACATGCTCAAGGACGGCCCCTCCCTCTCCCACATAAACCACTCACCCCAAGAAGGGGGGAGGGGTTCCTGGAGGGTGGGGTGACACCCAATTTGCCTCTTTTCCTTAAAAGCTGCAGACCCCCTCTTTGAGGTGGCAATGGCTTCAGACGGAATGGGGCCTGCAGGACCCCTTCCCCCCTTGGTGGACAGCCTACCCACCTGGGGCAAAATCACTTGCAGGCCCCCCACCCCCAATCCTTTGAGGAGGGGCTGGAGAGTGTGAAGCAAGGGCGGCGCCGGGGGGGGGGGGAAGGGTCTGTTCCTGGCAGCTTTGTGCAACCTCAGATGAGGCAAGGCTCTGGTGAGCAAGCCCCAATCGGCACATCTGGGCACCCTCTCCGGGAGGGCTCCTAATAAGGCAACTGCTCCGAAGGGCTGGGGGAAGCGGAAGTTGCGGCCGGCTTGGGGAGGGGGGGGGGCTGAAGGGCAAAGCTGGGCACACTAACACTTCCCCCCCCGCCACACACACACGCGCGCGCGCACCCGGAGCCTGGGGGAGCGCAGGGCTGCCGTCAATGCTGCGCTGACTTGGAGAGGGGCACGAAGCTCCTTGCCAGTATGGGTGCCCCCCCAAGAGGGGTTTCCACCTGCAAGGAGCTCCCCCCGCGGGGGACAGGAGAAAGAGGGAAAGGGGGGGCAGTGGAGCCCCTCTGGCGGTGGGCCATTTCCTCTTCTCCAAGTCCCAGCAGCCACAAAAGGCTCAACTGGGGGGGAGGGAGGCAGGCGGGGGTGGCTGGGCAGGGGGAGAAAGAGGAGCCCTCCTGGGCAGTCCAGTTCTACTTCTGGGGAGACCCTGCAGCCCCTCCAGCAACTCCCCCCCCCCAGTAGGCTTGCAGCTCCCTGACTGGCCGGGCCAGCCGCAATGCAGCCTCTGCAGCTGCAACTGGAGCCTCCTTCCAGGCGCCCCGGGGACAGCTGAGTCCCTCCCGGGCGCCCCTCTCAATCAGAGGCTAGGGGCGCAGCGGGGCACCGGGACGGCCCTTTGCCCGTGGGAGGCTTCTCTCCCCGCAACGAAGCCTGAGGGACTAACCACGGTTTGCTAAACCGACTTTTTTTCAAAGAAGCCATGATTGCCTCCCCATCACACAAACCGCGGTTTGCAAAACACCCCGACCGAGACCGCGCGACGGGCTCGCCTGCATTGGAGCCCTGCGCCGGCTTTGTCTGCTTCGCTCTCCGGGCGGCAAAATCGCCCCGCCAGTCTTTAAACCACGGTTAAGCACAAACCATGGTTTACAGCATCCCCGTCCCGGCCAGACTCGCAACTCCGGGAGAGATGCCGGCCCCGCCCCGCACGCACGCACGCACGCTCGGCAAAGGCCATCGGCGCTTTCGCGGAAGCCGACGAAAAGTAGTTCCGAGCGTAGATGCGCGTCACTCTCACGTTCCCTACAGAAATAGTTCCGGCAGCAGCGATGTCGGCGACGGGAAGGGCCGAGCGCCGAATCCCTCCGCCGGCTGAGAGAAGTGGCCATGGCGTCTTCACGGGTGCCGGAACAGAAAGAGCGGCCACCGACGGAGCCCCCGGAGCCCCGCGAGGCACCGGCCGGCGGTGAGGCAGAGGCGGCGACGGGGCGGCGGGTGCCCGCGTCGGCTTTCGGCCGGCGGCGGAGCGAAGGGCAGCCCGGCAAGATGGCGGCGGGCGAGCGGGGCGCAGGCAGCGCCAGGGGCAGCCCGGCTCGGACAGGCCCCGAGGAGGGAGGGGCGGGCGGGCGGCTGCGCGCGGGGGTCCGAGACCCTCCCCCTCCGTCTCGGCCCCCCTCGCCTCGCGCGCCCCGCAACCCCCCCTCCCGCCTGACCCCTCCCCGCCCCTCCCCCCGCAGGCCCGGCCCCGCAGAGCGGCGGAGGCGACGGCGACCCCCGGCCCGGGAGGGGGGCGCGGGAGGAGGAGGAGGAGGGCCCCGAGCGCGGCCAGGGACCCGGCCCGGCAGAGGCGGCGGAGGAGGATGAGGGTCTGCCCGGCCCGCCGCCCTCGGAGGAGCCCCCCCCAGGTGAGCCCCTCCCCCACCCCGGGCAGGGCGCGCGGGGGGTCTGGGGTCTCCCGGCGGGGCGAGTGACGCGCGGCTCTCGCAGGCTCCCGGCAGCGGCGGCGGTGGAGGGCCGAGGAGCTGGTGGAGGAGGTGGTGGTGCGGCGCTTCCAGTGCCGGCGGTGCTCCTTCCGCAGCGCCGCCCGGCAGACGCTCCTGCGCCACGTGCAGCGGAGGCACCTGCAGCCAGGTGGGCCGGGAGGGGGGGAGGGGTCTGCTGTCATCCGGGGGGAGGCAGGGGGAGGGGTCTGCTGTTTCTTATCCCCGGGGGTGAGAGGGGAGGGGTCTGCTGTCACTTATCGGGGGGGTCTGCTGCCCCTTATCCAGGGGGCAGGCAGTAGGGAGGGGTCTGCTGCTCCTTATCACTATGGGGGGAGAGGGGAGGGGTCTGCTGTCACTTATCAGAGGGGGGAGAGGTGATGGGTCTGCTGCCCTTTATCACTATGGGGGGAGAGGGGAGGGGTCTGCTGTCACTTATCAGAGGGGAGGGGTCTGCTGCCCCTTATCCAGGGGGCAGGCAGTGGGGGGGGGTCTGCTGCTCATTATCACTATGGGGGGAGAGGGGAGGGGTCTGCTGTCACTTATCGGGGGGGGGGGTCTGCTGCCCCTTATCCAGGGGGCAGGCAGTAGGGAGGGGTCTGCTGCTCCTTATCACTATGGGGGGAGAGGGGAGGGGTCTGCTGTCACTTATCAGAGGGGGGAGAGGTGATGGGTCTGCTGCCCTTTATCACTATGGGGGGAGAGGGGAGGGGTCTGCTGTCACTTATCAGAGGGGAGGGGTCTGCTGCCCCTTATCCAGGGGGCAGGCAGTGTGGGGGGGGGTCTGCTGCTCATTATCACTATGGGGGGAGAGGGGAGGGGTCTGCTGCCCCTTTTCAGAGGGGGGAGAGGGGAGGGGGTCTGCTTATCACTGGTGGCTGAGGGGCTCCTCCTCTGGCTGCAGGATGTGGGGACCCCGCCCCGAAGAGGGGCCGCCCTCGCAAGGGGGCTGCGGTGCCCAAGGAGGAGGAAGGGGGGCAGCATCAGCAGGAGGAAGAGGAGGAGGAAGACATCGTGGACGCCGGTGCTATCGATGACCCCGAAGGTCAGAAGGGGGGGCCAGACGCAATGGAGCCCCCTCCCCGCCTTGCACGTCTGCTGCCGCCGCCCCACCAGTGCCCACCCATGTCCCTCTGCAGGTGACAGCGACTACAACCCGGCGGAGGATGAGCCCCGCGGGCGCCTGCCCAAGATCGGTTGCCCGCTGCCCTCGTGCCCCAAGCAAGGACTGCGCCGGCGCCCCGGGAGGCCCCGCAAGTTCCCTCGCCTGGAAGGGGCCCCTCGGCCGGAAGGTAAGGGGCCGCGGGGGGAGGGGGAGGAAGGGCCGGCGGGCAGGAAGGTCTTTGCGAGGGGCAGAGATGCTCCTGTGACTTCTGGCCTGGGCAGCAGAGACCACCGCAGACTTTCTGGGCTCCTGTCCTGCCTCTCTCCGTTGGGCAAAGCTGCCCTCTGTGCTGAAGGGCGGTTGAGAGTCCTGACAGCAGCTCCTGCAGGCAGCCCCCCTTGGGGAGAAAAGCCTGGAGGATTTCCAGGGACTCTCCCAGCGGAAGTAAGACCTGCTGCTGCTTGCAAATGGGCCTCTGTGGAGGATTGGGTCCATTTCCTGTCTTTTGCGCATCAACAGGCGCGTTTCCTGCTGCGTCCCGATTGCTTTAGCCAGCAGGGAGGCTTTTTTGGTTAATTCCGGAGCCTGGAGGCCTCCTGACTCCGGCTTTCTCTTCGCTTCTGGGGCCTCGTTCGATGTTACCCGCCAGGCCAGCTCAGGAGAGATGCTTCTTGACCCCAGGCAGCCCCTTTGCTGTCCGGGCTGTTCCCTTGACCGTCTGTCCCCAGAGGGGGCCAAGCGGAGATCCCACCGGGGAACGGCCGCTCCCCCTGTACAGGACAGGATCCGGTGGACATTTCCTGGGTGTTGCCGGCAGCACTTCGCCTTCTCTATTGCCATTGGCTGCTGCTGCTTTGGAGACCTGGATCTCCACGGCTGAATCATTCCCTCGGCAGGCGGTGAAGTGGAGCCAGCCGTCCCCTCGCCCTGTGACCCGCAGGGCTCCGAGGTGGCCAGCTCCGTCCCCCCTGGCGCCAGTCGCCTCGCGGAAGTGAGCCAGTCGGATTCGGAGAACAGGGACCCATCGTCCCACGGCGAGCCTGAGGCACTTCCTCGCCGACGAGGCCGGCCCTCCCATCGGTTCCTGGGCAAGAAATACCGCAAGTACATGGGGCGAAGGCGAGAGGCGGGGTGGCTCTGGAAGGAGGCCTCTGGCTGGCCCCCCCGCAGGTGACACCCCCCCCTGCGCCTCCCCGCAGGTACTGCTACAAGTCCGCCAAGCCGTTGATGCGGCCATACCTGTGCCGGATTTGTGGCTCCCGCTTCCTGACCCAGGAGGACCTGCGCTTCCACGTGAACTCCCACGAGGCCGGGGACCCCCAGCTCTTCCGCTGCCTGCAGTGCAGCTACCGCTCCCGGCGCTGGTCCTCGCTGAAGGTGAGTCTCCTCCCGCCGGCCCCTCCCCCCGGCAGGGAAGCAGCCGTTGCCGGAGCCGACAGCCTCTCCTCTGCCTCCCGCAGGAGCACATGTTCAACCACGTGGGTCGGAAGCCCTACAAGTGTGAGGAGTGCGATTACACCAGCGTGTACAAGAAGGACGTCATCCGACACTCTGCTGTGCACAACCGGGACAAGTGAGTGCTGGGCGGGGGGCGCTCTGGACCCCTCCTGGCCTTGTGCGGCCTCCGAACCTGGCGGGGCCTTCCTTCTGCGGTCCACTTTCCTGACGAAGCCTTTTCCCTCTTTGCTTTGTTCCAGGAAAAAGAGACCCGACCCAGTAAGCAAGGAGGCTCTCCTGAGCCTTGGCCTCTTTCCCCTCCACACACACACTCCCCATCCCCCCCCACCCCCATAGGCCCCTTCTGATTGGGAGGGGGCCCCAGCTTGGCTCTGTCCTGGAAACTAACCTTGTTTCCGGGCTTTGTGGTCCTGCCTGGCCAACCCTGGAGCAGCTGGTGGTCTCCTGCAGAGCCCCTCCCTGCCTCCCTGGGCCCCCTCCCAGCGGCTGACCCAGTGGGGTCTCTCCCCTCCAGGCTCCCAAGCGCAGTTCCTTCCCCTGCCCGGTCTGCGGCCGAGTCTACCCCATGCAGAAGCGGCTCACCCAGCACATGAAGACGCACAGCTCCGAAAAGCCCCACATGTGCGACAAGGTGGGCGTGGGGCTGCCGGGGGGGAGGAGGCACAAAGCCCGGCCCTGTGGGTGACCCCGGCTGACCCCTCCGCCCTCTCGCAGTGCGGGAAGTCCTTCAAGAAGCGCTACACCTTCAAGATGCACCTGCTGACCCACATCCAGGCGGTGGCCAACCACAGGTGAGCGTCCCCGGTGGAGCCTTTGGGGCGGGTCTCCCTGCGGCTCTTCTGGGCCGCTGCTCACCGGGCTCCCCTACGGGCAGGTTCAAGTGCGAGTTCTGCGACCACGTGTGCGAGGACAAGAAGCTGCTCCTCAACCACCAGCTGCTCCACATCAACGACCGCCCCTTCCGGTGCAACCTCTGCCCCTACGCCACTGTCCGCGAGGACTTCCTGCTCTCCCACGTGGCCGTCAAGCACACAGGTGCCGGCAGGGGCGGGGCCAAGTGCGGCTGGCAGTGACCGCGGGAGGACAGCCGCGGGAGGAGACCACCTCGGCTGCCTTGGGGGTCAGAGGCTTTGTGCAGGGCTTCCCCCCCCCATATCCCAACTGTGGGCCCTTCATTTGTGGCCTTCTGCCATTGTGGCCTCGGGGTGCCAACAGCTTTTTACTGCCCCCCCCCAAAGAGTCCTGGAGCTCCTTCCTGGGTACGCCCACCTGTTTTCCTGGCCTGTGGCGGCTTCTGTAGGAGGCCGAGTTGCAACTTCGGTTGCACCAATAAGAATAAGTAGAATAAATTTGTGTGCTTTCCGATTGCCGGCAGCTTTGCAGTTTATGGTTGGCAAAGCGTCTCAGAGCAAAGAAGGGTGCAGAAAGCGAAAGTGGCCCAAGACCAGTCGAAGGCAAACTCCTGGGGGGGGGCCTGAAGGGGCCGAGAGGACATTGGCCATTGTCCGTGCCAAGAGGCAGCTCTTCAAGGCTCTCCAAAATGCCAGCAGGGTGGGAGCCCTTGACCTTTCTGGGGGGGGGGCAGCCTGGCCGCAGTGCCCCAGACAACCACAGGCCTCTGAAAGGGGGGGGGGGTGCTGTGTGATGAGTTTAGCCCGCCATCTTATAGCCCAGACCGGAGGGGCTCGGGCGGGGGGCGTGGAGGAGCGAAGCGGCAGGCAGGGCCGCCCAGCCTCTCACCCCCCCCACCCCCGCAGGCGGGAAGCCCTTCGGCTGCGAGCTCTGCCACTTCTCCACCAAGCACAAGAAGAACCTGCGCCTGCACGTCCAGAGCCGGCACCCGGGGGCCTTTGAGGAGTGGGAGCAGCAGCACCCGGAGGAGGGGCCCTGCCGCCGGCGCCCCTTCTTCACCCTTCAGCAGATCGAGGAGCTGAAGCAGCAGCACGGCCTGGCCCAGACGCCCCCCGAGGGCCCCCCGCCCGTGAGTGGCCGGTGCCCGCCCTGGGGGAGGGGGGTCCCCTGCTGCTGCTGCTGCTGAGGCCGCCGTGGTGACCAGCCGGCTCTTCCCCTCAGGTGGCCTCCCCCCAGGGGCAAGGACCCCCCGACCCTTCCCAGGAGCCCTTGCAGAGCGCCATCCTTCTCTTCGAGTCAGGTACCCCCCCCGGGGGAGGGGGGAGGGTCGGGCAGTCAGGCAGAGCCCCCCTCGAGATGGGCAGACCTGCGGCTGGGGATGCCAGCCCTTTGGTCTTAACTATTGGGCCGCAGCTTGTGACTTCCCTCGGGCAGGACCGGGCTAGCAGCCCCTGCCCAGGTCCACCACCAGCCCCACTCCCCCTACATTCGGGGGGCCTGGGAGCCAGGCTGCCTTGGGCCTTTCTCCCACGATCGGATCTGGGTGCGAAGATCAATCCGAAAGGTTAAATCGTGGCAACTGGACCAAAGTTTATAAAGACTAAGACGTTTCGTTACTTGTTCTAGTTTTGGGCAGGTAGAGAGTCAGAGTTGTTGGAAGGAGCCAACTCTTGCCATACGGACTGGGTGGGGGGTGCAGAGGGGTGTTTCCCCCCCCCCCGTCGGATCTGCACAGGAGGCTGGGAGAGGGAAAAGCCGCTTGGGGAAGGCAGGCTTTGTTCTGAGGCCAGAGAGACCCTCCCTCCCCCCCTTTTTGGGGAGGCCTGGAGGGGAGAGCCAGGCGGGGGATGCCCGCTGGTGCGTGTGATTCCCTGCGCTGAGATCCCCAACTTTAGAGAGAACAGCTTGGAGGGGGGCTGGCAGTTCAGGGCCTCACTTTGACCACTGCCCCCCCCCAGAGGTGGAGAGCTCCACAGAGGTGACCACGCAAACCGCCCTGGACCTCCTGCTGAACATGCGCGGCCAGCGGGAGCTGCCGGCCAGTGCCCTGGAGGTGAGGATGGGGGGGGGATTCCCAGCTCCTGCAGGAGGGGGGGCGGAAGGGGCAAAGGCCTGAGCCTGACCGGGCTGTTCCTGCAGGTGGCCGTGGTGAAGGCGGTGAAGAAGCCCCCGGAGACCCAGGGCCAGGACAAGGAGCTGCAGGCCAGCCTCCTGACCGCCCAGGGGGTGGAGCAGAGGGAGCCCCCCCTCCCGCCCTCCCCGGGTGCCCCTGAGGTCCAGCACATCGCCGTGCCCTTCTGCGGCGCCTCCGAGTACAGGGTGGTCACCCCCAGGGCAGAGGTTGCCGGCACGCTGCACAGGTGAGTCTTTCTCCGGGGGGGGGGAGGTGCTGCCATCTGTGCGAGGGGAGATCGACTTCCTTCAGCTCCTCCTCCCTCTTGGGCCCATTTCCCCTCCTCTCTCGGCAGTAAGGAGGAGGCCCCTGGCGAAACCGTGCAGACGGCGACCCAGGACTCCCCGAAGGGCCCTGCGCTCCTAGAGGGGCCCCAGCAGCAGCAGCAGGAGCCCCCAGCCCCTCCTGGGGAGGTGAGCAAAGACCCCCCTCCATCCCCCAGAAGCCTTTGCGCCCCCCTCCCAGGGAAGGGCTCGGAGCGGCTCCCAGCCGAGCGTTGGTCGGGGCGGGTGTCGGCCCGCTTGGGGCCCTCCCTGGGCCGCTCTGCCAAAGGGGCCCCTCCGTGACCATGACAGATCTCCCCACGGCAGATCAGTGTGGAGCCCCTGCCGGCCGTCCAGTGGCCGGTGGTGCGCTGCCTGGCCTGGCAGGCCCCGGAGCAGCAGGAGCCGGAGGCCGGCGCGATCCCTCTGGTCCTGGCGGAGCAGCCCTCGCGCAAGGCCCCCCCGGCCAAGAAGTTCTCCTGCAAGATCTGCAGCGCCTCCTTCGCGGGCCGGGCGGAGATGGAGAGCCACAAGAGGGCCCACGTGGGGCCCAGCGGGTTCAAGTGCCCTGACTGCCCCTTCACGGCCGCCGCCTGGCCGGAGGTCCGGGTAGGTGCTCGGGTGCGGGGAAGGCGGCTCCGGGGAAGGCTGGCCGCTGGGACCGGGGGCCTCCCCTCGGGCGGGGGCAGCTGGGACCCTTCTCACCCCACCCCCGCCGCGCCCCCTCCCCAGAGCCACCTGGAGCAGCACGCCAGCCTCCGGCCCCACAAGTGCCAGCACTGCAGCTTCGCCTCCAAGAACAAGAAGGACCTGCGCAGACACACCCTGACGCACACCAACGAGAAGCCCTTCGCCTGCCACATCTGCGGCCAGAGGTGAGCCGGGGAGGGGGCCTCTCTTGCAGGGGAGGGGGCCTCCGGCCTTGACAGCCGAGTGAGGGCAGCCCTCCTCCCCCCTCCAGGTTCAACCGGAAGGGCCACCTCAAGTTCCACATGCAGAGGCTGCACAGCTCCGAGGGAAGGCCGGCCCCCGAGCCCCTCCCGGCCACCTCCCAGACCATCATCCTGAACAGCCACGAGGAGACCCTGGCCACCCTGCAGAGTAAGCGGGCGGGCGGGAGGGAGGGGGCTTCTCCCCCCCCCAAATCCTTGGAAAGGAGCCTCTCCAGCTTCGCTTCCCTCCCTCCCCCACCCCGACTGGCCTTCAGCCCTGGGGAGGGGCTGCCGGTGGATGGCCGGAGCCTGCCTGGGGCTCGGCCGCTGGGCCTCTTGGGGGTCATCGAGCAGAGGCCAGCCAGCAGCCCGACTCCTCTCTTCTCCGTTCCACAGCGGCCCTGCAGTGCGGGCCGGAGAGGCTCCCGCAGGCCCTGGAGCAGGAACACATGATCGTGACCCAGGAGGAGGACGGCCCCGACGAGGTGAGGAGCCGGCCAGGCTGAGGGGGCTGCGTGGAGCTCAGGGTCGCCCATTTTACCTGGGGGGGGCAGCCCAAGGTCAGTAGGCAGCTCAGAGAACTCCCCCCCCCCCAGATGAGATCTTGCAGCCAGGAAAACTGCTCTTGTAGAGAAGTGGGCGAAGAAGAGAACAGAGAGGTAGTTTGGCTGGGTTGACAAAATGCGGTGGCTGCATTCACACGACCTGAATTCTAGCAGACGAGGAGGCCTTAGTTCTGCTGATCTTTGCGGCGCTTCCTGCCTGTGGGGGAGCCTCCAGTCTGGGGCACGTTGGAGGAATCGGCCCTCCCGCCCCCCCTTTGCCCCTCCCCCTCCGATTTGTCTTTTGCCCCTGGCTGGGCATGAGGGCCGCTCCCCGCCGTGGGGGGGGGGCAGGCTGGGTGCGATGGCTGGGCGTCTGCTTGCAGGAGGAAGCCACCTACATCCAGGAGATCATGGCCACGGCAGACGGGCAGATGGTGCAGCACCTGGTGACCACCGAGAACCAGGTGAGGCCGCTGCCGGTCACCCCCGGAGGGGATCTTGGGGGTCTGCCCACCGACGGCCCCCGATAACCTCTCCCCCGCCTTCCTTCCGAAGGTGCAGTACATCATAACCCAAGAGGGCGTCCAGCAGCTCCTGCCCCACGAGTACGTGGTGCTGCCCGAGGGCCACCACATCCAGGTGAGGCCTTCCCTGCCCCTCACCCGTCCCACAAACACGGGGGTCCCTGCTCCCCCCCCTCTGAGTTCTCACAGCCCCGGCTGCCCTTTCAGGTGCAGGATGGCCAGATCACCCACATCCAGTACGAGGAGGGCAGCCCGTTTGTGCAGGAGCCCCAGGTACGGGGGGCAGCCCTGGGACGGGGATGCTGGGGCAGGGAGTGTGAGGCTGAGCTGGTGAATCGGCTCTCTTGGGGGGGGTCTGGAGCGGGGGGGGTCTTACGGATGCCTTCCCTCCACAGATCCAGTATGTCCCAGTGTCCCCTGGGCAGCAGCTTGTCACGCAAGCTCAGCTGGAGGCGGCGGCAGCGACACACTCGGCCGTGACAGTTATTGGGGGGTCTGGGAGCAGCAAGGAGGCCCCCCCAGAGCAGGAGCTTCTGCCTGTCCACCTGGGTCGACCTGCAGCCGGCTTGGGCAAAGGAAAGAACGCCGGTTGCCTCTTCTGCACAGGTGCCGCAGCCGGGCGTTTCTGGGCGCTTCGGTGTCCAGGCTGCCCTGTCGACCCACAGCCTGGTGGGGAGGGGGGCTCGGAATCCCCTGGCCTGCCCTAGATCTGCCACCCACATTTTCACCCCAGCTCCTGGGAGAAATTCCCAAAAGGCTCCCTCTCCATCCGTCCGGCTGGACCAGGTCCTGGCCTCTCCACTGTCTCCCAGCTGCCAGTCGAGTTCTCGGCTCTCCGACATTGGGGCAGGATTGGGACCCCCTCCCCGTCCTTCTACTCACTCCTCACTCCCCTCTCTGCAGCCGTGGCGGACGTGGCCGTGGCCCACGCTCCCTTCAGCACGGAGTCCGGGCCGGAGCAGCTGCAGCCGGGCATCCACTACGACATCATCACCCTTGCAGAGTGACCGGACTTTGTGGCCCAAGGAGGCTGGTCACTTTCTTGGCACTTTGGGGCAGCCAAAGGACCAGCCTTCCCTCCGGATTGTGCTTCCTGCAACCGGCCGGCTCCAGCCGCTGCTCGCACTCGCCCGCCCCGCAGGTCACCTGGCAGGCCAGGTGGGGCCCCTCTTCCCAGAGACCCCCTGGAAGAGGGACGCCCAGCCCCAGACTCCAGTCAGCAGCCTCGTCCGAGGACCGTCTGGTGGACACACTGCTGAATAAAAAGGGCCCACCAGGTGTGGACATTGCTGGTCTGTGTGATTGATTGTATGTGTGGGGGGCTTCTCACCCACCCCCCACTCCAGGCCCCTGTTTCTGGCAGCGCAGACGCCGCCTGTTCATTTGGCAGAGTTTGTGTCGGATTAGAACTGCTAATCTGGGAATTTAACGAGGAGCTTTGCCCTTATCCCCGTGGCGTTCAACAGGGCAAAATGTCACTTCGCCCGAAGGGCACCTTCCGCCAGGCCGGGGGAGGCAGAGCTGGGCAGGCGGCAAAGGCCGCAGACCCCCCACTCTGCCCGCAGTCTGGAGCTGGGAACCGCCAGCTGTGGCCTCTGCTGGCTCAGCCATTCCAGCTGTGTCCCGGCAGCGCATTAGCAGAGGGCAGGCAGGGATTACCAGCCATTATCTGATCAAGCCAGAGCCGGCCCTCCTCGCTGGGGGCAAGGTCACGTTCCAGAGGAGACGGGCAGTGGGGCCCAGGCAGGCCTTGCCCCGATCGATCGGGGCTGGAGCCCTCAAGAAGGCAGGCCAGGGATCGCCCAGCCAGAGCGCAGCCTGGCTCCCCTCTGTCCCTGCCCCTCCTGCTGGATGGAGCCGAGGGGGCGGAAGGGAAAGGGGGGCCAGGAAGGCTTTGGGGAGAATTGGTGAGCCGAGGGGGAGGCTGGCCCCTCTTTGGAAGGAAAGAGCCCAGCACCCTTCCGTGCCTGCTGGCCTGTTCCGTGGGCTCCCTGCTGCGGTGAACCCTAAATTTATCTGAGAGGCTACATTCACACAGCAGGTAAACCACAGAGAAGGAAAAATGAAAGACGTCTGTGAGTGGGTTGTGGAAACATGGCCACTCAAGAAGGGGGAATTGGTGCCAGTCCTCATGAAGTGCTGGGTGAGGAGCAGGGCACAATGGCCACGACCTTCCCTGCAGCCCATCCTGGGTGAAAGAGCGACTTGGGTGTCTGGAGAGCCTCACGCTTTGCAGAGCTGCAGGGCAATGTCACCATGCAAAACCATAAGCAATAATAAAAGGCAAGAGATAAATGAAATAAAATTCCCCAACTCAGGAAGATGGGGTGTCCAGGGCAAGCAGTGGGGTGCACGTGCTGGAGCCCTGGTTTTCATGCTGACCGTGCTACTCGTTACCCCAAAGAAGAAGAGTTGCTCTACGGGACGTGTCCCCCAGTATCAACTGCCAGGAAGAGCGGGCCCATGGAGGCCCCCGGCAATCACCGGAGGGGGGCTGCATGTCCCGGGAGCCCCCTCCTCAGGCTCAAAATGCCGAAAGGAAGCGCAAAAAAGACCCAGCATCAGCCGGCACCCTTGCCTGGCAAAACTCAGGAGGGACCTTCCTTCAAAGACTGGCATAGAAGGCCCAGTTGAGTCGAACCACCTCCAGCTGAGACTGCTGTGGGGTCACTAGCCGTCTAGCCCCAAACCTTCCTGGTGGTCTCCCATCCATCTCTTAATTTGATCTGACCCTGCCTGGCTTCATGAGGATCACCCGAAGTCGGGCCAGAGCCAATTCGACCTGGCCGTTGCTTTCCCCTTAATGTTGGCCAGGAGCCCTCGGCCCCCCAGCTGGTGGTCACGGAAGGGGGTCTTTGCCAGCGGTGAGAGGACCTTCCCCTGCCCACTGCAGTCGGGCTTCTGGCGGCTCCGCTGCCCTGAGCAAAGGGCTCTGGAGGAGGCAGGATCCGATTTCCTTCCGGGTTCAGCTCCTTCCGTCCTCTGGAGGCTGGGAAAGGGATGAGGGCCCGTCTCCTGCCAGCTCTCTGGGGCCTCTTGGCAACTTTGGATCTCACAGAGGGCGTCATCTTTAGGGTCTGCTTCACCACCAGGGGGTCCTGGGCCCCTTTGAGGCCATCCGGCCTGGCCTCTGAGCCGCCAACTGTGGTGTCCCAGAAGGGCAGAACCCCCTTCAGGCTGGCAAGAGATGGTTCTCTTGCAGCCCTCGGGGACCAAAGGTGGGCGAGGGGAAGGTGGCCTGGGCGCCCCCCCCCAGCCCTGCTCAGAGCTGGGAATTGGTGACCCTTCAAAGTTACATTAACACTGGAAAAAAGGGGCTTGTGACCCTCGCAGCCTCCTCATGGTCACGTGATCAAAATCCGGATGCTCGTCAACTGGCATGATGTACTTAATGACGGTTGCCGTGTCCCAGGATCAGGTGTTCACCACTGGCCAGCTTCTGGCAAGGAAAGTCAATGGGGAAGCCGGATCCAGCTAACAACTGTGGCAAGAAAGGTCGTAAAGTGGGACAGGACTCACTTAACGACTTTCTCAATCAGCAACAGGAACCCCGTTTCCGCACCCCGCAGCACAGCAGCAGCATCCCATTTTCATGCCCTGCAGTATGGCATCCTGTTTTTGCACCCCACAGCCTTGGTGCTAGCACAAGTGGGGGGCTGTGTGCACACATACATGCATTGGGCAGCCTGTCCTGCAGCCCCACGGCCCGCTACCGGGCTGCGGCCCACCAGTTGGGAACCCCTGGTCCAGGAAGAACATGCAGACTTTTGGGGGAGGGTCTTTTGGGCATCTCAACCATTCAGCGAGCATCGGCATTAATGTCGCTTGTCCTTCTTTTCTAAAGCCAGCTTGAACATCTGGCACCTCCTTTCCCAGGGCAGCCTCTGTAATCCGTGGGAGATGATCCTAAGCTGGCTGCAAAATTAAGGATATTGTACAAGAGTTGGCACACCTGGCTAAGCCCCCCCCCCTCCCTTGATTCTGGAATGTCGATTGACCTCTCCCAGTCAGGTGTCCATGGGGCCATTCTCCAGTTTGGCCAGCCTTTATTTTTATGTTTTATTTTACCAATGTATACAGCACCCCGCCTGAACAGAACTAAAAGCATCGCATTTGGGCAGAATCCTTTATTTTTTCTGCTTTTTGCCTTATTTCCATGAGGTTCCACCTGCTCCTGTAGCCTTCTGACCTGGCAGGTAAGTTCTAAATTTGTCTTCTGTCCCCGACTTACTATCACAGCTGAGACCAAAATTTCCGTTGCTAAGTGAGACAGTTGTCCATTGAGTTTTGCCCCATTTTACGACCTTTCATGCCACTAAACGAATCACTGCAGTTGTTCAGTTAGTAACACAGCGGCAAAGAGACTCTGTCCTCCCCGTTGACTTTGCTTGCAAAGGGATCACCTGACCCCGGGACACTGCGACCGTCATAAATACGAGTCAGTTCCCAAGTTTCCTAATTTTCATCGCAGGACCCTGGGGAGGCTGCAGTGTCCGAAAGGGTGAAAACTGGTCGTCTGTGGAGAGTCTCAGCCGCCCAGGTCACTAGTTGTCCCAAAGATGCCTTTTTTTCTTTGAAGACGTTTCACTTCTCCTCCAAAAAGCTTCTTCGGCTCTGACTGGAGGGGGGGGAATTCACGCTCACCCAGCCAGAGCTGAAGAAGCTTCTTGGAGGAGAAGTGAAACATCGTCAAAGAAAAGCAAGAAAGTCCAGTCGCCTTAGGGGAAAAAGCATTCTTGGGTGAAAACTGGTTGTTAGTCCCTTTTTCAGTGCAGTTGCAATTTAGAACAGTCCCTGGATGTCCTGCTGAGATCTGGCTGTACTCGTAAGCAGGGAATATCTTCCATGGCAGGGGTCCCTGACCCAAAGGCCACAGGCCAGGGCCGCCCCATGCCGGTGAGCGAAGCCCCATCCATGCATGCAAAAGACCACACACACACCCCGGTCCACGGAAAAAAACACCCTCCATGCAACCAGTCCCTGGTGCCCACGAGGCCCGGGCCACCGCTGACATCTCTGCTGGGGGAAGCAGAAGGCGGGATCTGAGGCGCCCTTCCTTACGGACAAGGGTGTCCCTTGGGAGGCCTCCGGTCAGAAGGCGCCAGATCTTCTCTGGTAGCCCAGAGAAGTTGGCCGGAAGGAAGAGGGGGAGGCCTCACAGAGCTGAAGGAGAAGCCCGAGGCCAGGGGGGGGGGGCGGAGAGCACACAAGGTTGAATATGGAGAGTTTGGGGAGACCCCGAAGCAGCCCTGCCGAATGGGGAAGCAGCAGAGGGGGGGCCTCGCAAGCTTTCCAAAGACACCAGCGGCTTTGGACAGCAGTCAGGGATGGGCGGTCCTCCCCCCCTAACTGATAAGACCTGGGAGACCGAAAAAGGGGAGGGAGGCTGCCAGCCACCCTTGCCCAGAGGTGCACCCATGGAAGACACCCATCCGGAGAAGGGCAAGGGGGCAGGATTCCCACAGCTTGAAGGAGAGGGCCAAAGAAAGCACCATGGAACAGGTAGTCCTCGACTTCAGTTCAATGAGAAAAAAGAAAAGAGCTGGAAGGGACCTTGGAGGTCTTCTAGTCCAACCCCCTGCTCAAGACTCACAACAGTTTGTTTGGTGACTGTTACAACAGCACTGAGAAAACTGAGTTATGACCATTTTTCATACTTACGACCGTTGCGGCGTCCCCATGGCCACACGATCAAAATTCGGGCATTTGGCAAGGGGCTCGTATTGACAGCAGCTGTGGGTGTCCCAGAGAGTCACCGCAGGCCTTCTCCACCTCTGTGTTGGGAGGGCATGTGGATTCTCATGGCTGACTGGGGGATTCTGGGAGTTGAAGTCCATGTGTCTTAATGTTGCCAAGGTGGAGACCCACCGCTCCACACTCCCTATTTGCTCTCCAGCACTGAGCCCACAAGGAGGGCATCTGGCTTGCCTGCGTTTGCCCAATGAGAGACCCCTGTCTGGCGGGAGCAGCGGCGGGTGGGGGGGGGGCTGGGAGAAGGGACTCTCACCTGACTTCCCCTGTCCCTCCCCCCACCAACACTTGCTCCCTCCCTCCCTCCTGCTTGCTTGCTCACCAGCTGGCTGAATTTCTTACTGCTTTAGCTTGGCCAACCTTTCCCCTCCCCCTCCACTTCTCCCCCCACCAAAGCTCCCAGCCCAGTGGTGGGATTCCAATAGGTGAATAACTGGTTCTCTGTGTGGATGCCGCTTCCGGAAGTCCATTCTGGGCCTGGGCAACAAAAAATTAGCTGCCGGTTCTGCCCAAGTGGTGCAAACCGGCTGAATCTCCCCACTGTCCCAGCCCCCTCCTCTGCCCTAGGTAATAAAGACCCCCCCCCTTTCTCTTTTTTGCCTCTCAGGATCAAAGGCGCCTCTTGCCTCTTCCTGGATCCACAGGCAGGCAGGGGCTGGGGGCTCCTTCGGCTGAGGGGAAGCAAGGACATGGATGGTCCAGCACCAGCACCCTCGCTGTCCGGTCCTCAGCGCTTCTGGCCATCTCTCTGGCCCTGTGCTCTCTTTGTGGCAGGTGGGGCAGAGTCTCCCTTCTTCCAGAGGTGACCCCAGGCCTCTCCAGAGACCCCCCACCTAGAGGCTCCATTCCCGCTGGAAAAGCCCATCGGAAGGGGGATTGTGGTCCTCCCAGCCTGCCAGCTCCCCAGAAGGGACAAGGCCAGAAAGGAACCTGGAAGGTCACAGGAACTTTGGAAGCAGGAGATTTTTCAGGAGCCCCCCCCCCACCTGGCTCCCATCCGTTTCCACGCTGGCCCTGCAGGCTGTGGCTGATGGACCCTGGGGATCTAAAAGCTCCTTTTAGGAGCTTTAACGCCCAGCAGCCTCCCCCTCCACCACCCCCCGCCAAGAACTTCAGTTGTGGAGCTGATTTCCTATTGAGCAGCCTTTGGCAAAACATAATTATTTTGAAATAATAATCTGTCCTCAGAGTTTGAGTTTTGGGCTACCCAACAGGGCTCTCTTCCTGTAACCCCTCCCTTGAGGAAAGGGGAACAAGCAGCTGGAGGATCCCGATTGGCCAGTCCTGATCCTGTCCCTTTAAGGGGAACTGGGTGACCTCTAATGACATCCCCCCCTCAGCCCCCCCCCACCAAACCTGCTCCTATAAAAGCTGGGGGTTCCTCTACCACCAGGCCGTCTGTCCCCCGCCATGGGTTCCGCCGCCCCCCCAAAGCTCTCTCTTGGGCTCAGGGACCTGGAGGGCTTCTGGAGCCCCTTGAGGGGGTGCCCGGCCGCCCTGCTGCCCCGGCTGCCCTGCCTGTATCCCGCTCTGCCTTGCTACGGCTGGTACCCGCCGGGCCCCGGCTCCCTCTCCCAGCCGGTGCGTCCGGGCACAGGAGGCTCCGGGGCTCTGCGCAGCTTCGGCCTCCCGGCCAGGGGGGGGAGCTCCTTCCGACGGCAGGGGCGGCGCTCAGATGGGCGGCCTGGGAAAGCGAGAGCGGAGCTCAAGGGGGCCCCGAAGCGGCGCCTGGGAGGGGAGGGGCTGCTGCTCCTTCTTCCCCGGGCGCTCTCCTCGGGCTGTCTGCGCCCAGCGAAGCGCCCCCAACCCCGGCGCTGTCCAGGGCTCCGCCGGCTGCTCTCTGCAGCGACCCCAGCCCGTCCAGCGGGGGCGGTGTCGGGGCACGGAGCGCGGCTCTCCCGGGCTAAGGCGTTGGCTGGTCCCGCAGCCCCGGATCGCGCCGGGCTTCGGCGTGGCGGCGGCTCGTCTGTCCGCGGGGGCCCGCGGGGCTCCGCTTGGGCAGGGCCGGCCGGCGGGGCTCTTCTGCGCGCGGGGCTCGCGGAGCGCAGGAGGAGCCACTCGAGCGGGTTAGGTATGGTGGGCCGGGCCGGGCCGGGCCGAGCGGGCAGCGCCACCTTCGGAAGCCGGACCGGCCGAGGAGCCTCCGCGGGAAGCCCCGACAAGGTCAGCCGGCGCCGGGGGGCTGCAGCCGCGCGTTCCTCCGGAGCCCCGACCGCGCGGGCGGCCTCTATTCAAGAGCTCAGCCGCTGGCCGGGAGACCAGCTCGGACCGGAGCCGGCAGGGAGCTTCGAGCCGGGTCTCCCTCTGCGGTCCCGCTTCTGCCTTTGGTTCCTTTTCTTGGGGGGTCCCAGCGGTGGGGACGGTCCCGCGAGGGCCTCCCGTGAAACCCCGGGCCTCGTAACAGAGCGGTGGCCCTGGACACGCGGGGGAAGAAAGGCTGAAGAGACGGGGGGCAGGTCGTCTGGGCTGATGTCTTCCCCAGATGGGGGGGGGGCTCTCTCTTCCAGGAGAGCCGGGAGCCAGTTCCTGCAGGGGCACTTCACGCGGGGGAGTGGAAAGGCTGCTGAGCAAAAGTTGAAGCCCATTCATTCATTCATTCCAATTAACCAGTGGAACCGGTTTTTAAGAAGAGGCTGGACAGTCACCTGTCTGAGACGGTATAGGTTCTCCTGCTTGAGCTGGGAGCTGGACTAGAAGACCTCCAAGGTCCCTTCCAGCTCTATTCTGTTCTATTATTCCTTGGGTTTTTTTTAAAGTTCATATTAAAGATGAAGTAGACCCAATCTTAACCATGACCTGGGACAGACATAGAATAGAGTATAGAGTAGAGTAGAATAGAGTAGAGTAGAGTAGAGTAGAACAGAAAATATGGAATAGAATAGAATATAGAATAGAATAGAATAGAATAGAATAGAATAGAATAGAATAGAATAGAATAGAATAGAATAGAATAGAATAGAATAGAATAGAATAGAATAGAATAGAATAGAATAGAATAGAGAATGGAAGAATAGAATAGAGAATGGAAGAATAGAACAGAACAGAACAGAATAGAATAGAATAGAATAGAATAGAACAGAGAATGGAAGAATAGAATAAATAGAATAGAATAGAATAGAACAGAGAATGGAAGAATAGAACAGAGAATGGAAGAATAGAATAAATAGAATAGAATAGAATAGAATAGAATAGAATAGAATAGAATAGAACAGAACAGAATAGAACATATGGAATGGAATAGAATAGAATAGAATAGAATAGAATAGAATAGAATAGAATAGAATAGAATAGAATAGAATCTGGAAGGGACCTTGGAGGTCTTCTAGTCCAGCCCACTGCTCAAGCAGGAGAACCTGTCCTACACCATCTCGGTCAGGTTATTGTCTATTGATCTTCTAACTGATGGAAAATTTTTGTTTGCTCTCCAGGGAAAACAGCCATTTGGTTTATTATATTTATTACACAGTGAGATTTAAACATTTTTCTAATAGGATCCGAAATTTGTTTTCCTTTCACAGAACCATGTTGGACTCTAAGTTAATATATTCTTGTATTAATTATTTCATTCTCACAGCTGATTTGGATATACAAACCTTTAACTTTGGTCTAGCAAAGGGATGCGGTTGACCGGCTCCCTCAGAAGAGGGAGAAAAGAGAAATTGGCATGTATAAATCTTGACTGGTTACAATGAATGAAATGAGTCTTTTTGTTAAAACGTAATCTGTAAGATAACAGCATTGCCACCAGCAACATCTTGTGAAAACGTCAGAATCTTCAAAGTGCACTAATATCCAAGAGATAATATATTCTATTAGAAGCTGTCGGAGTGGGATCAACATCTCTCAAAAAAATAGGGGAATCAGATTAAAGACATAATTTCAGAACCTTACATTATGATCAATAACAGACAAGGTCAGGGAAAATCACATAAAAGTGATCAATTGGTGCAGTATATGCCCGTTTGTTTAACTACAATTACTGGGAAAGGGCCATATGAATATAGTGAACATATGATACTGCATTGGTAAGGCCACACCTGGAATACCTCATCCAGTTGTGACCACATCACAAAAAAGATGTTTAGACTGAAAAAAGTACAAAGAAGAGTAACTCAGACAATTAGGGGATTAGAGACCAAACATATGAAGAACAGTTGCAGGGTTTGGGAATGGCTAGTCTGGAGAAAAAAGGACTAGGGGTGACATGATGGCAGTATTCCTGTATTTGAGAGGCTGCCACAAAGAACAATAACAATAGTAGTAAAGTTGGAAGGGACCTTGGAGGTCATCTAGTCCAACCCCCTGCTCGGGCAGGAAACCCTACACCATTTCGGACAAATGGCTGTCCAGTCTCTTCTTAAAAACTTCCAGTGTTGTAGCATTTACTGCTTCTGGAGGCAAGCTGTTCCACTGATTAATTGTTCTCACTGTCAGGAAGTTTCTCCTTAGTTCTAGGTTGCTTCTCTCCTTGATGAGTTTCCACCCGTTGCTTCTTGTCCTGCCTTCAGGTGCTTTGGAAAATAGCTTAATTCCCTCTTCTTTAGGGCAGCCCCTGAGATATTGGAATACTGCTATCATGTCCCCCCTTGTCCTTCTCTTCGTTAGAGAAGAGGGGGTCAACTTATTCTCCAAAGCACCAGAGGGCAGGATGGAAATTCATCAAGGAGAGAAGCAACCTCCCGGAATTAAGGAGAAACTTCCTAAAAGTGAGGACAATTAACCAGGGGAATGAATTGCCTTCAGAAGTGTGTGTGTTCCAGGCCTGGGTTGAGCCTCTCCTGAGTCTGTCTTTGAATGTTAGGAACGTGGTTTTGCTTAGTTGTTAATTTAGGTATTGGACATATTGTAAGCTGCACAGGGCCTTTTCAGTATTGGGTGGCTTTATAAATCCAGTAAACAAACAATGGAAAAATGGATGTATTGGAAAAAAAGGTTAATAACCAAGATGAGAGTTTTGAGGATATACGAGAAAAATGATTTTTGATTCGATATTGGAAAAAGTCATACTTTTTGTAAAGCATTCTAGACCCAGTCCCTCTTTTTGTTTACACCAGCGTATACCACAATTGCTACTGAAAACCTGACTTCTTTCAAGATCTTTTAATAGGTATATTGACATTTAAATCAATAATGTTTTTTTTAAATGAATCATAGAAATGTAGTGTCGGAAAAGATCAGGGTGTTCAAACAGCCCAGAGTTCCCCAAAGTGGTTAATATCAACCCCCAAGAGGTCAACGGGTCTAACCAGAGCTTATTATTATTATATACACAAAAGTGTGAAGTCACAGCTGCCAGTTCTTTAGATGATGTTGGCCCTCATGTGTGGGCAGTTTTCACTAGGACACCAAGAGCCTCGGGATTCGTAATGTAGCCCTATTGTCTTATGGACAAACCCAAGGAGGGCGGGGGTTTTTTTTGTTTATTTTTTTTGGTAACTGACAGAAATTTTCTCACTGCGCAGATTTTTAAAGCACCATCCAATTTTTGGGGGTATGACACCCATTGTGCCAATAACCCCTGGGAGGAGGGCAGCTAGTTTCTGCCATGATCTACTCCAGTGTTTCTCAACCTGGACAATTTTAAGGCATGTAGACTTCAACTCCCAGAATTCCACAGCCAGCATTGCTGGCTGTGGAATTCTGGGAGTTGAAGTCTACATGCCTTAAAATTGTCCAGGTTGAGAAACAATGATCTACTCCGATTCTTTGCCTGCTAGTCCTCTCCCTTCTGGTAGAACCACATCCATTCCCCCCCCACCCCCGTTTCTTCTTTCCAAGCACAGCTTAATCTGGTATGTCAAGGCTTTACCAGTTTGTTATTCGGAATCCCACAATATTTTAACCTGCTCATTTTACACAACTTTTGCATGGGGTTTTGGGTTTTTTTTGGTGTGGATCTTTTTGATATGTTTTTTTTTATGTTTTATGTTTTTAGTACTGGCATGTGGTAAGTTCTACTATTGGATGTTCCAGTGAGTCCTTGTAAGGTTTTTTTTTTTCTTGCAATCTTCTTGCATGGGCTAAGTAAATGATCGAGGTGGCACAGCAGTTAGAGGGCAGTACTGCAGGCCACTTTAGCTGACTGTGTTCAGCAGGTCAGCGGTTCAAATCTCACCGGCTCAAGGTTGACTCAGCCTTCCATCCTTCCGGGAGGACCCAGATTGTTGGGGGCAATGTAAATATATATATACATTGCTTACTGGTGTACACCGCTTAGAGAGTGCTTGCACTTAAAGCAGTATATAAGTCTCATAAATAAATAAATAAATAAATAAATCTTGATGAAGACATGTCTTCATCAATCTACTCAAGAGTTTGGGGGGGCTGATCTAGTCCAGCTCTCTGCAGGGGGGCAGGGAACAGCGCCAGGAAAGCAGCGCCATTTCCTGCAGCGCCAGGAAAGCAGGACTGCTCTTCTCATCTTCCTGGGGGAGGGGGCCAAAATGCTTCTCAGGGCCGGGTGGAGCAAAGGCAGCGAAGGGCCAGGGAGGCTGCCAGGGCCACCCAGGGCTCACCCTCGTTCCGCCTTGTGTGTTGCAGGTGCCAGCCCCCTGTTGCGAGTTGTCCGGAGGGCTGCCCCTGCTGTGGCCGATGCCCCCCCTGGGCAGCCCCTTCCTCTGTGCGGCCCCCCCGGAGGATCCACGCTGGGGCAAGGCCGCCGCCTGGCGGGAGAGCACGGGGGCCCTCCGGGCGTGGCTGGGCCAGCATCTCCAGAACCCCTACCCCAGCAAGGGGGAGAAGATCCTGCTGGCTGTGCTGAGCCAGCGCAGCCTCAGCCAGGTCTCCACCTGGTTTGCCAACGCCCGCCGGCGCCTCAAGAAGGAGAACCGGCTGCGCAGCGGCCCTCGGCTGCTCACGGCTTCGGGCGAGGAAGAGGAAGAGGAGGAAGAGGAGAAGGGGCAGGCTGGAGGCCAGCAGGCAGACTCAGGCGGGAGCCCCCAGGCCCCCTGGGGAGGCTCCAGGGCTGGAGGTCCCGGACGAGACCCAGACCCCCTCGCCTCTCTCGACCGGGCTGAACCAGAGAGGAGCCCTCCTGGGCCCCGGCTGTGGAGCGTGGCCGAGCCAGCCCCTCACCTCGTGCCTGGGAGGCCTCCCCAGTGGGGGTGGGGCCTCCGTCCCCTGAGAACTCTGGCCTCTGGCCTCTGGGAACACCCCAGCTGTGCCCCCGGGGAGGGGCGGGGAGAGGGGCCACCCCTGGGCTCTGAGCCCTGGGGGCCCCCTGAGGAGTCAAGAAAGAGGCGTCGCTCTGCCCTCTCCCGGCTGGTGTGCCCTGGAGGTGGACTACAATCCCCAGCACTCTCAGCTGGCATGTCAGCTGGTCGTGCAGACCTGTGGCTCCGCACATCTGGAGTGTGCCAGGCTGGGGAGAGCCAGGGGCAGCAGGGGGGAGTGTGTGGCAGGGGCCCTTCCCCACACGGGCACGGAAGGCAGCCCCGGGATGGGCCCAGTGGGCAGGCAGGGCGGTCCTCTGAGGCCCTGGGTGGCACTTCGGTGAGCCAGGGGCTCTTCCTCTCCCGGGGCAAGCAGAGCGAGGGGAAGACCCTCCTCCAGATGTCCACAGGGGTCCAGAACTCGTGGGAAGCCGGCAGGAAGTCGTAGGCGTGTGGGGTCCTTGCTTAACAACCTGGCGGTGCGCTTTGCAACCACCTCAGCGATGGAAATTCCACTCCCGACTGCTGTCATTAAGTGGAGATTTCCTGTATGACTTCCCAGGTCAGGACTCGATTTATGACCACAACTGAGCCGAAAATTTCCGTTGCTACGCAAGACCGTTGTTAAGTGAGTTTTGTCCCATTTTACGACCTTTCTTGTCACAGTTGTTAAGCGAATCACTGCAGTTTTTTAGTAACCTGGTTGTTAAGTGAATCTGGGTCTCAGACAGGGATCACGTGACCCCCCCCGGGACACACTGCAACGGTCGTAAGTATGAACCGGTTGCCCAGCGTCTGAATTTTGATCACGTGACCCTGAAGGAAGCTGCAACTGTCACTATGTGTGAAAAACGGTCATAAGTCCCTTTTTTCAGTGCCATAACTTTGAATGGTCACTAAAGAAACAGTTACAAATCAAGGATTATCTGTAGATAATCTGATTAGTAAAAGGATTAGTGGGGTGGAAATGTGGGTGATTAATTTGAAGCCTCTCTGAAACCGAAGGGATGTTCCAAATCTACCAAATGAGCTTTCTGCAAACGTTTATTCTGAATTATATCAGATATTGCCAAGCAAGAACGTAACGATATTGTAGAGAACCCACAACATTTTAAAGGACTCTCCTCAATATTGTACAAAACTCTTAACGTTACCTCCTAATGTAATATTTGTATACAGTTTTTATGTTTTACTTGTTTTAATCCTACACCGCCCAAACTTGCTCTGTGAGTGAGATGGGCCGTTTCTAAATTGGATATAGGAATAATTAAATAAATAAAACACAACAGCTTTTCTTTGAACTCCGTGTGCGCGTATTAATCAAAGTCTTTCTCGATTGTCTTGGTGAAATTGCACACATATTTGGTACCGTAGATGTTGGCAGCTTCTCTTTATTCCCCCCACTTTGGTTGAAGGTCTTTCAGGAAATTGGAGAAATGACATAGCAACATTTAACAATTAATTGATTTATTAATTCTAGGGTGACTCCATTGCTCCTTCTCTGCCCCCACCCGAATTTATAAACTGATGCATCATAAGGAATTATATCAATTGTTTTATTGCCGGATGTACCATACCAAAACATCAAAAAAATTATAATACTCTAGATTCAATAAAATATGAGAATTATCTCACGTATGAATCATCACATCAATGGTGAAAGTTTGAGAATTATCACCGACAGAACAATTAATGTTATAGGAAGTGATCCTTTTAAGCGCTGTTCTACATATGCCCGCCTCTGTTTTTTCAAACATTTGATTGATACCTGCCCGTATGTCAGTGTTACCCATAGCAACCACACAGGCAGATCCTCTCCATCTGCTGAGTCCGCCACCGGGGCCTTCAGGTCTTCTGAGGGGGCCCCCATCAGGGTTGAGTTCACTCACCCCACCCCACCCTTGCTGCTGGCCACTCTCTTCTCTTTCCTCTCCTTGTGCTGGAGCCTCCTCTGCAGGGCTGGAAGACCACTTGAGCCTGGTGCCTTGAATAAGAAGCTCCGGGTGGATTCTCTTGATGAGAATAGAATAGAATTCAGAATAGAATAAAATAGAATAGAAATAACAGATTGTAGAATGGAATAGAATAGAATAGAATAGAATAGAATTATGGGTTAGAATAGAACAGAACGGAACGGAACAGAATAGAATAGAATAGAAATAACAGATTGTAGAATGGAATGGAGGAATGGAATAGAATAGAATAGAATAGAATAGAATAGAATAGAATAGAATAGAATAGAATAGAATAGAATAGAATAGAATAGAATAGAATAGAAATAACAGATTGTAGAATGGAATAGAATGGAATGGAATGGAATAGAATAGAATTATGGGTTAGAATAGAATAGAATAGAATAGAATAGAATAGAAATAACAGATTGTAGAATGGAATGGAATGGAATGGAGGAATGGAATAGAATGGAATGGAGTAGAATAGAATAGAATAGAATAGAATAGAATAGAATAGAATAGAATAGAATAGAATAGAATAGAATTATGGGTAGAATAGAATAGAATAGAACAGAACAGAACAGAACAGAATAGAATAGAATAGAATAGAAATAACAGATTGTAGAATGGAATGGAGGAATGGAATGAATAGAATAGAATAGAATAGAATAGAATTATGGGTTAGAATAGAACAGAACGGAACGGAACAGAATAGAATAGAATAGAATTATGGGTAGAATAGAATAGAATAGAATAGAATAGAATAGAATAGAATGAAATAACAGATTGTAGAATGGAATGGAATGGAATGGAGGAATGGAATAGAATGGAATGGAGTAGAATAGAATAGAATAGAATAGAATAGAATAGAATAGAATAGAATAGAATAGAATAGAATAGAATTATGGGTTAGAATAGAACAGAACGGAACGGAACAGAATAGAATAGAATTATGGGTTAGAATAGAATAGAATAGAACAGAACAGAATAGAAATAACAGATTGTAGAATGGAATGGAATGGAATGAATGAATAGAATAGAATAGAATAGAATAGAATAGAATAGAATAGAATAGAATAGAATAGAATAGAATAGAATAGAATAGAATAGAATTCAGGCCCTGAAGAGTCTCCGCAGAGGGACAATGGAGCCCAGACTGGGGGGGAGAAGGGGGGGCTGCCCTTTGCTGTGTCTTTTGCCTCTGGGATGCCTCCCTGCATTGAGTGGGGATGGCCTGGATGACCTCAAGAGTCCCTTCTGATCCTGGAGTTCAGTGGCTTGACCAGCCTTGGCAGTGTTGGAGGCCCTGAATTGGGGGGGGGGGATGCTGGAACGTGGGATTTCAGGAGGGGGGGCTGAGTCCTCAGCCAGAAAAAAAAGGGAGCACCCACTTTCTCCCGCAGGAGGAAAAAAGCCAGACAAACTGAGGGGGGGGGGTGTTGTTCCAGGGAAGATGCAGAGCCTTGGGCTGAATCCCCAGGTGACTTTTGGATGGCCTCTGGCACCCCCACTTTCCTTCCGGGACCCTTCATTTAGCAACAGGGGCCCCCAGCACTCTCTGGAGGATCCTGGCACAAGAACTTGCCCATGGACAGTCTGGGCACCCAGCCTGGCACAACCTCTGGGGAAGGGAGGTCCGGGTCTGTGTGCAAACGGTGCACAGGAGCTGGGAAGGCCTGTCAGGAGAGACAGACGGAGCCTCGGCTGCTCCTGCTCAGGTATTCCTGCCCGGCACTGCTACACCTCTTTGATATTTCTTTTGGGGGCTCCGCCATTCCAGTGGGAGGCGGGAGGCTTTTCTCTGCTGCAAGGGGGCCTTGTGGATTTATTTCCTCTACTTTGTTCTTTCTGAACTTTGACGTATCTCTTTGGGTGTGAAAAGGGGAGAGGAACGTGCCAGGGGACATTTGCCTTAACTCCACACCGTTGCCAGATCCGATGAAGCGCCTGGGAACCGTCCCTTATCCGCTTCGGTTCCCATAACGACTTCGCACCTGTGGATTGGCTGGATGCGAGCTGGGCAGTTGGGCTCTGGGGTGGGTTTAATGTATCAATTTGCACGGGAAAACTTTAGATCTTGCTTTGCTCCCTTGCTATCACTATCTCTCAACAAAAGTTCCTTTTGAAGTAATGCCTGTTTCAAGAGTTCTGCTTTCTTGGGAGGAGGAGTTGAGGCAGGACCTTATGCTGTCCCCTGCTTTCTCATCGGGGTGAGGAAGCAACAAGCTCTCACTGTTGGGCTGTTCGTGCTCCTCAGGCCTCTTTTCCCGGAGCCTCTTCCTCATCCTCCACCCCCCTCCCTTCCCTCCAGGGAAGCTTCATCCAAACTGGGGAGTTAGCCTCCGGCTGCCAGCTCCAGCATTTCCCAAAATCTCCAGCCAAACTCTCCATGATACTGAAAGTAAAGTACCTACTTTGTAATATGGGTTGCAGTCGTCAGGTACACTGCCACTATGCATTGAGGTTCAATTTCTGCTGTAAGGGATGGTTCCCTTGGGGTTGCTACAGAGGCTCTTCTTGGCCTGCAGGTTCACAGGACTTGAGTCCCTAGGCAGTTGTCCATCAGAGGTCCCAAACCGGGTGGCTGTTCCTGGTGACAAACACAACCTCACGGCAGAAAGTGGGGCGCTAGGGGCTTTTTGGCAAGGGCGCCATCGGCATCTCTGCCCTCCGGGTCACAACCGTCATGGAACTGAAGCTGCTGGAGGGAAGCCACCCCACCCACTGCTGCTGTGAAAAGCCCCCCCCTCCTGGTCAGAGGGGGGGGGGTCTGTGTGAAGGGCAGGGAGCGTTGGGGGGGCAGCCTCCCAAGGCAACTCCTCAGGCGGGGAGGTCAAAGAGGTCCTGGCAGAGGCACTGGCAGAGGCTGTAGAAGACGCAGAGCAGAAGGCTGGCGGGCACCAGGCTGACCAGCACCAGGCCCAGGTTGGGCCGCTCCACCAGCAGCAGGTAGATGCCTAAGGGCAGGGAGCTGAAGTAGACCAGGCCCAGCAGGCCCAGCAGGCACGGGGGCACGGCCCGCTGGGGGCCGCAGGAGTCAGGGCAGAGGGGCGGCGGGCTGTGGCAGGGCAGGGAGGCCACGCTGGGCGGGCGGTAGAAGCGCATCACGTCCACCAGGTCCAGCCCCACGGGGGCAGCCGCGTCCTCCGGCACCTCCAGCAGGGTGATGACCAGGCAGGCCGAGGAGCGGCGCTTGCCCTCGGCCGAGGGCTCCAGCACGCCGGGGCAGAGCAGCAGCTCCGGGGAGGATGGCGAGCCGCCTTGGCGGCCGAGCAGCGCCAGCACCCGCCCGTCGTCCGGCAGCCGCGCCACGTCCTCGCCCGGCACGGGCGTCTCCTGCCGGCAGAAGGGGCAGCGCAGCCCGGCGGGGGAGCGGCCCGCCTCGGCCATCCGGCGCAGGCAGCGGGCGCACACCTGGTGGCGGCAGCCGAGCAGCTTGGGCCGCCGGGCGCGCCCGTCGAAGCTCTCGCAGCAGATGCCGCACTCCGTCTCGGCGGCCGCCCAGCCGGGGGGCGCGGCCCGCTCGCCCCCGCCCTTCGCCGGGGGCATGGCAGCCCCGAGGGCCCGGCGCCTGGAGGGAGGGAAGGAGGGAAAGCGACGGGGCGTGAGGAGCGGCGCCAGGGAGGGTCCCGCCTGGCACTCCCGGGGCCGGGGGGCCGCCTCGAGCGACAGCCCGGCTAGTCCGCGACGCCCCCCCCCCGTCCCCAACCCGCACCCACCACACAGCACCCGGTCCTTAGGCGTCCTCCGCCCCCGGAGCTAGCCCGGCCCCCTCCCCGGGGCAGGGGGCGACTCTGGGGCAGACCTCCTCAGGGTCCCTGGAGCCCGGCCAGCCCCGCGCCCCCCGCCCCGCATCGCAGGAAAGGGGGAGGCTCAGACTCGGCCCTGGAAGGAGGCGAGGCCGGGGCGGCGGGAAGGCGGACCGGCCTCACCGCCGCCCGCAGCTGCTCAGCCCCCGCAGCCCCTTCCTTGCCCGGGAGACCCTCCCCCGCTTGGCCCTCGGGTGGAAGCAGGCGCGCGGGGGGGGGGGCGGAAGGGGTTGCCCCAGGCCACGTGGGAGGAGCCTCGCCTCGAAAGTCCGCAGCGCCCCCCCTCCCTCGCTCGCTCCCTCGGGCCGCAGGGACCCCCCGGGCCGGGTCTGCCTCCTGCTTGCTTACCTCGCTGCAGGCGCGGAGAGAGCCGCCCGCCCGCCCGGCCGCCTGGCAGGGACTGCCGCAGCGCTGGCTGGGCGCTCCCGGGCCACGGGCATCCGCCTCCCCGTTGCCATGGCGACGCAGACCGAGCCGGGTGTGGGCGACGCTCTCCCACCCCCAAGGCCCCCCCGCCCGCCGCTCTGAGTCCGCCGGGCCGCCCCCGCCCGCTTCCCTCCCTCGGGGGTCCCGGGTGCGGGGAGGGGGTCCTCGGGCCCAGGGTGGGCAGGGGGGACCTTCGCCCGGCCCGGCCCCGCGCAGGGGGCGCAGCGGCTGAAAGGGGCCCGATCCACCTGGCTCCTTTCAGGCGCTCGGCGTGGAACCGCTTCTTGCAACGACGGCGGGGCTTCCGAGGCGGCCCCCTCCCCGCAGCCCCTGTCGGCCGCCCCTACGGGAACATTTCGCTCCAGCCCGCTTCTCCCCCCGTGGCCTCGCCGCTCTCCCAGCCCCGGGAGGCGCACCTCCGGGCTGCCCTTAAACGGGAGACTCCGGGGAGGCTGTCGGGGTTCCAGACGCCCCGGGGGGCGGGGGGGGTCTTGGAAGCCCCCCGGAATGAGGGAGGTGCCCGGGCAGGAGAAGCACCGCCGTCCCAGGGGCCGAAGACGGCCAAGAACCGCAGAGCGATTCCTTAACGCAGCCTCGGCGTTGGCGGGACTTCGGGGCTGGGGCGGCGACGGAACGGGCCGTGCCCGACCCGCCTCTTATGGCAGGCAAGAGAGACGGGTGGGGGGCGCAGCTCCCCTCCTCCGTCTTGGCGGGCTGCTTGACAAGATCCATCCTTCACCCTTTTGGCCCAGAGCAGAGATGGGGCTGGACGTTCCTGCCATCTGATGGGTTTGCAACTGGACGGCTGCCCGGAGAAGGGATGTGTGTGTGTGTGTGAGGCGGGGTGGGTCTTCAACCCTCGTCTTTAAACAAATAAATAAAGAGGACAGGAGGAGCGTTCATTTGTTCAGTTTGTGGATGACACCAAACGAAAAAAAAATGGGTTCACCCTGCCACGTGACACAACAAACCCCTCTGGCTACCGGTCAGTGTCCATGGAGATTCTCGGTCACCCAGGTCAGTTATCGCAAAGATGCTTTTTCACAAGGCCACTAAACTCTCTTGCTCCACACCCATTTGCACCACTCAGGTGACTCTGGAGACACAGGTACACCTCCAGGCGGCCTCAAGGACTCTCCAAAAGGAGTATAAATCCTTCCCTTCCCCACCATCCAGTCAGAGCTGAAGCAGCTTCTGGGATGAGAAGTGAAACGTCTTCAAGGAAAAACAGGAAAGTCCAGTTGCCTCTTGAAAAAAAAGCATCTTTGGGACCTTCCTGCTAACTATACAGGACCACATCCAGCAGGGTGATGCTGAGAGGTGAAAAGGTCCAGCAGCTGGAGAGAGGGAAGTCAGGATGGGAAGTCCAGCAGCTTCATGAGGACCGGGGTGGTGGTGGTGGGAAAGACTCCTAGTCCCAAGCAAGCAGGGCACCCCAGCGCTTGAAAAAAGCAAACTGCATCCAAACCGGTTAACTATTCCACTCTTCTGGCTTAACCCGCACCTGGAACACCGTCCCATTCTGGCCTTTGCAGTTTGCTTATCCCGGAGAAGGTGCAGAAGACCAGAGGAAGGAGTGGCAGCTGCCCGCATGTGTCTGAGAGGCAGGTGCAAATCCTGAGGGCAGGTCAAGGAGCCCCATGTTGGAATTCAGACCGTTATTTTGGAAGGAGGCCCCCCAAATAAGACCCATCTGGGACAGAGATGGGCTTTTTCTCCCTCCAGCTGTTTCCAGATGGGGATGAGATGACCCACCACATCCCGGTCTTGAGCAGGGCTTGGACTGCGTGATGATGATGATGGTCTAATTCACAGTTTGCCAAATGATTTTAGCAATGTCTGGATGTTCTGTCCTCCCCCAAAAATGAAACTAAACTTCCACCAGCTTCAGGGACTTCATACACTTAAATTAGGAGAATATTTTCAGCTAGGATTAGTTTGACAGGCCACAGGCTCCCCTCTGCCTTTGCAGTCAGACGCTGCTTGCATTTTAAATACTTTTTATTATTGCAGAAATTGCTGCTTCAGAGCCAACAGGCTGCCTGGAGGCTGCGCAGCGCCACCCGGGCCTTTGTCAGATTCCTCTGGCAGATTTGCTCAACTGGCGTGGGAAAGGCAGGGTGGTGGGACCCTGGCCCATCAGAGACCAGTGCCAGGCAGGATGGGCACAGGGGTGTGTTATGCACACCTCTAAGGCTGGGGAAGCAATTATGCAGCAGCCCACCTAAAGAGGACCACCCACCCCTTGGAGTTCCCCCTGGCGGACCTTTGCCAACTCGTCAACATGTGGAAGACCCTTCCCAGCTTTCAGGTGGGATGAGGGTCTTCCACTCACCAGATGCCTGAGGCGTCTCACAGGTCCATCCAGGCCAGCCTCCTGTCCCTGCAGGGACCCTCGAGGCCAGCCCTGCGGAGAAGCTTGCAAACCGCAGGAGAGGCGCTGACCGGTGGCCCTCGGCTTATGATTGCTCATTTAGTGACCGCTGGGAGTTGTAACAGCAGTGGAAAAAAAGTGACTTAGGACCGTTGTGGCATCTCCCAGGGTCACGAGATCAAAATTTGGATATTTGGCAACTGGTTCGTATTTACGACGGTGGCAGCCTCCCGTAGACGTGCGATTTCCTTTTACAACCGTCTGACAAGCCAAATCAATGGGGAAGCCAGATACACTTAACAGCCGTGTTACTAGCTTGAGCTGCAGTGATTCACTTAACAACTGTGGCAAGAGAAGACGTAAAATGGGGCAACACTCAAACAGCTGTCTCGCTTGGCACCAGAAATTATGGGCTCAGTTGTTGGGGGAGTCCACAGAGGGAGAGGCCCACTCAGCCCCCCAGGAGCCCTCGTGCCTGCCCCCCAGATGCCCCTGTGCCCCCCCAGCCACGGAACCGTGGCTGGAGGCAGGAAAGGCGCCGTGGCTGCCGATGTGGAAATAGGGAGGGGTGACCCCATAAGGAAACGGGGTTTCTCGATGGCAAAGGGGAGGAGCCCCGAGGTCAACTGGCCAGAAGGATGTTATCTCATTGGCACATCCCATCCGGCCGGAAGGGGCCCCACCAGCCTCGTCACGGCCGTCCCCGAGCCGACCCTTCACAGAACAGGCGGCAGGCCTGGGCAGGTGATAATGCTGGTTTTTAATGTTCCTAAGAACTAGAAACAAAATCCAAAATAGACTTTCTCCCCCCCACTTTGCTCTTTCAATAAAAGTCATAAAATGGTTAGCATAGTTAAATTAACCCCTTTTAAAAAACGAAACGAAAACTCTCCTAGAAAGCCAGGAGCCTTCGGTGGAAACAAGACAACTACCAAAGGGCCGCCGAGACCTTCTGCTCACACGCTCTCTCTCTCTCTCTCTCACACACACACACACACACAGACACACACACACAGGCGAGTCCTCTGTTCTGTGACAGACGATAAATGGCGCCAGTGGGAATACGCAACGGGCACGCTCGGGAAGAACAGGGACGAGGTCACAAGGGCAGCCACCACAGGGAGACGTATTTACACGACTGCTCTCCCCACGCTCTGAGGTGGGGGGCCACTCGGCCCCACTTCCGCAGGCTCCCCGGCCCTGCCTTCCTCCCCAGCTGGGGAGATTCGGGCAGGCGGCCGGCCCCGCTCTGCCGGGCACAGCCCCGAGGAGGCCTGCAGCTTGTCTGGGGGACATGAGGGCCACGGGGAGGCCGGCCGGTCAGTGCCAGCCCTGGGTCCCGGCCGCTCCCCTCCGGCTGCTTCGGAGCGGCCCGGCTGTCCCTCTCGGCCTCTCAGCTGGCTGCCCGTCAGTTGGGGGTCGACTCTCGCCTGGCGCTCTGCTGCTCCCGGACCGGCTCCGGGTCCTTGTCGGAGGCCGAAGGGGTGGCGGGGGGAGCCTGGGCACGCCCCGAGTGCTTGTAGGCGGTAAGCAGTTCGTGCAGGCGCTCCTGGGTGGGCTCCCACTTGGAGAAGCCGGCGTTGTTCTGCAGGAACAGCACCGCCGTGTTGTGCACGGCTTTGTAGTACATCTCCTCCCTGCAAAGGCAGAAAGAAGGCCAGCGCTCAAAGGCCCCTCCGTCCCCTCCCCGCCCTTCAGCTCACGAGGCAGAGCTGGTTTCCATGGGGCGGGGGGCCGGGTACCCTCCTGCCCTGCCCTGGGTGGTCCCTGCAGGAGCCGCCCTGCACGTGGCCCGGCCTCAGGATCTTTCCAATTCCAGCCCCCGACTTAGAAGGCAGTGCTGGACCAGAGGCCTGATGGGCAGATGGGCCCGAGTCCATTCCAGACGGGCGCAGGGCTGCTCCCGGTACCTGCCTCTGAGAGTCTTCCGGGCTCTTGGTCGGTTTTTTGCAGGGAGTCACACAGCCACGGCACCCCACCCCACCTTCTTTGGGGGGAGCTGTCCAGAAACCCTTGTGAAAGGGCTCCAGTGGGAATTGTGGGGGAGAGAGCAGGGGAAGACCCTGTTCAGAGGCTGTGTCCCCCTCCCTGCTGCACAGCCCAGCCTCGGGGGAAGGAGCCCAGGAGAGGCCGAAGCGGCGTTCCTACAGCTATGTGGAATTGGGGGGGGGGGTGAAGCCCCTCAAGGCAGCTCCTCTCAGGGAGAGTCTCCCCACCCCTGGGAAGGCTTGGAGGGAAGGAAGAGAACGGAGGGGGGAGCAGTTGGGTCTAGTGGTGAGGGAGCCGGGGGAAACTGGGGGACAGGGAGCTATAGTCCCCACCTGAGGCACCAAAGCTGGCTGGGTGACTGGGCCAATCACTAGGAGGGGGTGAGTTCTAATCCTGCCTTGGGCAGCTTTCTCAGCCTGGGAGAGGGGGAGGAAGAGTAGGAAGTGGGGGAGGGGTGGAAGGAGGGCGACTGCCTTGAGTTCTGCAGGCGAAAAGCCCCCCCCTTAATCCCCCCCCGGATCCCCAGCTTACTTCTTGCAGAGGTGCTGGGCGCCGCTGCGGTACTCGTGGTCGAAGGCCGGCAGGACGAGCTGCTGCCGCTTGAAGCGACTCTGCTCCATGCGGGTCAGGGAGGTTGGGGGGGGATCCCGCCACTCCGGGATGAAGACGATGAAGGACAGGGGCTCGCTGGATCCCTCCAGCAGTTTCTACGGCACACGTGGAAGAGGCGGGTGGGCTGAGCTGCCCCCCCCACCTGGCCCCCCGGGGAGGGGCCGCAGAGGGGGCGGGGCCAAGGCCTTACCTCGAAGTGGGTCACCATGACGTCCATCAGCTCCTCGCAGAAGGGGGGGTTGGCCTGAAAGGAGCCGCTGATGGGGAAGAAGTCCAGGCAAGGCCTGAGGGGAAGCAGGAGGAGGAGGTGGTAGCCGAGGCCAGCCGGGCCCTTCCCTGGCCTGGTCCAGCAGGCCCTGCCCTCCCCCCCCCATCTTCCTCCTGCCAGCCCCGGGCAGGCCAGTGGGCGGCAGGTGGGCCCTCACCCTCTGGAGCCGAAGTAGCTGTCCGTGTCGAGGAAGGCCGAGCAGTATTGCTTGAAGTAGCAGTTCAAGGGGGAGGCGAAGCACTCGAAGCTCACCCCGAAGTGCTTGTGGAGGGCCTCAAAGACGTGCACCGGGAGCGCCCCCTGCAGGCCGGTGCCCTCGTGGAGCCCAATGCCGAACATCATCTGGGGAGGACGGACAGAAGCCCTCTGGGAAAAGCAGGGCCGGCTGCAGAGCCTGGGCCTCCTGGGTGGACTCCTCCCCACTCCCTCCCCGGCCCAGCCCAGCCGGACGGCCGTACCTGGTACCTGCGGAGGAGGCACCACACCCTGGGCAGGAAGTGCTCAAAGCTGGCGTCGTCGATGCAGCTGTAGCGATAAAGCAGCCACTGCAAAGGAGAGAGGCGCTCTGCAACGGCACCCAAGAAGGGGGGGGGGACAAGGCCTCCCCCGCCATGCCTCAAAGCCCCCCCACCCTCCCTGCTCCCAAACACCACGCACCAGCTTGCTGAAGTAGCTGCGGCTGACTTTCACCACCTCACCCTTGTAGCGCACGCAGACCAGGCTGTTCTCCACGTGCATCTCCATGCTGGGCAGAGCGGGGGACGGGACGGCCAGGCGCAGGGGATAGCAGTAAACGAGGCGGTCCTGGACATCGGGAGGCTCCACCTCGGCTGGGGATGATGGGAAGTTAGTCCCACGGATCCTGCATCCCCTCCCTGACAAAGAGCCTACCCCAACCGGAACGGAGGAGCAGCTACCGGAGATGTTGTGCTCCTTGAGGAGGGCCAGGTGCTTCTCGCGGATGCGTTTGACGTACTCCAGGGAGATGTGGTAGATCTTGCTGCAGATGCCCTCCACCGAGTCCTTGGCGGCCGCAGAGACGTGGGGGCCACACTGCTTGCGCAGGTGCTCCAGCCGGTCCTACACACAGGAGGAAGAAGCCGAGGACATAAGATTCCCTCGGAGAGAGGAAGGGGGACAAGCCATCGTGTGAAGATGTCGCGGAGGTATTCTTTGAAACAGCAGCTTCCGAGATATCCGACAGGCGTCTCATGGTAATTCTTACTGGCCCAGGAGGGGGAGAAATAAGGCACGGCCTATTCTACCCCCTTTGCCCAAAGCCTAAATTCTCTTGGCAGGTATTTCACACCTGGACAATAAATCAGCAGGTTAAGAAGAAGTCTGTGCTTAGAGTGTTCCCGCAAGTTTTATCCTACTAGTTGTGACTGACTTTAGGAGGCGGGGCCCTCTCTGCTTGCTAAGCCCAAGAGCCAGAAATGTCCAGAAATCTTTCCGCCATCATGTGACCAGCATTACACCACGCCGCAGCACACAGCTTGCATTTGCATGCTTTTGAACTGCTAGGATGGCAGGCACTGGGACAAGTGACAGGCGCTCGTTCCGCCTACGGTTGTCAACGCTGTTAACATCGGATGTTTTGCATTGACAACAGATGGAAATGGAGCCATCTTTTTCCCTTTCGCTTTTAGAGTTAGATGATGCTGGGAGGGGGAGGAATGTGAACGAGAGTGCAGCTAAACATAACATCACTAAACCTAGTGTGAGAATCAAGGTTATTGAGTCCAGAGCTGATAAAGAATTGGCGGGCTGGAGAGAAAGCCTGGCTTCAAGCCAATTGGCGAATGTGATTTATGACTGTTAATTGGAGGAGGGAATTGTGCTTTGATACTAAGTGCCCAGGGGAGGGGAATTCAGTTTTTGGCTTTGATTATGCAGTGCCAATATTGTGCTACTCGAATAAAAGATTCTTTAAGGTAAATAATGCCTCTAAGTTCTTTTAAAGAGTTTCATCTGTCGGAACCATGACAACAGCACTCAGGTCTTGAACTGCTGAGCTGTAGACCTTTAACGGTCTAAGACTAACCACTTCGCCTCCGTGCCCCCCTAGGTCCACACACCCAGAGGACCTACGCCAAATACAGCCTGGGAGCCCCTGCCCATAAAAGCAGGGCTCCGAAGTGGTCCGGCCCCCGCCTCAACCTCAACTGCCTCCCTGGGGAAAGAGGCCAACCCACCATGTAGTCCTCCTTGGAGGCCGACCGATCCCGTCGCAGCCAGCTGAAGGTGTCTTCTACGTTCCACTTCACCACCTTCCGGCTGTCTGGAGAGGCACTCCTGCACACCGAGAGAAAGACCCGCTTGTCAGGCTCCAAAAACCAAGAAGGACACACGGTGATTCTTCCAGGCAGATCTCTTTGTTGCTCTGTACCTACAGACAGAATCTTGCCAGACTGAAGCAGACGACTACCGACGGGAAGCACGCACTCTGGGAATTATCAGGGAGGAGCCGTCTTCACCCTCTTTCTCCCACGCAGACTATCTGAGCTGAGTCGTCTTTTGCTCCTTTGGAAAGCAGCCCCTCCCTCCTGGGAATCCAGGCCACACTCCATTACACCTGCAGACCCTGGGCCCACACTCTGAAGGTCAAGAAGCTGATTCAACCAGCATCTGGAGAGGCTGGTCCTGGTACCTCCAGTCATTTCTCTGGCGGCTGGCATCCCCTCCTTCCCTATGCCCACCTCCCTCCCCTCTTGGATTGCCCTCTGGGAAGAACAGGGTTCCAGCCTCCTAAAACAGGGGTCCACCCACTAAAATAGCGGAGTTTGCCCCTACCTGGATTCAATCAGCCGCTTGGCAGCTTCGGCATATTTGAAAAGCAACCGCTTGGCTTCTTCTCGGAACTTGATTCGGGACAATCTGCGGGGGGAGGCAGAAGAGGGGGAGGGCTGACGGTTGGGCTCTGGGGGGGAGGGGGCAGCTTTAAAAAGTGTCCCTCTTTCCCGCCTACCTGATGGGAATGTCATTCATGATTTCTCGGAACATGGAGGGAGACACGATGGGCTCGCAGCTGCTGGGCAGCAAAGGGTCCGAGCCCTTGTCCACCACTTTTCGCTCCAGCATCCAGCGGTTGAAGGACTCACGGGGAGGATCAATTCCTGAGGGAAGAGCCAGAGAGGGACAGCCGGGCTCAGCCGCGGGGCCCCCTTCCCCAAGGCCCACCCGGCAGTCAACGGGAGGGGGAGACTTTACCCTCCCGCTGCTGGCAGAGCTCCCGGTAATGCTGCCGCAGCTTTAGCATCAACTGGGACCGGAGCAGCTCCACTTCCGGGTGAGGGGGCAGCACTTCTGACGGGGCCCGCTGCTTGATCACGGCATTGGTCTGAATATCCAGGTCCCAGTAGACTCTGTCGAAGGAAACCCGCTTGCAGCAACCATTACGCAGCTGCGGCTTCGAGCAGCTCGCCCCGCCCACTCTTACGTCACAAGCCCAGAAAAGAGTCAGGGGAAACCAGGCCCGTCTTCTACTAAACGTCAACGTAATCTCTGAGCTGCATTGCACAGCTTCACGGGCTATGGAAGTTCCCTACAGCAGGGATGCCCTCGATCTGCCCTTCCAGGCCAACCACAGGCTGGGCAGGGAAGCCTCCTGGAACGCCGCTTATTCCTTTATGGTGGATGAGTCTTTATTAAACTTGGGGCTTTTTCTTCCTTTTGTGCTTCTGAGTCATCGTCCCTGGTTCCCAATGACTCCGCAGACAAGTCCCTGCAGTTTTCTTGGCAACGTTTTTCAGAACGTTGGCTGATGCTTTCTTGGGCTGTGAGAGAGGCCCAAGTCGCTGCACTGGCGTCTTGCCTGAGGCGGAACCAGAGCTTACAGCCGTCCAGTTTCTACCCAGGTGCCTTAACCACTACCCCAGCTGGCTAGCAGAGACAGCACTTCCCCCAAGTTCCATCCATTAGACCAGAAATCTGCCCATCAGAGGCCGGGATGCCTCTCTGGGCTGAAGCATTAAACCAGATTCCAGGATTGCAATTACAACTGCAAAAGCAGGAACGTTTGAACTGAGGGGGAACGTGCAGAACTGCAAAATTCAAACGTTTTTGAGGAAAGAATGAGATCTGAAACAATAAGCAGACACAAGGTTTTCGTGACCGCCAAGTATTAGACTCGCTCTCCGCTGCAGGGCCTGCCCTGCCAAAGACCCTAACCCTTCCCTCCTGAGGCAATGGAGACGGGCAGTTCACGGGCACTTGGCCCAAAAGGCTCAGTGAGCCCGTGGGTGGATCTGATTAGGTTTTTTTTTAATCGTAATTTTATTAAAAATTACAAGTGCAACAATAAAAAACTAACATAAACCAAAAAAGGAAAAAAAGAATAAAGACTAATATAAACTATAAGAAAAAGTAGACTGTGTAGAAAACAAAAACAGAAAATAGAAAAAGATAGGATAGAATACAATAAAGAAATATAGAAAAATATAAAAATGGTAAAATAGAAAAAAGAATATAGTAAAGAAAGATAAATGACTTTCCTCTTCATCACGAGAATCACAAACCCTTTAGTATTTTAGTAACATATCACCTTCTCTTAAAATACAATAATCTCTTTGTTGATTCATTTAGTTGTTGTTTTTAATTAGAATGATTTTTAAACCTCAGGCATATATTACATTATTAATCCTGCAAATCGGGGCGTCGAACCTTGGCAATTGCAAGTACTGCGGACTTCAGAATTCCCCAGTTGGCATAGCTCGGTCTTAAAGTTGCCAAGGTTGGACACACCCGTTGTGCAGGTTACTGTTCACCGCTTTTGGTTTAAATCTTCTGCTCAACCCTGCTTAGAAATGAGATGTTCTACAAATTGCTTAAGTAAAAAATAAATAAGTTCAAAAGATCGCTCATGAGAAAGACGGTAGACTTACGTCCTCTGCGGACAATGCAAATTTTAAAAGCTAAACTTTTGAAGCCAGGCAATTGTTAGAAAGAAAATACCATACTTTTCCTTTCATAAGAAGCAGGGCAGGATGAGAGAGAACAAAAAACTGTCAATTTTCTAAGGAAGAGTGCCCAGGACTATGTGAATGTTGCTTATTACGAGCTTATCATTTTCTTCCTGCCCAGAAAGAGGCCGAGATTCACATCCCGAAATCTGACTCACTCCGTTGGTCGCAAGAGAGCCGCCTGCCTCTCTTCGGGAGAGACGCCCCACACCTTCAACAGTGGCGTCCCGGGAGTGCTGGAAACGTTTGGGGCTGGCTGAGCTGTGGGGTTTGCCGGTACCTCCATCTGAAAGTGAGCAATGCCACGTTACCTTGGGGAGAAACAGCAGAGCTACGAACAGGCTCACAAAAGAGCGAGAACCAGCTCCTCCCTCGGCACGCCCGCCAGCTGCAGAGTGGAGGCTGAGAGCCCCGTCCACCGGCTGCTGGGAACGCCTGAACCCTCCAGGTGGAAAAAGGGACAAGCCAGAGAGCGAGGCGAAGGAGATCCCCAGGGATGTTGGTAGAGCCCAGAGTCCTCCAGGGCACAAGCAGACTCCAGCCTAGGCCCTATTTGCTCCCCTGTCACGCCAGCCCTTGGAGGCAGATTATCTGTTACGAATGCTCACTTTTACTGCAAACTACAGAGGCAGAATTGGGGGGGAATTGTTCAACAGACTGCGCACAGGGACCTTAGAGACACTCGGAACAAAGGGGGCGCTCCAGCCGCTTCTGCCCTTTGCCACTGTGATGTCATTATGTATACCTATCTGTGGTGTCCTGATCAGCAGCACCTCATGGTAGCGCGACAGGACACAATTAATGTTGCTAGTTTCTGGGCAAGATCTGTTTAAACCTGTACGTATTTTTATATTTTACATTTTTTGTCGTTTAGTAGGCCTTATTTTAATCGGGATGCTTTTAGCAGAAATAAACAAAATTAGCGGAATCTAGCAGCTCTGAATGGGGCTCCCTTCAAAGAGAACTGGAGTGGGTCAAGACAGGGACTTGACCTGCTTTGGACTCAGCTTGCTCTTATCTCTGACCGTTGCTTGGCCAGTTTTTCCCGCTCTTCTCTTCTCCCCAGCCTTCAACTCCTCCAGGCTCTGCTCTCCCAAGCCACCGTCCTGGGCCCAAGAGTGTGTGTGGGGGGGGCTCCCTACCTTGGACTTTTTCGCAAGATTGCCGCTGGGCTGACCCTCCTCAGACAGCCTCCGTTTGCATGACTTGCTTTCGGCAGCGGCCGCTTCACCGGCTCCCCCCTCGGCAGGCCCTGGGGCGGCATTCAGACCCAGAGGGTCCGACTAAGAAGCCCAAAGAGAGAACCGTTAGCATCGCCTTGGGGTTTCCCATCCCGCCCCAATGAGCTGTGCGAGCAGCCAAGGGATGCTCCGGGAGGCTGTGCCCGGAACAGCCAAACCAGCCACTCACAATGACGTCATGCTGCCCCAGCAGCGGCATCTCCCAGAGTGACTGGTTGGTGAAGCGGTTGAAGTAGTACGGGCGGTTCTCTCGCTTACTCCAGCACTTCTCCCAGCCCGCCTGCACCAGCTCATCTGTGGGGGAGGCAACAGCACCCAGTGTCATGGCGGGGGGATGGGGTGTTTGGTGTTGGAGCCCCCCCCCCAGTGTCAGCAGTTTCCCACAGCCGCCTCCATGGCCAAGGAGTACCTGGCAGATCCTGCACCAGACGGGCGGGTTTGGGGGAGCTCGGCTGGTTCTGGTGGGAGGTGCTGGGAGAGTGGCTCATGAGGGCAGCCTCCTCCCTGGAGCTGCCGTGGTTCTCATTGGCCATGTTGCAGCATCGGCACTGGAGAAAGACAAGGAAACGGCGTCACTGTGACTCCTGCCCACAGCCAAACCTGAGCATCATGCAGGCAAGGCTGGCAGGGCACTGCTTGGCTCCGCCGGGCGGCCTGCTCAAACCTGCCAGGCTGGAGAAGCCTCTGGGGAATCAGCTTTGAATTCCACCCTCGTCCATTCTGGCACGGAGGGGGCCGATCCCCAACAGAGACTCAGCGTTGCCGAGAAGCCCAGGCCTTGAACCAACACATGGTGGTGCTTCTCACGATCTTGTAAGATTCCATTACTGCAGGGAAGGCGTGCCAACCCCTCTTCCGTGTATCTCCCTGCTTAAGCATGGCTTAAGCCCCCGCACTCCTGAGCATAGAAGGGGCCCCAGGAGGAGCAGCCAGAGACAGTTGCAGGACTTTGAGAGTGCAGCGATGGGAACTTGGCGTGTTCAGCCTAAAGGGCCCAGCGGGGACCGGAGAGCAGCCCCTCAACCCATGATGGGGGGGCTCACGGGGGAAAGAGGGAGCAATTTATTCAAGAGCCCTGGGGAGGGGGGGGCTGCAGTGGTTAGAGAGCAGGGCTGCTGGCTGGCTCTGCCCACAGCTTTCCCTGCTTCCCAGGTGGGCGAAACGAGGACCAAGGGGGTCGCATGGGGGGGCACTGGGCTGGCCCTGTACGCCGCCCAGAGGGGGCCGGGAAGCGCCGCGGGAGGAGGCGGACCAGATTTTCCCTAAGGGAGACGTTGCTGTCGCCCTTCTCCAGAGCAGCGGGGGGGGGAGCCGGGACCCGGCAGGCGGAGCATTCGTGCTCCGGGGCGGACTAGAAGACCTCTGGGGCTTCCCTCCAGCCTCATGGCAAATCACTCGTGTTCACTTCTGCTCCTTTCCCTCGACTGAGCCGGGACCCGGAGGCCACGCGAGGCCCGGGGGGGGGGGCAGAATCCCAGGCTCGGCCCCGGCTGCCACTCGAGCGGAGCCGCTCCCGTCCGGCACACGTGGCCGCCGCCGCCGCCCACTGCGCAGCGGAGGCCCCGGCTGGGCTGCGCCGGGGCCCTTCCGGGGCGGCGGCTCGCTCGGCTCTGCGCAGAAGCGCCCGGGCGGAAGAGAGGAGCGGCCGGCGGCGCGGCGAGCGGGAGGCCGGGGACGCTCCCGGAGGCGGCCGCCCCTTCCCGGCCCTGGGGCGAGGAGAGGCGGCGGGGGCCAGGGGCCCCGGCGCGAGGAGGGAGGCCGGGCGGGCGAGGACGAGGAGCGGCGGCGGGGCGGACGGGGGAGGGGGGGGGCAGGCGGGGGCGCGCCCAACATGGCGCCGGGAGAGGCGGCGCCTCCTCTCCTGCCCGCCCGCGGCTCGTCAGCGCGGGAGCTTTCTGGGCCCCGGCGCCGCGCCCCCTGCTCGCCAGGGAAGGCCTCCGGGCTCGCCGTGCCGCCCCTCACCTGCGGCCGGGGCCTGGGGTCGCTGGGGGTCGCTCAGCTTCCCGCCGCCATCGCGCCGCTGCCTCACCCTGGCAGCCGCCGCCGCCATCTTGTATTCGGGACCCGCGGCACCCGCGCGCAGGCGCCGGACACGCCCTGTGGTGTGCTCTGCGACTGCGCCGCGCCGTGAGGCGCGCAGGCGCAGTTCGGCCTTCCGCCGATCGGCCCGCGCATGGGCAGAGCGAGGGCGGCGGAGAAGAAGCGCGGCCGGCCGGGCGACGCCATCTTGTCGGGGACTGCGAGGCCTCCTGGCAGTCGATCCCGGCGAGGTAGCAACCGGAGCCGCTCGGCCCCCGATTTCCGCAGGTGGAAGCCCGCTTTCCCCGGGCCCCTCTCGGGCGGGGACAGGCGGTGCTGCATCGGTCGCGGCGCAGGGGAGGCGAGGAAGGATTGCGAGGGGACAGGAGCCGGCGACGCTCCCGAGCCTGGCAGTGAAATGTTTGCGGCAAATACGGATCCTGAGCTGCATCGACGGAGGGAGGGAATCAAGAACACGGGAAGTGTCTTAGTACCGCTGTATACAGCCTTAGTAAGGACCACCTGGGATCCTGCATCCAATTTTGGCCACCACATCACAAAAAAGATGCTGAGACTTTGGGAAAATGCAGAGAAGAGCAACTAAGACGGTTAAAGGCCTGGAGACTACAACATGAAGAACGGTTGCAGGAATTGGGTATGGCCAGTCTAGAGAAAAGAAGGACTTTGGGGGACATGGTAGCAGTATTCCGGTATTTGAGGGGCTGCCCCAAAGAAGAGGGAGTCAAGCTATTCTCCAAAGCACCTGAAGGCAGGACAGAAAGGAACGGATGGAAACTAATCAAGGAGGGAAGCAACCTGGAATTAAAGAGAAATTTCCTAAGTCAGCACCATTGATTATTTGAAGGACTTCCTTCCAGAAGTTGTGGGTGCTCCACCACTGGAGGTTTTTAAGACGAGAGTGGACAGCCACTAGCTTGGAATGGTCTAGGGCAGGAGTGCCAAATTGCCGGCCCGTTTCATCATACCGGAGCTGCGCCCACCCCATTGCCAGCAATGGCGAAAAAGCTCCACGATGTCACGTGACGTCGCAAGTTTGACATGCCTGGTCTAGGGTCTCCTGCTTGAGCAGGGGTCAGACTAGAGGACCTCCAAGTTCCTCCCAACTCTTTTTCTATGTTCTAATAGCAGCTGAGCGCACACCAAGAATTCAAGGAGGTGGAATTGCCCATCTAAACTGGATCTGCACAACGCTTCAGAGCAAGTCTGTGGAAATGCTCAAAAATCTAGGTCATGCTTTTTCCAAAAAACAGCTGGACTTGTTTTTTTTTTTCTTTCAAAACATTTTGCTTCTCATCTAAAAAGTTTCCTCGGTTGTAACTTAGAACTGAAGAAGTTTCTTGGATGAGAAACAAAACATTTTCAAAGAAAAAAAATCAAGACAGCCCAGTTGCCTTTTTGGAAAAGCACATTTGGGACTCCAGGGTCTTTCAGCTTCAGCTGCTTTTAAGGAGTATGCACTGATTCCCAGAATTCCCCAGCCAGCACTTGGGAATTCTGGGAGCTGAAGTCAACACAGTATGAAATGGTTGAAGTTCAGAAATGCTGCTCCAGACCTGAATACCAGGGTTCTCTAAAAGAAAGAAAGCAAAAACAAGCTTGTTCAAACACAGTTTTCTGTTTCTAGAATTTGGGCCTCTTGATCTGGGATTTCTTTTAAGAGGCTGCATAACCTGCAAAAGCTTTAAAAACATCTGTGGAGGAGTTCAAATGGAACTGGGTGCATGTTTTTATTAACCCGGGCTTAGGGCCAAGCGTGCTATCTGAATCAATGTTGGATTGCTGTGCATGCTGGAGTGGATTACTTACACGTTCACTGGATCACACAAACCTAGAAACCTGGTTAATGGCTTGGTTAATTAGGGCATGTTTACAAACAGCCAGTGCTGTTACGAAGCCCTGCAGAAGATCAATCCCATGTTGGGTTGCCAAGTATAGAAATGGGAGCCTCCTGTGGCTGTTAGCTGGGAGGGGTGATCTCTCCATCATCTTCATTTAAGCCTCAGCGGATTCTGAGCTGGGTTAAGTGGCCAGCCCAGGCTGTTTCTTCTGGGCTTTGGGTGGAGTGAAAACCCTTCTGCAGGAAAAGGCCGCCTTTTGGTCCTGCACAAGGGCGGGGGGGGGGGAGAAGGTTCTGTGACAATTTGCCACGACCAGCTTGCTGTGGGACATCTCCCCGCAGGACAAAAGTTACACCAATATAAAAAAATATATGGTGGAACAGAATCATTAAAGGGTGCAAAAGGAGGGACAGAATGAAATGTGAATGGCGAGAATTAAAACAATCATTTATTTTAAATAATTTAATAGAATTGTTAAATTGTAACGCAGTGAGTGGTCCCACTCCCTCCCCTTGGGGTGGGGGCTTGGCCAGAAGGCTCCCTGCGGAAAAGCCGGCCAGGGCCTGAGGGTCATGCAGCTACAGGGAGTCCTCGGCTCGAGCCCTAAGTTTCTGTTGCTAAATGAGGCGTCTGTTAAGTGAGTTTTGCCCCATTTTACAACAGTGGCTAAGTGACTCCCTTCTAGTTGTTAGTCACACGGTTGTTAAGTGAGTCTGGCTTATCTGGAGGTCGCAAAAGGGGATCGTGTGACCCAGGGACACTGTATCCGTCATAAATGTGAGTCAGTTGCTGAGCATCTCCATTTTGATTGCGTAAAACCAAAGGGATGCTGTGAAAAACAGCCCTAAGTTACTTCTTTCGCTGCCATTGTAACTTTGGTCACTAAATGAACTGTTGTAAGTCGAGGACTATACTGCGCGCGCACAGGGGCTGCAAAGGCAGTTTGGAACCCGCCTCCCACTTGTGATCAGGCTGCACGGTCGGGGGGCTCTTCCAGGCCAAGGAAAATATCCCGGGCGGACGTTTCAGATTTACCCTGTTTCAAAACAATTCCGCGGCCCAAGATGTTACAGTGACTGACTTAGATGTGGACTTTCTGAAGTGGAGCGCTGGGGCTGAAGGACAAAAGCAGGAAAAGATGGCTTGTGTGTTGACGGGAACGTTTCTTGCCCGCGCTTGTTTTGTAGATCTCGGGAGTGAGACGGATCAAAGCAGAACCACGTAATGTCCCAGAGGAACAAATACAAAACCCCACAGGCATCCCAGCCGATAAATTCCAAAGTCCTGAGTAAATACTACAATAGAACTTGTTGATGCAAAGAACTTCTGTCGGGTATTTTTATTGCTTTTGGGGCATTTTAAAGACTTCATGCAGGCATTAGTTAAACCGGTAGATTTGATTAATCTGTCAGGAATGTTTTAATTTGGAATACTCTGTGTGTGTGTGTGTGAGAGAGAGAGAGAGAGAGAGAGAATGATCTCAAGGGTAATCACGATGCTAGAGCATTTTCTGATGCAGGATTGTCTGTATCCAGGGCAGGGAGCCATAAGGCTGCAGCCAAATTTTTCTTGTGGGAAAAGTCTCTAAATGGGCCCCAAGGTGGGGCTGGTGTCCAGAGACAGGCTAGCTCAGTGATGGCGAACCTTTTAGAGACAGAATGCCCAAAAAATGCTCCCCCACTCACCCCTAGGGCCACCCACCACCTCCATGGCCTGCTGCAGATCGCCCAGGTGGCTCAGCAGCGCCATGGCAGCCATGCCCTCCGCCTGTGCCCCGCAGCATCAGCTACGGTGATGGGGCGCGAGGGCGAAGTCTTGTCCCCGCTGCCTGGCTGCCATGTCCTTCGCTGTGCTGCTCTGCGCGGGCTGCGCTCATGGGTGACTCTCCTTGAGGGCTGCTGTTGAGGGCCGCGGGGGAGGCTGGGCTGACGGTGCCTGTGCCCACAGAGAGGGCTCTGAGTGCCGCTTCTGGCACGCGTGCCATAGGTTCTCCACCACTGGGCTAGCTATTCTTTTTTGGGGGGGTGAGGTGGGGTAAAAACTTCCCCTCCAGAATACAACCAAGGTGGGATCCTCTCCCCCTGAAACCCCAGGCCCCGAGTGGCACCAGAGACAGCCTTGGCCTGCATATGCTGGAGGCGCCCTGGGCAAACTCAGTCCAATTTGGGTGTGTTGCTGGGCTGGTGTAACAGCTGCCCGAGAAGATTCCTCGGTGGGTGTGTAACCGGGTAAAGCACCCGGAGTCTGGTGGCTCTGCCCATGTGCCTCTCTCCCCCTTGAGAGAGTCCTGCTCCAGCCGCCTCCCTCCTGCATTTGAGGGGCTTCCCCGTGGCAGCAAAGATCAAACCGCTTGTGGAGAAACCCTAGCAAGAGCCTGACTTGTGCAGACAGGGGCGCCTCTTCCTTGCCCTGGTGCCTCCGTGTCTGGGGTCCTCCCTCTTGCTTCAAGGCCGGGAGTCTGGGGCCGTGATGCCAGGGATCAGGAGACTCCTTGTGGGTGCGGAGTTCTCCCCCTGAGCCAGGGCTGCGGTTCCCTGGGTGGCTCCCCACCCGGGGATTTCCCCCGCTGAGCCCAGGGCAGGTTCTGAGTCTGAAGGCCTAACGTGCTTCAAACCACAGGCGGCCTGGCATCTCTCCCAGGAGGAAAGACGAGTCCTTTGGGATGAGAAGCGACTTGCAAGCTAAGGGCTGGGCAGGGGGTGCCTGGCTCTGCAGAGGGAAGCCACAGCTGGTAGGGAATCGGGGTGTCCGGCTGGAGCAGGGCTTGGAGCAGTAGATCTTCGAGGCTCGTCCGGGTCTCTTACACAGTCTGTTTACTCTGCTTGGGGGGGGGGGGAAGTGTTGCTTGCTGGGAAGGGCCCTGGATCAGCTGGTGGTTCCCACAGAGCTGGATCCCGAGAAGAAGCCGTCCGCCTGTTCTGTAGGCATGTTGGTGGCCTCGCTCAAAGGCCAGAGCCAACAGGCCTGGCTGCAAGAGGCCCACAGCTGTTTCCTCCAGCAAAGCCCAGCATGCCAACAGGAAGGGCCCAGCAGTGTGGCAGTGGGTCAAGGAAGGCTGGCCAGGAAGATGTTTTGTCCCTCCCCCTCCCTTTGAGAAGCAGACTCACAGCTGCAGAAGATCCAGGAGCCTCCCTGGAGAACTGCCAGGCCCGGCATGAGGCTTGTGGGGCCCCTGTGGCATGCTCCGAGGGGCTCCCCACCATCGTCGGGCGGCTGTTTTGGACTCCAGCAGCGACAGGGTGCGTGGGGGGGGGGGGTGCTGCCATCCTAGGGCAATCTGAAGTCCGAGCAGTGCTGCCCCCCCTTTGCAAGCCATCTTGCATTTGGCTCTGCCTGCCCCAGACGCAGTCGGTTCCCTCAGATGGGGCCTGTGCAGGCAAGGCAGCCCAGGGTGGGCTTGTGTCCCCCTCGCACATGTGTGTGTGGTAGGACAGTCTTCCACGTGCAGCGGCGAGGACTCTGGTGCGGCCAGTGCTGCCTGCTCTTAAGCTGCTGAGGTCAGCCTTGCTGCCCGGGCTCTGCAGAAGGTTCCCCAGCTTCCTTCGTGGAGAGCCGGCTGGCCGCTGGGCCCGAGTAGCCTTCAGCCACAAAAAAGGGCAGGCCTCCCTTTTGCCGACGGTCCTGTGGCCTTAGTTTACCAGAGGGGTGAAATATTCATAAGAAAAACATTTTAACTAAAAGGCAGGATAGGTGTGTCATAATAACAACTGTGCAGCCCAGTGTGGTTATGCTGGGATGGCAACAGATTACAGGGAAGTTTCCTGAAAAATACAGCTCTGGGCGGCAGCTGCAGCTTCTGGGCTGGTGCAGCTGGAGGAGCAGCCCCCCCTTCCTGGGCAGAGAGGGCCCCCCACCAAGGGTCCCTGAGCAAGGCTGGCTGGAGTCCAGGCTGGGCTGCCCATCCAGGCCTGGCCTCCTGCAGGAAAAATGTTGGAAAGTGAGGCTGGTCCAGAGAGGACCCCATACAGCTGGTCCTCAACAACAGTTGATTTAGTGACAGCTCAACGTTACAACGGGACTGAAAAAAGTGACTTGTGACTGTTTTCCACACCACCCTCACAACCTTCCCATGATCACGTGATCAAAATTCAAATGCTTGGCAACTGCCTCGTATTTATGAGAATTGTAGTGTCCTGGGGCCATGTGGCCACCTTAGAGAAGTAACCTGGAATTAAGGGGAAACTTCCTGACGGAGGACAATCAACCGGTGGAACAGCTGGCCACCAGAAATTGTGGGTGTTTCATCACTGGAGATCTTTAAGAAGAGACTGGACAATCATCTGTCTGAGATGGTATAGGTCAGATGTGTCAAACACAAGGCCCAGGGGCCGGATGCGGCCCGCGAAGTGGTTTCATGTGGCCCACGAAGCCATTCTGGAAACAGTGAGGGAACAGCCCCCTCTGCCTTGGCCCTGGCCCAGGCCGGCCGGGAGCCCATGTACAATTTTGTGGTGGCCATCTATGTTGAAACACATTCAGTCTCCCTCTGACTTTGCCCTCGTACCCATCATGAGCAACCTGGCTAAGGAGAGCAAGCACAGCAGCAGCAGCCTTGAGGAGGAAGTAAGTGCAGCTGGGCACCCCCTTGGGAAGTGGGGCTGGGCTTGGTGCCAAGGGTGCTCGAGGGCCAGTCTGGGCGTTTGACCTCTGCTGCCCAGGGCTCCGGGCAGCCCGCGCCACCATTCAGCTCCCCCCACATGGCCTGAGAGGAACAGTGAGGCTCCTCCAGTGGACCATGCCTTGGCCCTTGCCCCGGTCCCACCCCCTTCTGCCAGAGACCCTCCGATCTGTCCCACTCCTGCCCAGGCCCCCACAGGCAACCTTGACGGGAATGATGTAGAGCTGGCCACGCCCACCCAGTAGGCCACACCCACTCCATCCACGCCCACCCAGTAGGCCGCACCTATCCTGGTCACACAGCCCGCCCCCCCCCCAGGGCAACTGCAATGCTGATGCGGCCCTCAATGAAATTGAGTTTGACACCCCTGTTCCATTCCATTCCATTCTGACAAGCAAAGTCAAACGGGGAAGCCAGATTCACTTAACGACCATGTAACTAATTTAACATCTGCACTGATTCATTTATCAACTGTGGCAAGAAAGGTTGTAAAATGGGGCAAAATTCGCTTTTCTCACTTAGCAACGTGATGAAGTGTGGCTCCATTGTGGGGACTATCTGTAGCTCCCAGTGGAGGTGGCTGAAGGGTTGCTGGGGGCGACGAGGGTGGAGGGAACCCTCCTTCCGGCTCTTCCTTCCCAGCAGCTGCCCCCCCCCGAAGGTCAAGCGCCCCCCCCCATCCCCGGAAGCCTGGCCTTTCCAGGCTGGACTGGGGTCACCAAAGGGCTTTTCCGTCCTCTTAAAATCCTCAGAGGCAGGATTTCAATTCCCTGGCAGGGCCTGACCCTCCTCCCTGCCTGTGATTTAGTGCGGGGGGGGGGCAGGAGAATCTCTGGGTCGCATCCTGCGGCCGCTGGGCGTCCTTGGGGTGAAGAGGAAGCCGCCCGGCTCAGAATTGCTGAGTGGCAGAACTTGGAAGGAGGAAGTTGGTGAGTGAGAAAGCAGATGGACATCTCTCTTCAGCCATGAAGCCCCCCTCCCCTCCTGTCTGCCTTCCCTGCCAGTGGCAGAGGATAAAACGGGGGGGGGGGGCTGCCCATGCTTTGGGCCTGGAAAAAGGTAGCTATATGAAGGCACGGGGGGGGGGGAGAATGTGGCAGGGGCCCAGCTCCCTCCCATGTTGTGTCTTACAAAGGACTCGGATGGGAGAGTCCAGGAAAAGGGACGGGGGGGGGGCTTTGCTAATGCTTTCATCCTACTTCCTCCCCCCATCCCACAGAGTTCTTGGCTCAGACTACAACTGCCCCCACCGCAGGGCAGCTCATCCCGAGCGGCTGACACAACACAGAGACTTATAGCAATAGTCTCCCGGCGGGTGGGGCGGGTGGGCGGCACAGAAGCCCCCCCTGCAGGGAAGGAAAGCGGCTCTCTGGAGACAGGATGTGGAGCGCGTTTCCCGGGGAGTCCTGGCGAGATCAAGGCAGTCGGCTCTTCCCGTCCCTGTAACCGAGGGGTGGGAGCCCCCCCAAATACAGTTGGGTGGGAGCCCCCCCAAAGACAGGACCTTCCGCCCCCCCCCGCTGGGCTCTCCTGACCCTGGAGGGGTGCAGCTCCTCCCCCCCTTGTTGGTGAACAGGAATTCTGCAACTAGTCCGCACCCGGCACGTGGTTGTGGCACAGCACAATTAAGGTCGATCCCGCCGTGCAAAGGCCCCCGGCCCCGCTCTCCGGAGGCAGCCGGCGCAGGGCAGGCGGGCAATCCTACAGGTAGCGCCTTGCTCGGTCCCCAGTGCGCAGGAGGCGTCCCGCTAGGCCGTCCAGCCGCGGGAAGGGGCGCGACCAGCCCCAGCGCAGGCCCCTCGACGGGAAAGCGGCCAGCTCGGGACAGAGGCCGGGACCCCGCTTCGGGGGGCGCGGCGGGGGCGGGAGAGGCCGGGGATGCGCGGACGCCGGGCGCTCCCCCGCCCCGGCCGAGAATGGGGCGACTCCTCTCCTCCCTGCCCGACACCCCCCCTCCCCCGTGGCTGCCGCCCGCGCTTCCCTCGGGCCAAGCTCGCCCCGCTTGCGGAGGGACGCCGCTGCTTCCGCGCCCCCCCCCTCTTGCCGAAGCGGCCGAGGCCCGGCATCCCGGCGACGAAGCGCCCCAGCGCCGCCGGACTCTCCCTCGCCACCCCTCCCCTCCTCCGGCTGGGGCGGGCTCCGGAAAGCCGCCGGGAGGGCGTATAAAGGCGGCGGGCGGCTGGCAGAGCGCGAGTGGCCGGGGAAGGGACCGCGGGAGCGCCGGCAAGTGTGGCGGCGGAGGGCGGGATGGGGGGGGGGGGGATGGCGCGCAAGTGGGACCCCTTTTCCGCGCAGCCCCCGGCCCGGCTCCCGAGACCAGCCCGGGCAGCGGGGGCTCTGCCGGAGCAGCCCCGGGCTCCCGCGCGCTCCTTCGCGCTAAGGGCCGTCTCCGCGGGGAAGGGGGGCACTTGGGACCCGGCGGGGGGACGCGACACTTGGCCCTCGGCCGCGGGCTGCCTCTCGGATGGGATCCAGGAGAGCGGCCGCCAAAGCGGGGCTGCCCGCGAGAACGCTCGGTTCCGGGCGGGCGGGCTCCGAACTGCCCGAAGCGGCTGTCTGGGAGCAGCGTCCGGGGCTGCGCGCTGCTGAGCTCGCTTCGGGCCGGGCAGCGCCTGGATCGGCGCGCCGAGGGAGCGGGTCCTGCCCGGAGTCCGCGGCCTTTCGGGCAGGAGAGCCGGGCGGGGGGCTGGCTTGGGTCCCAGCGCAGTGCTAGCCGGAGCGGGGCCCACGCCGGCATCCCGGCTGGCTGCTTCTCCAGGGACCAGAGCGGATGAAGGGGCGGAAGGAGCGGCGCTGCGACGTCTTTGGGAGAAGTCCCGTGCTTGGGTCATCCCGGAAGACCAGGCTGGGAGGCTTTGGCTGCCCCGCCTCGATCTCTACCCACGGACTCCCTCAAGGCGGGGGAAAGAAAATGCAGCGATTCCCCCCCCCCCAGCCCCAGCCGGGAGCCGTCCACCTGTGGCCTTACCTGCCCGGAGAATTGGCTCCCTTTGAAGCCTGGTGGTGGTGCTGTGTGTCCCTGCCTGCCTGCCTTATCTATCTATCTATCTATCTATCTATCTATCTATCTATCTATCTATCTATCTATCTATCTATCTATCTATCTATCTATCTATCCACCCACCCACCCACCCACCCACCTATCATCTACCTATCTATCTATCTATCTATCTATCTATCTATCTATCTATCTATCTATCTATCTATCTATTTCGTTCATCCATTCAACTTCCTATGCTACCCATCTGATCGGGAGGTGGCGTTCCCTGGCCTGAGGAACCTGCCCACCCAGGTGCCCAAAAGGGGTGCTTGGCAGATGCTCTCAGGACTGGGCCAGCCCCACTTGAGCCCCCTGTGCAGGCTTCCCTCTGGAGACTGACCCTCACCCTTTGCAGGAAAGAGCCGACATGCCTCTGCGCTGCCTCCTGTTGCTGCTGGCCTGGCTGGGCCCACCCTCCGTGGCTGCCCAGACCCCTGCCTGCAAAATGAGAATCACCCAAAAGGGCCTGGAGCTTGGTAAGTGGCCGGGGGGGGGGGAGAGCGAGAGGGACTGGGGAGAAGGCAGTCCAGGCTTTGGAGCGGCTCCCCTGCTGGCTTGGCTGGCACTGCCCATTCTCTGGGCACAGGTGGAGTGGCAGCTTGCCCGTCGCCTCCCCACGGCCTGGCCGCTGGTTTGGGCGGGGAGCCGCTTGCAAGCGGAGACTGTGGGGGTGACGCCTCTGGGGGTCTCTTGCAGTGAAGCAGGAGGGTCTGCGCTTCGTGGAGCAGGAGCTGGAGACCATCTCTATCCCCGACCTGCACGGGAAGGAGGGCCAGTTCCACTACAACATCAGCGAGTGAGTTGGCTCGGCCGGGCACCTGCAGGCCCCTTCAGGGAAGGGTCGCCCACGCAGCCCTGGCCTCCCCTGCCCCTGCCACGCGCCCCGGAGCGGGGTCAGACCCAGCCAGGAGTGCTTGACCCCCGCTGGCTGAGGCAGCTGGGTTCACCCAACCCCTGCTGTTAATCCAGGGGGAAGGGTCTGTGGGAGGGGTCTTGGGGTACGCAGGGAAGAACTGCTGCCAGGGGAACGTCAGGTGAGCCTGCAGGAGGAAGGGGGGCCTGGCAAAGGCCTCAGAAGGGAACCCCCACCCCCAGTTTCTTGGGCCACCTAAGCAAGGAGGGAGAAGCCCACCTTCACACCTGTGAGGTTCTGATAGTGTCACCTCGCCAGGCAGTTTGAGGCAGGACTTTGGGCTTGGCTTCTTGGCTGGACCATCCGACAAGGCTGACCTCGGTCTGGCAAGTCTTAAATAGGCTGTCCCCCACTCATGACAGTTCATTTAGTGACCATTCAAAGTACACTAAAAAAAAGTGACTTCTGACCGTCTTTCACACGGCCGTTCCAGCATCCATCCCTGTGGTCACATGATCAAAATTCAGACGCTCGGCAACTGGCATGTCCTTATGACAGTTGCAGTGTCGTGTGATCCCCTTTTCTGACCTTCGGGCCAGCAGTGGGGAAGCCAGATCCGCTTGATAAGTATATTATACTAACTTGACAACTGCGGTGAGAAAGGTCGTAAAATGAGGCAAAATTCACTAAATCTCGCTTAGCAACATAAATTTTGATCTCCATTGTGGTCCTGAATCGAGGACCGCCTGTGCTCTCCTCCAAGAGAGGCCCAAGGCTCTCCTCTGGATTTTAGGAATGGCCTCCCATCCCCAAGGGGCACCTCTGCCCAACCAACGCCTGGCAGGAGCAAGGAGTTACAGCGCCAGCCGCAGGTCGATACGGGCCGGGGACGCATGTGTCCAGAACGCCACCGTAGATTCCACAAAGTGGGGCAAACTGAGAGACAGAAGCTGGGGTGGAAATAGCCTCAGCTACAGCAGCGCAGAGAGGTGCAGCCCCCCTCCCCCCCAGGTCCTGCCAGCATCCCACTGCAGGTGACAAAGTGAAGCAGCAACAGACACCCTCGCAGGTGGCAGGCTAAGCACAAGCAATGTTTGTGACTTGCTTGGCTGTGGGGAGCTGGTCAGTTTGGCATTAATGCAGCCAAGGGGTATTGTTGTAAGAGTGTATGTGTGTTTGTGTGTGTGTGTACATACCTGTGTGCGTAGGGAACTCTCTATCCTCCATCCTAAAACACGGAGACCTCCCCCAGGAAATTAGCAGGGACCGATCAAAACTGGATCGCTCTCACCAGCTCCTCAAAGGAGGCAGAGAAGGCCAATAAGCTCAACTTCTCTTGGCTCTGTGACAGTTTATTATGCAATCAAAAACGGATTCCGTGGCAGGATTGCAAAGATCAGCCTGCTTCTGCCTGGGGCCGGGCTGGGCTAGGCCGGGCTGGAAGCTAGCCCAGGGTTACCGCAAGAACGGTGGTGTCTGGGTCCGTGGCCAAGGAGGAAAGCCCCAGAATCCCCACGTTCATCTCCTCCCTGTTTGGCTTCTGCCCCTTTGCGGGGGGGGGAGGGGGTGCAATGCCCTTAAGGCCCTCGTGCAACAGCCCGGCCCACCTTGATGCAGGGACTGGCGTCAAGAGGGCCAATGGCAGGCGCAGGTGGGGAGGGGGAGGCAGGGGGCAGTGGCCTGGCCCGCGGAGACACCCCCCTCACACAGACACACCTGACGGTCTCTCCCTGCAGCGTGAAAGTGACTCACCTGCAGCTGAACTTCTCTGAGCTGCAATTCCAGCCGGAGCAGTACCTGGCCTTCCGCATCAACAACGGCTCCATCGGGGTGCATTTCCGGCGCCAGCTGCTTTACTGGTTCTTGTGAGTGGCTTAATTTTATCCTTCGTCAATTGAAAACGTTTGTATAGCCCCCCCTTTTTTTCCCACAGGAAGTCCTCCACTTACAGCAGTTCATTTAGTGACCGTTCAAAGTTACATCACTGGAAAAAAGGGACTTATGACCGGTTCTCACATTTACGACCGTTGCAGCCTCCTGCAGGGTCACATGATCAACATCCGGACGCTTGGCAACTGGTTCGTACTTACGACCGTTGCAGCGTCCCGGGGTCAGGTGATCCCCTTTTGCGACTCTCTGACAAGCAAAGTCATAATGGGGAAGCCGGATTCATTTAACGACCGTGTGACTGACATAACAACAGCAGTGATTCACTTAACAACCGTGGCAAGAGAGGTCATAAAATGGGGCAAAATTCACTTAACAAATGTTTCATTCCGCGATATAAGTTTTGGATTCAATTGTGGTCGTAAGTTGAGGACTACCTGTAACAATTCCTGGGTGACTCCCAAACAAACAAACAAACAAAAGGAACAATATACAAACTATATTAAAACAATAAATATCAACCACATCAGAAATGAAAACTGGGGGCCGAGTCAAGCTTCTAAGCCTCCACCAGCAGTCCCTCCTTTCGAACCCAGGGCACCCGGTCTTGATGTGACCTCTGGCCTCTTCTGTACAGTCTGCACAGGGAGGGAGGGGGTCTTAGGGACGAACAGGGAAGCGTGTGGCAAGGGGGCCATTCTTGTGGCTGAAAACCCCTCCTCACTCACTCAACCGCTTGTCGCCCAGCTATGACGTCGGCTCCATCTGGACAGGGGCCGAAGGGGTCAACATCCACACCCAACTGCAGCTCTCCCAGGACCAGGGGGGGCGTCTTAAGATCGCCAACATGAGCTGCAACGCCTCCATCGCCCGGATGAACGCGGGATTCAGCGGCACGCTGCGGTAAGCGGCCCCCTGCCCCATCTGTGCCTCGGGGGAGGCTGGCCCCAGCCCCTCCCTCCTCCAGGGGCCTGGGAGGCGCTTGATGAAGAAAGGGAGGGAGGAAGAGTCCATTTTGCCAAGCCCAACACCCCCCCTATGAAGGACTGAAGATGTGCATGGGGAGGGGGGGTGGGGTGCCAGGGCCCAGGCTTGCTAAGGGGCAGCCCGCCATGGATGCAAAGCAGACTCTGCTCCAAGGAAGAAAGCTTTAAAGTCCTGATGGACAGAAGAGGCAGGTGGGGAGGGGGCGACATTCCTGGCTGTCTCCCTGAAGGGGGTCTTTAGCCTTGACCGGCCTTTCCTGACTCTCTCCAGAAAGGTGTATGAATTCCTGGCTGTACTGATCACCAAAGGGGTGCGCTACCTGCTCAGTCAACAGGTGAGCACCAAGCACAGGTGAGCAAAGGGGCAAAGGCGAATGGAACAGGCCTGGCAGGTAGTGCTCGTCTCCCCCCACCCCCGAGTCCAGTATAGAGCATCCTGACTTTGCCTATAGACCCCTGCAAGTTCCCACCTCGCACTGATGATGTCACCTAGTTGGGTCATGAAACATCTGCCAGAAAGCAGCCAAGCTCAGAGAGCACCAAGGAACTTTACTATTTGTTCGTTCATTCATTCATTCATTTATTCATTCACTCACTCTTCCTTCCTTCCTCCTTCCCTCCCTCCCTCCCTCCCTCCCTCCCTGTTTGGTCAGCTGCTTTCAGGCAGTCCAAAGGGCAGAGGAAGGCTGCATGAAACCACAGCCTCTGCTGAGATGCCCAAGGTGCTTCCTCCTCCTCCTCCTCCTCCTCCTCCTCCTCCTCCTCCTCCCTTCTAGCATTGATGATGTTACCTAGTTGGGTCATGAAATGTCTGCAAGAAAACCACCCAGCTCAGAGAGCACTGAGGACCCCACAGTCCTCCTCCTCCTCCCCCCCTTCTAGCACTGATGATATTACCTAGTTGGGTCCTGAGCCGTCTGCAAGAAAACCACCCAGCTCAGAGAGCATCCAGAACCCCCACAGTTCAACCCTGAGCTCCAGAGATTCTCCTTCATTCATTTCCCTCCTGCCCAGGTTTCTCTCAGGGGTTCCCCCGGGGTCCCAACTGCAGAGGGAACTTTGCTGTTCAGAATAGTCTTGGGGAACACATGATTGGGCTCAGCACCTGGCACCTGTGGGAGTTTGGGGCCAGCCAAGGTAAAGAACCCATTTGGACGCCCTCTACCCAGCACTTCCTGGAATCATAGAGTTGGAAGGGACCTTGGAGGCCATCTAGTCCAACCCCCCCTACCCAAGGCAGGAGTCCTGATACCATCCTGTCCGATCTTTTCTTGCAAACCTCCAGCGATGGGCACCCGCCACTCCTGCAACTGGCTGTTCCTGCCTCTTCCCAGCAGCTCTGATTCTTCTCTCTGCCTTTCAGATCTGCCCAGTGCTCAACCACGCAGGGCTGGTGCTGCTCAACTCCCTGTTGGACACGGTGCCCGGTGAGTGGCGGGCAGCCTGCCTTTCCCTGCCAAGGCAGAGGGAGGGAGAACTTTGGGCCCAGGGCAGGCCTGGTGCCACGGTCTCCTCAGCTGCGTTCTCCTCCTTCTCCTTCCCCAGTGCGCAATCCTGTGGACGAACACATTGGCAGCGACTACTCCCTCCTCAGCGACCCCCGGGTCACCACGGAGAACATAGACCTGGATTTCAAGGTACCTGCTGAGTGCCCCATGCAGGGGGTTCCCGATGCCCAAGACCTTCAGAACTGGGCCGCGTCAACGGCGGGCGAGGGGGGATGTGCAGCTCCCTCTGCTTGAGTGGCGGGCACTTGTGCGTGCGCGTGAAGCTCCGCTTGCCGCTCATGTAAATGGCACTGTGCATGTGAGTGCGCACATCTGTCACTTGCACAAAGCCATTTCTTCTTCCCTCCCCCCCCCCCAGCTGGTCTGCAAAGCTGGAAAGTTTGGGGATCCCTGCCTTGTGGGATGTGGCATTGAAGAGAAATTGGGATGAGCAGATCAGTCACCCTCTGCGTTGCCAAATGGGAAGGGCAGCCCCATTTTGTGGCTGGTGGAACAAAACATTGCCTCACTCTGGGCTGCCTTCCTTCCCGATAGCTAGCAAAAGCCAGGTTTTTGTTTTTTTTTCTTTGGTGGTGTTGTTAGTTGCAAAGTCGTGTCCAACACATCGCGACCCCATGAACAACATTCCTCCAGGTCTTCCTGTCCTCTACCATCTTCTGGAGTCCATTTAAGATCATGCCTACTGCTTCAGGGACTCCATCCAGCCATCTCATTCTCCATCATCCCCTTCTTCTCTTGCCCTCCATCTTTCCCAGCATCAGGCTCTTCTCCAGGGAGTCCTTCCTTCTCATTAGGTGGCCAAATACTTGAGTTTCCACTTCAGGATCTGGCCTTCTAAAGAGCAGTTGGGGTTGATCTCCTCTAGGACTGACCGGTTAGATCGCCTTGCAGTCCAGGGGACTCGCAGGAGTCTTCTCCAGCACCAGAGTTCAAAGGCCTCCATTCTTTGGCGCTCAGCCTTTCTTAGGGTCCAACTTTCACAGCCATACATTGCAACTGGGAAAACCATGGCCTGCACTATACACACTTTTGTTGGCAGGGAGATGTCTCTGCTTTTTAGTGTGCTGTCTAGATTTGCCATGGCTTCCCTCCCCAGGAGCATTATTTGGTAATGCCACCCTAAATGCTATGGAAACATGCAGTGAGGAGACTCTGTACAGGCCTCCACGGGGAATCCCAGGGGTGCTTTTCCAAAAGGCAACTGGACTTTCTTGTTTTCCTTTGGAAAAGTCTGGCTTCCCATCCAAGAAGCTTCTTCGGTTATAACTTAGAACTGGAAAAGCTTCTTGGATGAGAAGCAAAAAATTTTCAAAGAAAAAAAAGGAAGAAAGTCCAGTTGCATTTTGGACTGAGCATCTCCATAGATCAGGGCTCTTCCAACTTGGCCCTTTGATGACTTGTGGACTTCAACTCCCAGAATTCCTCAGCCAGGCACGGTGTGCCTGGCTGAGGAATTCTGGGAGTTGAAGTCCACAAGTCATCAAAGGGCCACATTTGAAGAGCCCTGGCATAGACCTTTGCAGGGAATCTGGGCCTGAGAATGCAAGCAAGTCTTTGGTCTGTGACACAATTCAGCCCAAAATTGCTGAAGGGAGAAAGTTGTTAATTTTGCCCTTTTTTATGACTGCAGTTCTTAGGCTAACCACTGCAACTGTTAAATTAGGGACGCTGCGACTGTTGTAAATACGAGTCAGTTGCTAAGTGCCTGAATTTTGATCACGTGACCAGGGGGCTGCTACAAAGGTTGTAAGAGTAAACTTTGAACGGTTACTAAATGATCTGTTTAGTGTCCACCCTCCCTGACCCCAACTCCCGGCACGCACCTGTGTCTCAGCTCTGTCCCAGATCGCAGCAACGGGTGGGGTGGGGGGGCCGAGGCCCCAAAGGCCTGGGGTGACCCGGCTGCGCCTTCTTCTGCCGGCAGGGCATGTTCTTCCCGCTGCGAGAGGAGAACGAGACCCTCCCCAACCTGGCCCCGGAGCCCCTCCTGAGGGAGACGGAGCGCATGGTGTACATGGGGCTGTCCGAGTATTTCTTTGACTCCGCCCTCTTCTCCTACTACCGGGCGGGGGTCTTGAACATGGAGTTTGCAGGGAACCAGGTAGGCTGGGCTGAGTGGGTGGTCTCTCCGAGGGGCCGTGGCAAAGAGGGAGAGACGGCTGGTGCGGGGGGGCGCAGGGGTAAAGCCGCTGCCCCTCGCCTGCCTCATGCCCCCCCCTCTGCCCCTTGTTGCAGGTGCCAAAGGATTTGGAAGTTTTGCTGCGAGCCTCTTTCTTCGGAAGCATTATGCTGTTGGTAAGGGGTGTGTGTGGTGGTCAGAGTATATAGCTATCTTAGGAATTAAGAACTGTCCCCTTAAGGCAGTGGTTCTCAACCTTTTTAATGCCGCGACCCCCAACCGGTCGTAAGTCGAGGACTATTCAACCAGTCGTAAGTCGAGGACTACTCAACTGGTGCAGCACCGTTTGCAGAATGGGACTTTTGGCGGGCTCAGCAGGGCAGAGACAGCCTGGACAATTCCTATTGGCTTTGGAAAGCCAATAGAATTAGACTCTATTCAAGAGAGTCTATTCTATTGGCTTTCAAAAGCCAATAGAATAAAAGGGAGTCGCACAGCTAAAAAAAAAAAAAAAAAAAGGAAAAGGGAAAAAAATGGCGGACTGTGTTGTTTGGCGACTCCGTGAAATGGTCTATCGACCCCAAATGGGGTCCCGACCCACAGGTTGAGAATCACTGCCTTAAGGGGTAGCCTTCTGGGTAATGTAGTTTAAGTTACCTGGTCATATCTGTGTTCGGACTGGCCACTGGGAGGGACTTCTGATTAGGTACAGGGATTTCCTGGCCACGTGCCAGACAGCGAGGTCTTCATAAGTTCCAGCCACTAGAACTGTTTGCTTTGTTAGCATGGAAGAAACTATCTTTTTTTTTTTTTAACCTACGTGTTGGGGTACAGATTATGCAAAGAAGGTCAGAAGAATTCCTACAGTAACTGTAAATTCATGTTTTGAGAATGCCTGATGAATTAAAGCAGTCTGCGTGAAATCCTTCCGTGGAGTTAATCTGCCTGCATCAAGCCCCCCTTTCCTTGATGCAGAAAAGGGGGGGGGTGAGTTTGGAAGGAGGAGATTTCACAGGAAGGACCCCAGTATGGTAGGAATAATCTCATTTCGAAGCGAGATGGGTGGCAAATAAAATCTCATAATTATAATACCTGCCTGATCATGCAACGACCCTTAATAATTGACCGTCATGTCATTGTTTTCTCCAGATTTCTGTCCTCAGTTCTGCCATTCAGTTTTGCACCGTGACTTACAAAGGGAGTCTCGTTTCCCCACAGCCCCAGTTTATCTTCATCCGCTTCCCCTTTACAGTTCTTCTGAAGCAACCCCCCCCCCTTTATGGTCACCTGCCTTTCAGCGTGGGAGTCCAATCCAGCAGTTTTATTTTCAATTCCTTATTACTAGCCAGCTGAAATAAACTCCCCGAAAGCCACAAAGCGGTTTCTGGTTCCTTTTTCCATTTTCCCCAGGGAAGCCCAGCAGGGTCTGGTTGTCTTTCGGCTCGGCCCCTCAGCTAACCATCCCCCCACCCCCGTCTTCTACCCCAGGACCCCAGTGTGGCAGACGCGCCCCTGGCCTTGAAGCTGCAGGTCACTGAAGCCCCTCGCTGCACCATCCGGACCTCCGGCACGTCCGTCTCCGTCACAGCCCTGCTCAACATCTTCTTGTCCCCCCCGGAGCAGCCCCTAATTCTGCTCTCCAGCCTGACCATGGTGAGCCCACCGCCCCAGGACCCCCTGTCCTGGGAGGGGTTTCCATCCTTCCCTCCTGGTGTGGAGCCATGGGCATCCTTCTGGGCCAGGGGGACGTGGCTTCCAAGATCCACGAGGTCCGATGGGGGGGCAGAGCTGAGGGAGGGCTCCGCAGGCCGTGCTGTGGGCAGCCCTCCCCCATTGTGGCCTCTCCCCCCACAGGAATCCCGCCTAAGTGCCAAGGTGGTGCTTCACAACAAGGCTCTTCGGGTGCAGCTGGACCTCCGAAGGTAGTGCTGGGGGTGCAGGGGTGGGAGTGACCAGTGGCCCCAATTCAGCAGAGCTTCTGGCCCTCACTCCCCTTCTCTCCCCCCTTCAGGTTCCGAATCTATTCCACCCAGTCGGCCTTTGAATCTTTGGCGGTAAGTCTTTTAGAGTCAGGCCAGGGAGGGGCAGAGCCAGGAGCCAAGCCTGTCCTGACCACTGGGGGGGGGGCTGTGCTTAGTCCCCCCCAGCCCAAAGGTGCTAGGATGGGCCGGTCACAACCCCTCTCCCCTCTGCCCCCTCCAGCTCCTCCCCTTGCAAGCCCCCCTGAAGACGCTGCTGCAGATGACCGTCATACCCTTCCTCAACGGTAGGCAGGTGGGGCGTGTGGGGCAGCCCTGTGGGGGGAGAGAGATGGATCCTTTGCATCCGGGTGGGTGGGTGGGCTGCAGAAGAGGGGCTGTGGGGTGAAGCACATTTGTGTGCCTGAGACCAGCAAAGCCCCCCTCCTTTTCCTTGCAGAGAAGACCAAGAGGGGGGTCCGGATCCCCCTGCCCGAAGGCATGGACTTCACCAAGGAGACCATCAGGAGCCACTTGGTAAGTAGGACCCCTCCCACCCCGGCTGCCTGCAGAGCCCCTCCAGGTGGGACCCATGGAGCTGGGACACTCTGCGCCCCCCCCAAGCTCCCCCCCACTCACCCTCCTGCTTGGCTCTCCAGGGCTACCTCACCATCGGGGCCGACCTGAAATTCACCAAAGGGCTGCGAGAGGTCATCAAGAAGCTCCGGGAGACACCCAGGCCTTCTCTGGCCCCTGAGGCTGCGTAGGAGCCCTGGGTCTCGCCCCCCACCTGCTTCGAATGTCACCTGCCTGCCCCAGCCAGGAGGGCCTCTGCCCTGCCAGACACCAGGGTCTTTGTAAGCCTCTGGGACAGCCGAATAAAGAGCTACGCTGCCCGACTCCGCCTCCTGTCTTAAGCAAGGGGTCGCACATGGGGAGGCTCTTCTCTGATCCCTACAACGGCCCTGCCAGGTAGGCTGGCGCAGCCACCCCGTGGAACCCCCTGGAAAGGTGAACGGAGGCCTCCTGCCTTGTGCTGCAGCTCCAGGGACTCGGAGGCCCCTCTGGGCCAACACCCCTCCCCAGGCTTCCCCCCCCCCCCCGGCAAAGGGCCCCCACCATATCTGTCCACTTTCTGCGGAGAAAATGCAGATGGGGCCAAAGTCTTGGTGATCCATCCAGGCCGGGGAAGAGGCTCAGCGCAACACCTGCACCACCTCTGGATTTCAACCCAAAAGACTGGATTTAGGCGCCGTTGGGGGGTGCTGAGGGGGGCAGGGCTCACACCCCCAAGTCAGAGATCTCTGCATTGGCTGCTCAGGGAGTCCAAACCGCTCTTGGACTGAACCAGGCACACCTGGCAGCAGCAGCACCCCAAAATCCTAAGCCCTAAAGGGGACACCGAACGGTTGCTGAAAGATGCAACGGAGCTCCAGAAGCTGCAGATTCTGGGATAGTCAGACAGGCAGCTGTCCCACTGCCTCCCTCTCCGCAGGGCGAGGGCACAACCGGATTGACACGCCCCCCCCTAATTTGGGAGAGGCAGCTGGTTGGTGGGTGGGGCAGAGCTGCTGCAGCTGCCTGGGGCTCTGGGCAGCCCCTGAAGCAGGCACCCCTTCCTGGAGGGGGGGGGCAGGCTCTGCCAGAACCCCGGCTGCTGCAGCTGGTGAGGCCACGGAGGCTGCGGCTCCTGCTGGCTGCCCGTTGCTCAGCTTGGCTGCTGTTCCTCCCCGCAAGCAGCTTCTGGGGGCAGCCCAGAGGGCAGGGCTGGAGGTGAGAAGGAAGGAAAGAGCAAGGAAGGGCGGAGGATAATAACATAATTAACAGTTGGAAGGGACCTTGGAGATCTTCTAGTCCAACCCAGTGGTGGGATTCAGTCAGTTTGCAGCAGTTCGGTGGAACCGGTAGCTAATTTTTTGGAGAACCGGCTGAAGCCACGTTCTGAGAGAGGGAGGCCTCCCAGGCCCAGAACGGCTCACCGAAAGTGCATGGACGACACTTCTGGAAGTCTGTTCTGGGCCTCGGAGGCCCAGACCCAGAACGGACTTCCGGAAGTGGTATCCACGCAGAGAGCCGGTTGTTCAGGAATTTGAATCCCACCACTGGGCAGGAGATACAAGACCAGGGACGTCCAACCTTGGAGACTTGTGGACTGCAAAGACTTGTGGACTGCAACTCCCAGAATTCCTGAGCCAGCATGGGGGAACTATGGCCCCCTCATGACTCATGGACTTCAATTCCCAGAATTCCTGAGCCAGCATGGGGGAACTATGCCCCCTCCATGACTGGTGGACTTCAACTCCCAGAATTCCTGAGTCAGCATAGCTCAGCTTGGAAACCTCTCCCTTTCCCCTCAGCATAGCTGGCTGAGGAATTCTGGGAGTTGAAGTCCACCAGTCATAAGAGAGCCCAGGTTGCCTACCCCTGCCCTAGACCATTCCGGACCAATGGCCGTCCAATCTCTTCTTAAAGGCCTCCAATGACGGAGCCCCAGAGGGACCCTTCGCCCCGAGACCCAGCTTTGCAGCCAAGGCAACCTTTTCACCACCTGTCAATCACCCTGCTCCTTGTCCATTAGAAAAATACTAGTTTAATCGCTTGCTTGGACCAGAAAGAACATGACCGCTCTTGACCTCACGTGGAGTTCCTCCTTCCAGAGTAACCAGAACGAAGGCTGAGAAATGGTCCCCCCCCCTTTGCCCTCCCCCTGGAGGAGAGTGGGAGGACTGGCTTCCTCCCTGAGGCAGTGCAAATGCGCAGAGAAGGGCGAGGGCAGACGGGGCTGTGCCAGAGGGCCCGATTTCCTCCAGGCTTCCACGAAGGGCCAGTCAGGAGCCGCTCCTTGCAGCCACGCCGCAGAGGGAGGGGGCCAGACCCCCCAGGAAAGAGGCTCTTCCTGGAATCAGAAGGGCTGCCGAGCGAGGAACCGCTGGAACATGTTGAAGGCCGCTCGTGGCCGGTCGGTGGGCACCATGTGGCCAGCGCCCTGCGGAAGGGAGAGACCAAGCGAAGGTGGTGGGGTCATGGCTGACCCACCACGCACCCCTGCTTCGCAACCAGACAACAGGAACCGTGTTGGAATGCAAGGGAGCCGGACGTAGCCCGGGACGGTCCCAACACCCAAGGTCAAATGCTGAGAAAACTTTCCGAGCCGCTCAGATTGTTCCCGAAACAAAATGAATGCAACTGATTGGTGGACAATGGACCACGAGGAAGTCCAGGGGGAAAGGGGGGGGGTTACTTGTGAGGGTGGAGGTTCATTTTCCGAACCTGTGGGTTGGTTTCCGAACGTTTCGTTACCATCTTCAGCAGTGTTTGTGTGAGTGGATTATTTATAAGGGCTTCAGGTGTGGGTGTGCCTAGTGAGGGTCTTTTGATGAGTCATCAGTGAGAGCTGGGGAGGGGTCTCGTGATGGGGAGGTTACTACAGGTCAGGGTCATTGGAATAATAAAGTTGGAAGGGGCCTTGGAGATCATCTAGTCTAACCCCCTGCTCAGGCAGGAAACCCTACACCATTTCGGACAAATGCCTGTCCAGTCTCTTCTTAAAAACTTCCAGTGTTGGAGCATTCACTGCTTCTGGAGGCAGGTGGTTCCACTGGTTAATTGCCCTCACTGTTTGGAAGTTTCTCCTTAGTTCTAGGTTGATGAGAGTCATCTCTCTGATGACTCATCACAAGACTCTCACTCGACACATCCACATCGGAAGCCCTTATAAACAGAACACCGACACTGACATCCCCGCTAAACTCCACTGAAGACGTCACCCAGCCTGGTAACGAAACGTTCGGAAACCAACTCGCAACCTCGGAGAACAAACCTTCACCCTCATCCTGTACCCGAGCGGCAGATATTTGCCACGATTTACCTACGGTTTCGTGCAAAAACTTTAGAACTGGCGTTGCTACTTCCATGCCTATGTGGAGTTATCAATGAAGTTATTCTCCTGGTAAAATAATGTCCCAGGAGTTTTTCTGGCTGTACGTGCCAACGGGACGGTGGACAGGTGGGCTCACCAAGACCCTGGGAGGGGAGGGGCAGGCTCTGCTCCTGCAAGCAAGTCACCTTGACGGTGAGGAAGGCGATGTTGGTGAATTCCTTCACGAAGCCGCCAATCTGGTCCTGGCCGTCCTCGTCCGTGAAGATCCAGGCCCTCCGGGCCACCTCCACCTGCCGGCGAGAGGACCGGGAAGCCGTGAGGGTCTCTGGGCTCCCAGGGGCCCCAAGGAGAAGCCCAGGCGAGGGGCAGGCAGCCCCCGGTCCAGCCTGGCGGGGAGGGTCCCTGGGGAAGCTGCTGAGGAATCCCTCTTGCAGGCCGGCGGTGCCCCATAATTCCTGAGCCCCTTGCCTGCCCCGGCCCAGAGGGAGGAGGAGCTGCAGGCGGGTCGCCTCCATCCTGTTTACGTGTCATTTATTATGAAATATCTATGCCGCCCGTCTCCCTGCAAGGTGGTCCTCAACTTACAACCCTTCATTTAGTGACCATTCAAAGTTACAGCAGCACTGAAAAAGACAACTTGGGACCGTTTTTCACAGGGTGACGTGATCAGAATTCAGACGCTTGGCCACTGACTCGTATTTATGACGGTCGCAGTGTCTCTGGGTCGTGTGATCCCCTTTTGCGTCCTTCTGACAACCAATGTCAATGGGGAAGCCGGGTTATTAGCTTAACAGCTGCACTGATTCACTTAGCAACTGTGGCAATGAAAGGGCATAAAACGGGTCAAGCCTCACTTAAAAACTGGGTTGCTTAGTGACAGAAATTTGGGGGTCAACTGTGGTCGTACGTTGAGGACTACCGGTAGAAGGTGGGCCAAGCGCTCCTTCTGGAGAGACGGGCCGGGTGCCTGCCCAGAGCACAGCAGGGGGCACCAGGTTTGGCCCCCACCCAGCCCAGACCCGGGGGACCACGGGGTGGCCTTTGCCCTCCAGGGCCGCCCGGAGATGGACCCCGGCCCAGCCCAGCCCAGCCCACCTTCTGCTGCAGGGATTCCACGAACCACTCGTCCCCCAGGAAGTTGCAGGCCATGTCCACGTCGCCATTGTACAGCAAGATGCGGTATTTCTGCAGAGAAGGTTGGGGGGAGGGGCATTATTTCACTGTTTTTATTGTTATGACTTTTGCTTTTATTTTATATTCTGCTTTTATGTCTTGTAAGCTGCCTTGAGTCGCCATGGACAAGTAGGTGGCAATATACATTTTTGAAAGAAAGAAAGAAAGAAAGAAAGAAAGAAAGAAAGAAAGAAAGAAAGAAAGAAAGAAGGGGAGAGAGGAAAGAAAAAGAAAGAAAGAAAGAAAGAAAGAAAGAAAGGAGGAGGAAGGGACAGAGAGAAAAAGAAAAGAGATGGAAAGGAAGGAAGGAAAGGAGAGAGGGAGAGAGGGAAGGAAGGAAGGAAGAGGAAAGAAAGAAGGAAAGAGAAAGAAAGAAAGAGAAAGGGAGGGACAGAGAGAGAAAAAGAAAGAAAAAGATAGAAAAGAAGGAAGGAAGGAAGGAAGGAAGGAAGGAAGGCAGCCAGGGTTAGCAGCGCCCCGAAGGAAGGGCCAGCCTGGTTTCCCCTCCATGGGGGGGGGGGATAGCAAGGAGCACTGCCCCCCCCAGCCACTCACCCCCGTGCTGAGCAGCTTCAGGTACTGGTCGTTCATCTGGGTGTAGAGGCGCTTGTAGCCACGGCTGACCTCAAAGCTGGAAAAAGGGGGCCCAATTAGCGGCGGCCTGCAGAAGCCCCCTCCTCCCTGGATGCGGCAGGAGCTGCCCGCGGCCCCCTCACCTGCAGATCTCCCAGGCCGGGATGCCGTCCTCAATGTGCAGGGCCAGGCGCACTTGGGGGTTGTTCAGGTAGCCGGTGAGGCCTGTAGTGTTCATGCAGGGGGGGTCCAGGCGCACCTTCTTGGCCCCCTGCAGCTTCAGCAGATTCTGGGGAGAAGGCCAGCTGATGCCACTCCAGGCCGCTTTCCCCCCCCCCCAGGCATCTCCATCCATTCATGCATTCACTTCAATTCCCTCATTCAGGGTTTCCTGCCTGAGCAGGTTGGACTAGATGACCTCCAAGGTCCCATCATCATCATCATCATCATCATCATTATTATTATATTCACTCACTCACTTCACTCATTCACCCTTTCTACCTCCCTTCCTCCTCCCTCCCTCCTTCCCTCTTCTTTCCTTTCCTTCTCTCCCACACTCCCTCTCCTTCCTTCCCTCCCTCCCTCCCTTCCTTCTCCCTTGTTCCCTTCGTTCCTTCCCTCCCACCCACTTCCCACCCACCTCCCTCCCTCCCTCCCTCCCTCCTTCCCTCTTTGGTCAGCTGCTTTCAGGCCCTCCAAAGGGCAGGGGGAAAGCTGCATGAAGGAAGGAAGCCACAGCCTCTGGAGAGCAAAAGGCTGCTGAGATGTCCAAGGGCCTTCGATTCCTCCCCCTCCCCCTCCCCCTCCTGAGATTGGGGAGCTGGCTTAAATCCCGGGCAGAGCAGCGCATAAGAGCCTTCGCTCTGCTCTCTAGGCCATTTCAGACGGCCTGGGTCTCATCTCACCCTCTTGGGTGCTCCCAGAGACCACCCCCACCAGTGAAGGGTCCCCTACGGCACCTTTGGGACCCCCAACCCTTCCTCCTCAGCAGGGGTCATGCCCAGCTTCCCCCCCCCCGCAATCGCCTCCCAAGCGGCTTCTCCTCACCTGCCTCCAGAGGCTTCGTGCTGGGTGCCGGATGAAGCTGTTGCCCAGGTCGTGAGTGACGATGGTCTCGTCCAGGTAACTGCAAGGTGGGCAACGGCTGAGCTGCCTTCCCAGGACCCGCATCCTCCACCCGGGGGGAGCCCTGCCCACCACTCCCAGGAGCCAAGGAACCCGGGGGGGGGAGGAAGGAGAAAAGGAGGACAGCCTGCAAACTGCCAGGCCCTCACCTGTACTTTCCTGGCACCCCCCCAGCGCAGGGGGCATACAGGTTGTAGATGTTGAGGCCCGATTCGTCCACAATCTGGATCACCTCGACCATCTGGGGGGAACAAGAGAGTGGGCTGACCTCTCCCTTGCCCCCCGCCCCCCAGCCCCAGCCCCTGCCCCTGCGGTCCTCCCCACTCACAGCAGACGTGCAGTTCACATTTGGGCTTTTGTGGAAGTCGCACTTCCCTTTGGAGCAGCAGTAGCGCTGCAGGTCGTCCCAGAGCCTGCGGGGGAGAAGCAGAGGGTCCCTCAGCCGCCTTGGGGGCCGCAGCGCCCACCCCGCCCCTCCCCTCCGGGCCCCGGGCAGAGGCTCACCGTTTGCCCAGCAGGCCGTGATAGTAGGCGAAGTACACCAGGGAGTTGTCGTTGGTCTCGTAGCAGGAGAGCCCGTTGCCCACCGAGAGGCCCTGAAACGCAGGCCCAGTGACGCCCAGCAGCCCCTCACCACGATTCCCTTCCCTCCCCCTCACATGCCCAAGACAAGGGGAGCTGACCGGCTGTTGGTGATCAGGTACTCCCCAGGGCAGGGAAACATGTGTGCGTGTGTGTGTGTGTGTGTGTGTGTGCATGCGCAGGCGTGCCGGCTGAGGAAGCTTGCACCACGCCCTGGTTTTGCTTCTCCAGAAGAGCAGCCCAAGCGAGGCCCAGGGAGAAACAGTGACTGCAGCTCCTGCTGCCGGGGAAATCTTGTTTTGCCAGTCTGCAGAGCTGCCCAGTGCTGGGGGCAATGCCGCCGGGCAGCCCTGCGGCCACCACCCGATTCCCTCCACGCCCACTTAATACCAGGCTCCAGGGGAGACTGCTCCGCGGCCGCAGTGCCCTGGCGCGCCCACCTTCAGCTTGAGGCTGGCGTCCTGCATGACCCACTGTGCCAAGGTGGGGATGTAGACCCCGCCATAGCTTTCCCCGGCCAGGTACAGGTCTTTGGGCAGGTGCTCTGGAAAGAGGCTGAAGAACTCCTTCAAGGCCAGGTAGTTGACGCGGGCCACCTGCAGGCGGAGAGAGGCACGTGCCAGGCCCAGAGCCAGACAGGGCAAGGAGGGCAGAGCTGCGGGCAAGGGCCAGAACCTACCTCTGTGTCGTTTGTCTGATACGCTTGGGTGTCCGAGTAGGAGTAGCCGACGCCAACCGGGGACTCCAGGTACAGGATGTGAGCGAGCTGGAGGGAGACAAGAAGGGCTGACTCTCTCTCTCTCTCTCTCTCTCTCTCTCTCTCTCTGTGTGTGTGTGTGTGTGTGTGTGTGTGAGATCCTGCCACTGCCCCTCATGCCTTCTGGGGGAGGCAGGAAGTGCTCCAGCCAAGCTTTCAGGGCTTGGGGGGGGGCTCACCTTATTCCAGCTGTATTCATTATACGTCAAGGTGGCCCCGTCTGGCTGGACCTAAAAGGGAGCAAGTGACCCGCCTCAGCGAAGACCCCCCAGAACGCCCACAGCCTCTGCCTGATGCCCAGGCTCTTCGGCCCCTGGGCGGCTCGGAAGGCACAGGAGCCCCTGCCAGGCGAGGCAACAGAGGCAGGGGGGAGTGTGACCTCACAAATGCAAGAGACACAAGAGTCAGCCCTTCCAGCTGCCCACATCCCCCCCCGCGGAAAGCAGAAGGGAAGCTGCCCCAGAGCGACAGGGGGGTGGACCGGGGGGGGGGCTTCTGCCTCCCTCTCCGCACCCCTACGCGGCCCCGGAGAGGGCCGGGCCGGGGGGGGGGCTACTGACCCTGAACGGCCCGTGCTCGGTCAAAAGGCCGGCGATGGAGCTGCAGCCGGGACCCCCGTTCAGCCAGAGCACCAGCGGCTTCTCCGCGTCCGCCTCCTCAGCCTCCACGAACCTGCGGAGAGGGAGCCGCGTCGGAGGGGCCGCCTCGACCTGCCCTGCCTCTCCCCCCCCCCGCCGGCCCGCCGCCCGCCTACCAGTAGTGCAGGTGCTTGTCGCCGTCCACGCTCAGGTAGCCCGTGTACTGCTCGAAGGCCGCCTGCTTGCGCAGCCCCGGCAGGAAGCCGATCGCGTACTTGGAGGAGGGCGAGCCGGACCGGGCGGCGGCGCCCAAGGCAGCCAGGAGCATCAGCAGCGGCGCGACAGCCATCTGCGGGGAAGCGCCGGGCGGTCGGTCGGTCAGGAGCCTCCGGGGGGCTCCTGCGGGAGGAGGCTGCCCGCCCCCCTCCCTCCCTCCCGAGCCCCGGGGGTCCCGCCAGCGGCGGTTCCGGGCCGCCCCTCCGCGGCTCCCGGCGGGGCTCACCTGGCCACGGGGCGGGGGGGGGGCTCCTCTTGCTCCGACAGCGGCGGCGGCGGCGGCGGCAGCTCCAGCAACGGCGACCGGGCGCACGTGATTGCCGCTCCCTGCCGGGCCCTGGTCACTTGACGGGCGGGGCGGGGCGCGGAGCCAGCAGCGGCCAATCGGGGCGGCACGCCACCTCGCCCCGCCCCCGGGAGGGTCCTGGCCCCGCTGCAGAGGCGACGGCTGTGGAGGGGGAGGAGGAGGAGGAGGAGGAGGCGCCGGGACGGCTGCGGGGCTGAGTTGAGTCCCGGAGCCAAGGCCTGCGCAGCCGCCCCCGCGTCCCCCGCTTGCAGCCCCAGCGGCCCCGCAGGCTGCCTGCCCCCCCCCCCGTGCCTGCTCCCCCAGCGCCGGGCTGGGGCGGAGGGGCCGCTGCTCGGCGGCGCAGCAGAAGCTCCGGAGACGCCGCGGGTAGGAGGGGGGAGTCGGGGGGGGGCAGGGACGGCTGCTTCGGCCTTGACCGGCGGGGCGCAGCGCGGAGGGGCCGCGGGCCGGACAGCTACTCGAGTCCGACTGGCCCAGCCGCATCTTTGCTGCGGCCCCGGAGTCGAATGGGGCGGGCGGGGGGCGCATGCAAGAGCGAGGCCCCTGGAAGGCAGGCGCCCCCGCGGACAGGGCGAAGAGAGGCTGCCGCGGTGCGGGCGCCCCTGATTTGGGGGCTTTGCTTGGACGAGAAGACGCGAAGGCGCTTTTTCACGAGGCAAGTGGGCTTCCTTGCTTTTCTCCGAAGACGTTTCACTTCTCATCCCAGAAGCTTCTTCGCCTCTGCCTGGATGGCGGGGAAGGGAGGGATTCGGTCAGAGTTGAGGAAGCTTCTTGGGTGAGAAGCGAAACGTCTTCAGCGAAAAACAAAGAAGCCGAGCTGCCTCCTGAAAAAGAAGCATCTCTGGGACAACGGGGACCCGGAGGAAGGATAATTGCCGTGGACGTTGGAGGAGGAGACCGGCTCAGGCCGGGCAGAAGCGCTCCGAGCGTCCGGCTGAGCAGCCGCTGAAGTCCGGCGGCGCGTCGGAGCTGCTGCTGGAGCCTCCCGCCTGCACCTGCTCCCGATGCCCGGCCCAGACCGGGATTCCGAGGCGCCGGGCTGCTTTCCTGGGCCTACCACTGGCGCCCCCCACCCCATCTCGGCGGGGCACAGTGGCACATTCAGGGAAGACGGTTGTGTGTGTGTGTGTGTGTGTGTGTGTGTGTGTGTGTGTGTGTGTGTCCTGCGTTGATCCCGGCAGCGCCTGGCGCTAGGACCCGACCGGCTGCCCGCGGCCCGGCTTTCCCTATTTGGACCCGGCCGTCCCAGGAGGGCGTCCGCCCCTCTCGCAACCCCCTTAAAATAGCCTCCGCTCGGGCCGCAGGGATCCGAGATGGCGGCCGCGCGCCCCCCGCCCACCCGGTTCCACGCGGTCCACGGGGTCAACGTGCGCGTGGACGCGTCCGGCACTCGGGCCACCCGCATGGAGAGCTTCGCCCACGGGCTGTGCTTCAGTCACCGGCCGCTGGAGCCCGGGCAGATCTTCCTGGTGGAGATCGAGGAGAAGGAGCCGGGCTGGTGCGGCCACCTGCGGGTGGGGCTCACCGCCCACGACCCCCGCAGTCTGGCCCCGGTGCCCGAGCACGCGCTCCCGGACCTGGTCGACCTGGGGGACAGCTGGGTCTTCGCCATCACCCGCAACCACAACCGGGTGACGGAGGCGCCGGCGGGCGGGCGGGCGCTCTTCTCCGGCCCCCACCTGCTCATCGGGCCGGTCCGCATTCCCCGCGACAAACTGGTGGGCCGAAGCCGGCCGGGCCGCTACAGCCACATTCTGGACGAGCTGTACAAGACGAACGTGCTGCCGGCCACGGCCCGGAAGAGCCGGATCGGGGTGCTGTTCGCGCCGCAGCCGGACGGGACGGCCGACATGCACATGGTCATCAATGGGGAAGACATGGGACCCAGCGCCAGGGGTCTGCCCGGCTCCCGCCCCCTCTACGCCGTGATTGACCTCTTCGCTTCCACCAAGAGCGTCCGAATCATCCAGGTGGAATACGGCTGTAGGTATTGCCCAGCGTGTGCAGGGAACCCCCTATTTCCCCTCCCCCCGAAGCTTAGACCCCGGGCCCAGCTAAATCAGCCGACGGGGGCTGCTGGTTGGCTAGAAGGAGGCAAGGCCTGTGGGGTCCAGCTTGGACTTTTTGAAGGCTACACGGACCCTTGGTGAGCACAGAGACGGTTGCAGAAATTGGGCATGTCTAATCTAATGAAAAGAAGGGCTGGTGTGTGTGTGTGTTGGGGGGCTGGATGTTGATATAATAGCAGTCTTCCAGTATTTGAAGGGCTGCCACAGAGAGGAGGGGGTCAACCTATTCTCCAAAGCATCGGAAGGCAGGACAAAAAACAATGGTTGGAAACTGAACAAAGAGAGAAGCAACCTGGAATTAAGGAGAAATTTCCTGACAGTAAGGACAATTAGCCAGTGGAACAGCCTGCCTCCAGAGGTTGTGGGTACTTCATCGCTGGAGGTTTTCAAGAAGAGATTGGACAGCCATTTGTCTGAAATGGGATAAGGCAGGGGTAGGCAACCTTGGCTCTTTTACGACTCTTGGACTTCAACTCCCAGAATTCCTGAGCCAGCTATGCTGGCTCAGGAATTCTGGGAGTTGAAGTCCAGGTGTCGTAAAAGAGCCCAGGTTGCCTACCCCTGATGTAAGGTCTCCTGCTTGGGCAGGAGGTTGGACTAGAAGACCTCCAAGGTCCCTTCCAGCTGTTATTTTATTATTCTGAGTTAGACCAGGTGAGAGAGAGAGAACCCACTCCCAGCCAGAACCCCGCAGTTTGTCCCTGGCCAGAGCTGTGGGTGATGGGTTCACCCTGGAGGAAAGAGATCTGGGCCCCAAACTCGTGTTAGAAGCAGGAAGTCAAAAGGTTTGAGTGTCCCTGGTATAACTCTGTGAAGACACCTGACCAGAACAATGCAACTACCACAGAAGCAGGAAGTTCTTGCATCATCAGATGGCTTTAAGTAAGTCTGCCCTTCCCCCGCGCGAGATCAATGACAATCCTCCTACACCTTTGATGGAACAATGAGAAGGGCTGGGCTGGTCCAGGTGTTTCCAGAGGGCTAGAATGTGATTTAGGATTACCCTGGTCCCCGCAGCTGAGGATCAAGCCGTCTTCTGGCATCTTGCCGATTAATACAGTATGATGATGGAAATTGTGACGGACCACAATTCAGCTATGAACCTCCAAGAATTATTGGGACAATAACCTGGTTAATCTTTAAGGTGCCGCAACGCTCTCTGTCCTTTGTGCTGCAAAAGACCAATGTGGCTTTGACCCCTGTGGAGATTTTAAAAACAGGGCTAAAATAAAAATATATAAAATTAAATTAAAAAAAGAATAGATGGGGGTCAGGGGATCACGACTGCAAGCATGCTTAACCATAACGGGCGTTCACATGCATGTCTGAGAAAACAGGAGTTCAGAGCAGTCAACCAGGATAGAGACCCATGATTCCTGATTTCTTCCCTCTGAGCCAGGATTGGTGGGGGGCAGTTGGAATGGCCAAGAGTGAAGGACTCTGGGAGATGAAGTTCAGCAACATTTGTTGTGCCAAAGGTGCTTTTTCATGAGGCAACTGGACTTTCCTTTTTGTCACTTTGAAGATGTTTCACTTCTCATCCAAGAAGCTTCTTCAGTTCTGACTGGATGGTGGGGAAGGGAAGGATTTATATTTATATACATCACCGACCCCTGAATTCCTCCTGACTTTGATACACACCCATGGCAGCCCCTCAGTTCCTTCCTTCTGACATACGTTTTAGTCCTTTTACTCCTAATCAGAACAACAGAAGAACACAGAGTTGGAAGGGACCTTGGAGGTCATCTAGTCCAACCCCCTGCTCAAGCAGGAGACCTTATATCATTCCAGACAAATGGCTGTCCAGTTTCTTCTTAAAAGCCTCCAGTGATGGAGCACCCACAGCTTCTGGAGGCAGGTTGTTCCACTGGTTAATTGTTCTCACTGTCAGGAAATTTCTTCTTAGTTCTAGGTTGCTGCTCTCAATTAATTTCCATCCGTTGCTTCTTGTCCTGCCTTCAGGTGCTTTGGAGAATAGCTTGACTCCCTCTTCTTTGTGGCAGCCCCTGGGATATGGGAATACTGCTATCATGTCCCCCCTTGTCCTTCTTTTTACTACACTAGCCATATCCAGTTCTTGCAACCATTCTTCATATGTTTTAGTCTCCAGGCCTTTAAATCACCTTTGTTGCTCTTCTCTGCACTCTTTCTAGAGTCTCAACATCTTTTTTGTAATGGGGTGACCAAAACTGGATGCAGGATTCCACGTGTGGCCTCACCAAGGCCTTGTAAAGCAGTATTGACACTTCACGTGATCTTGAATCTGTCCCTCTGCGAATGCAACAGGATATTTGAGGTTTTGCATCTTGCTGCTTTCTTGGGTTCACATACACACCCAGGAAACCCTTCCCCACTCAGGCAGCCCGGCCAAGGTCTGCCCTTGAATGCTCACTGGCTGCGGAGTTGTGACTTTGGGGAGCAGTGGGGCTGAAGGTGTGTCATGCCTGCCCTGTCTTGGCTCCTTAGGAAAGAAAGACCCTCGACTCCGTTACTAAAGATCAAGTGGTTACAGTAGAGCAGTGGTTCTCAACCTGTGGGTTGGGACCCCATTTGGGGTCGAACGACCATTTCACGGGGGTCGCCAAACAACGCAGTCCGCCATTTTTTCCCCCCTTTTCCTTAGCTGTGCTACTCCCTTTTATCCTATTGGCTTTTGAAAGTCAATAGAATAGACTCTCTTGAATAGAGTCTAATTCTATTGGCTTTCCAAAGCCAATAGGAATTGTCCAGGCTGTCTCTGCCCTGCTGAGCCCGCCAAAGGCCCCAGTCTGCAAACGGTGCTGCACCAGTTGAGTAGTCCTCGACTTACGACCGGTTGAGTAGTCCTCGACTTACGACCGGTTGGGGATAGTGGCATTAAAAAGGTTGAGAACCACTGCAGTAGAGCTAGGCCAGAACTAAAATTTACACGTGAAGTTTCCCTAGTTCACTTTCGCTTTTCCCTGGCCCTCCCCCCTTGTTATCTATTGTCCAGTTACATCCTAAGTGTTTGTTTTGGTAACGGTCCCTGTTCTAGCAGGCTGGATGGTGAGCCTGGTGCTTCCCCTTCCAGTCCTCTGGCTCTGGAGCCATGAGTTGATGTCCCAGGATGGCTTGATGCAAAGTTTCGGCTTCCCCCATTCCCCTTGAGCACAGCAATTCCCTCCCTCCCCCCCCCCCGCAGTTTATGGCAGGCTGGCATCTAGTAAAGCGAGGCTGAAGCAGGATGGCAGTTCCGACAAGGCAGTGTTTCCCAAACTTGACAATTTTAAGGCATGAGGACTTCAACTCCCAGAATTCCACAGCCAGCAATGCTGGCTGTGGAATTCTGGGAGTTGAAGTCCACATGCCTTAAAATTGTCAAGTTTGGGAAACACTGCGACAAGATGTTGGGCTGGGACCGGGGAGTCCAGGATCCCGTGGTTCCTCAGCCACAGAAACTTCCCGAGGGCTGTTGATGAGCCCAGCCACCACCTCACACAGAGTGGGGCTTGGAGGGAGAGGGAGATAGATAGATAGATAGATAGATAGATAGATAGATAGATAGATAGAGATAGAGAGAGAGAGAGAGAAAGAGTGCACTAAATGCATTTTGCTATTTAAATGGTTTTATTAATCATCCCAAATAATGCTTTTTTTGCGAGGCAACTGGACTTTGTTTTTTCTTTGAAAACATTTTGCTTCTCATCCCAGAAGCTTCTTCGGGTTCTGACCGACTGGTGGGGAATGGAAGGATTTATACTCCTTGCAGAGAGCTGGTCCTTTGCCTTCTTTTGGAAGCCATCTGTGTCAAAACTGAACAGCCCTCTCTCAACAGAGGGGGAGGGATACATCCTTTTACTAATCCTACTGGCTTTAATTTTAAGCAATGTGACTGAAGGATAAAACAATAATTAGAAAGGAGGAAACACATTTATCTCTTAATTGCCCAGTATTTCTTAAGACGTGATGACTCAGCCATGTTTTGTTTTCCCATTCCAAAATAATGGCTGCAGAACCGCTCAAATCCCAAGGGAGAAAAGAGACAGGTGTCCTGGATTAGGGGCACGTGCAGGGCTGGCTTGCTTCCCTTAACATGCAGGTGACAAGTCAGGAGCAGCATCGCCCGGTCTGTCCCCTTCCTTGTTCTTGGCAGCCTCAACGTTTTGCCTGCTTTAGTTTAAAGCGGTTTTAATCTTTAATATTGAGAAATACATTTTAACTTATTTTTAGCAGGGCCCCTAAAAGAATCTCAGCAAGAACTGGCATGGATCACCTACAGCCTGTCCAATCAACTGGTTTGGCTAGGGGAGGATAATGTTAATGTCAATGTTAATGTTAACGTCAACGTCAATGTTAATGTTAACGTCAATGTCAACGTTAACGTTAACATTAACATTAATATTAAGAGGATGATGATGATAATAATAATAGTTGGAAGGGACCTTGGAGGTTATCTAGTCCAACCCCCTGCTCAGGCAGGAAACCCTATACCTGTGGTTCTCAACCTTTTTAATGCCGCGACCCCCAACCGGTCGTACGTTGAGGACTACTCAACTGGTGCAGCACCGTTTGCAGAATGGGACTTTTGGCGGGCTCAGCAGGGCAGAGACAGCCTGGACAATTCCTATTGGCTTTGAAAGCCAATAGAATTAGACTCTATTCAAGAGAGTCTATTCTATTGGCTTTCAAAAGCCAATAGAATAAAAGGGAGTAGCACAGCTAAGGAAAAGGGGGAAAAAATGGCGGACTGCGTTGTTTGGCGACCCCCGTGAAATGGTCGTTCGACCCCAAATGGGGTCCCGACCCACAGGTTGAGAACCACTGCCCTATACCATTTCAGACCAATGGCTGTCCAGTCTCTTCTTAAAGTGTTGGCGCATTCACAGCTTCTAGAGACAAGTAGTTCCGCTGGTTAATTCTCACTGCCAGGAAACTTCTCCTTAGTTCCAGGTTCTGGTTAAGGCAAACCATTTAGGTTTTTCGCTCTTGATTGAGTGGGTGGCTCAGGCGATGGGATTGGTAGGAGGAGAAAATAGTAAAAAAAACAAAAATTAGAAATGAAAGAAAGAAAACGGGGAGGAAGGGGATTGATTTGAATCAAGTAGGTCTGCTATTGTGGAGTTAACACATATATTTGGGGAGTGAAGAAGCAGATTTGAATAGTTGCAGGAATTGGGTATGTCTCATCTAACGGAGAGGACGAGGGGTGACATGACACCAGCCTTCCAATATTTGAGGGGCTGCCAAAGAGAAGGGGGGGGTGTCCACCTCCAAGGCACCCGAAGGCAGGACAAGAAGCAACAAATGGAAAACAGTCAGGGAGAGAAGCAACCTGGAGCTAAGAAAAAAATTCCATTAGTGAGGACAATTAACCAGTGGAACAGCTTGCCTCCAGAAATCGTGGGCGCTCCATCACTGGAGCTATAGCTCCTCCTGCCTGAGCGGGGGGGGGCTGGACTAGAAGACCTCCAAGGCCCCTTCCAGCTCTATTCTATGCAAACTAATGTCTGGGAGATTCATTGTGGCACCCAGTTTCACGGAAGCTGCCTCAGGGCCTCCTGCTTTGCTCACTTTCCCAGGTGCCACGATCCTTTTGATGTTGCTGGTGTGGCCACAACAGATTATCATAACTATTTTTGGAAATTATTCCGGAGGAATAATGTTACACAGGATAAACAAGACGAACACAACAGCTGTGTGGTATTTTTCAATCCCAAGGAGAATTTCTGGAAGAGGGTTTTTTTATTTTATTTTATTTTATTTTGGGGCCCTCCAGACAGAATTTGAAAGGATCCTCTGATCCAGCTACTCACTCGTTTCCAATCACCAGGCAGTCCTCGGCTTACGACCACAAACGACCCCCAAATTTTCGTTCCTAAGCAGGACAGCTGTTAAGGGAAGTGTGCACCCTTTTACGGCCTTTCTTTCCACCGTTATGAAGTGAGTCACTGCGGTTGTTAAGTTAGTAAGCCGGTTGTTAAGTGAGTCTGGGCTCCCTGTTGACTTTTGCTTGCCAGGAGGCTGCGAAAAGGAATTTATTTATTTGTTTATTTGTCTATTGAATTCATATAGCTGCAAGTGATCCCGTGATCCCAGGACATTTATTTATCTATTGATTCATTCATTCATTCATTCGTTTATTGAATTCATATAGCTGCTCCTTGCTCTCAGCGAGGGATCACGTGATCCCAGGACATTTATTTACCTATTGATTAATTGACTCATTGATTCATTCATTTATTGAATTCATATAGCTGCTTTCAGCAAGTGATCATGTGATCCCAGGACACTTATCTATCTATCTATCTATCTATCTATCTATCTATCTATCTATCTATCTATCTATCTATCTACCTACCTACCTACCTACCTACCTACCTACCTACCTACCTACCTACCTACTACCTACCTACCTACCTACCTACCTATCATCTATTGAATTCATATAGCAGCCTCCTTGCTCTCTGCGAGGGATCACGTGATCCCAGGACATCTATCTATCTATCTATCTATCTATCTATCTATCTATCTATCTATCTATCTATCTATCAATCAATCAATCAATCTATCTATCATCTGTTGAATTCATATAGCTGCCTCCTTGCTCTCAGCGAGGGATCATGTCATCCAAGGACATTGCAACCATCCTAAATACAGGCCAGTGCCAAGCACCCCAATTTTGATCCTGTGTCCACACCCGGATGCTAAGGTGGTTGTATGTGTGAGAAACGATCCTCAGTTTCTTTTTTCAATACTGTTGCAACTTTGAATGGACACTAAACGAATGGCTGTGAGTCAAGGACCGCCTGGCATCAAATTATACTCTTAAATTACCCAGTGATTGTGGTACTTTGTGCAGACTGTAGGTGAGTTGGGAACACATCACAAGAATGGAATAGCCAAGGTGAAATTGATAGCAGGGAATGAAAGGAGGAACCCAGGACTTATCCAGCTGCAGAGATACAATTTATGTCACAGGGATGGGAGCCTTTCAAAGCACTCCGACGGAGGTGCCCAGCCTTGGTGGTTTTAAGACTTGTGGACTTCAACTCCCAGAATTCCCCATGTCTGGGAAGGAATGAAGGGGGGGGAGGGAGGGATGAAGTGCTGCCAAACTCAGAAAGGAGCGTGAGGACAACTTGGATGAAGCTCTGAAGACTCTCCAGGAGACCCAATTCAAGAGGCAGGGAAGGGGCACCATCTCAGGAGCTAAATTAGAATGGAGCTGGAAGGGAACTTGGAGGTCTTCTAGTCCAACCCTCTGCTCAAGCAAGAGACCCTATCCCAGGGGTCTTCAAACTTGACCCTTTTATGACTGGTGGACTTCAACTCCCAGAACTCTGGCTGAGGGATTCTGGGAATTGAAGTCCACCAGTCATAAAAGGGCCAAGTTTGAAGACCCCTGCCCTATCCCATTCCAGACAAGTGGCTGTCCAGTCCCTTCTTAAAACCCTCCAGTGATGGAGCACCCACAGCTTCTAGTGGCAAGCTGTTCCACCGATTAATGGTTCTCATGGTTAGGAAGTTTCTCCTTCATTCCAGGTTGCTTCTCTCCTTGATTACCTCTGGATAGGGAGAGTGCTGAGGAGGGGAAGGGCTGGACTCCAGCTGTCAAGGACGGCCTTTCTCCTTGGGGGACCGTCTCTTGAAGGCCTCTGGCATCCTTCCACCCACGGCATTCCTTCTGTGGTGACCGCACCTGCTGGGGAGCACTCCATGAGGGAGACACCCCCGCCCACAGGCCACCCCAATCCACGCAAAGCTTTGTGGCCCTTGAAGGGTGGAGGCCCCGAGGAGCTTCTCCTGAGGCTGCTGAACGAGCCTAACTGGGTCACCGTGGAGGCGTTGCACTCCTGCAACCTCTGAAGGACTCATTGGCCTATGCTGCTGGGCCAGGCAATGCCTCTGCTGGGGAGCAGCTTTGAGGCTGGAAAGGGATGTCTTCCTTCCAGGGGAGGGGAAAGACCCCCGGACCCCGGGAGGGCCACTGCCACACCTGCCATGTGGAGGGACGGGAGGCCGCTAACATTAAGTCGGGTGACTGAGGAGCCCCCAAGGCTACATTTGTGCTTCTGAGTTTTAAGCAGCCCCTCCCACGCCAGGGCTGGGGCCACCCAGCACAGACTGATTGCGTCCCCCCTTTGCTCTAAGGTGGTGATGGGGGGCAACCATGGCTACTTTAAGAGTTGTGGACTTCAGCTCCCAGAATTCCCCAGCCAGCAATGCTGGCTGGGGAATTCTGGGAGTTGAAGTCCACAAGTCAAGGTTGGAGACCCCCCCCCCAATCTAGGGCCATAGAATTTCAGAGTGAAATCTCCCTATTTTCTCTGATTGAGCCTTCCTTTGTGCCCCATTGGCTCCGAACTCCTTTAGATTAGAATGACAGAATTGGAAGGGACCTTGGAGGTCTTCTAGTCCACCCCCCCCTCTGCTCAAGCAGGAGACCCCAAACCAGGGGTCTTCAAACGTGGCCCTTTTATGACTTGTGGACTTCAACTCCCAGAATTCTGGCTCAGGGATTCTGGGAATTGAAGTCCACAAGTCATAAAAAGGCCACGTTTGAAGACCCCTGCCCTATGCCATTTCAGACAGATGACTGTGCAGTCGCTTCTTGAAAACCTCCACTGATGGAGCACCCACAACTTCCGGAGGCAGGTTGTTCCAGTGAGGGATTGTTCTCGCATTCAGCCCTTCTCCTCTTTGGGGCAGCCCCTCAAACATTGGAAGACTGCTGTCATGTCACTCCTAGTCCTTCTCTTCGTTAGATTAGACGTGCCTAGTTCCCTTAACCATTTATCATAAGTTTAACTTAATCAGCTTTGTTGCTCTTCCCTGCACTCTTTCTAGAATCTCAATATCTTTTTTTCTGTTTTTTTGAAAACTCTCTTTTCTTGTTTTGGTTAATGCCGGGGTGGAGGGTGGGTGTGGGTGGGGGGAATTAGGGAACGAAAAATAGCAAGAGCTTTTCACCTAGCTTTCTGTAGCATAAAAATCTGCTGCTTGAAAATAATAAACCCAAAAGATGCATTTTACAATTCCTGTGACTGACAGCAGCTCTGTTTGCACAAAGGACACACTTACCTTGGTTTAACCCTCGTGTATTAACGTGGTTTAGCTGGGTTTGCACAGTGGCACATTTATGTTGGTTTAACTCATGTATTAAGCTGCTTTAACTAGGTCTCCATGAGGGCACACTTTTGTTGGCTTAAATCTGGTTTAAGAGGATCTGCATCGCTGCACACATAATGCAGGTCCAATCCTCACCTCTTAAACTAGTTTAACAGGCTCGGCACAAGGGCACCCTTACGCTGGTCTAAACCTCGCCTCTTAAGCTCGTTTAACCTCTTAAACTAGTTTAACAGGGTCTGCATCTCTGCACACTTATATTAGTTTAACCCTCACCTCTTAAACTACTTAACAGGCTCAGCACAAGGGCACACTTATGCTAGTCTAACCCTCACCTCTTAAGCTAGTTTAACAGGTTCTGTTTACGCTGGCCTAATCCTCACCTCTCTCTCCCCCCCAGTGCCCTCCCTGCAGACGCTCTGCCGCACAGCCGTCCAGAAACACATCACCCACCGCCTGGCCATCGAGGAGCTGAACTTGCCTCCTCTGCTGAAGAACCTCTGCAAGTACGAATGAAGCCTGGCACGAACGCCCAGCACCCCTGCCTCACCCCCCTTCCCTGTCTTTCTGGACGGGTTGGTTCTGCAAATGCCTAGGACAGTGGTTCTCAACCTGTGGGTCGGGACCCCATTTGGGGTCGACCGACCATTTCACGGAGGTCGCCAAACAACGCAGTCCGCCATTTCCCCCCCCCTTTTCCTTAGCTGTGCTACTCCCTTTTATTCTATTGGCTTTTGAAAGCCAATAGAATAGACTCTCTTGAATAGAGTCTAATTCTATTGGCTTTCAAAAGCCAATAGGAATTGTCCAGGCTGTCTCTGCTCTGCTGAGCCCGCCAAAAGTCCCATTCTGCAAACGGTGCTGCACCAGTTGAGTAGTCCTCGACTTACGACCGGTTGGGGGTCGCGGCATTAAAAAGGTTGAGAACCACTGGCCTAGGAAGAAGCAGCAGATTCTGCAGATGCCAAGCAACAGGATGCCCCCAAATGCACCTGGGGGTATCCCCAGTAGCAGCCCAGAAGATGCCACGAGGGCCGTGCCCCGTTGCGGTCAGGATGAGAATTTCCTGGATATAATTCTGGACAGGATCCAGGGCAGTCACCAGTCTTCAATAAAAACAGTCTCAAGGAAAGGATTTTGTTCTGGTTGTGAGGATATTTCTGTAGCACCTCCAGGCACTGGTACCCCACTTTCTCTAAGTGCCCAGGGAGGACCCTGGGTGGGCTCACCCTGTGAGCAGGGACCAGGTGCGGCTGGGCAGGAACAAAGAGGCAGAGTCCAAGTGCTCCCTCATAGCCACACCTTTATTCAGATTATTTATTCTTCAGGAATCTCTAAACAATAACTCACAGTTAATGAAGAGTTCTTCTGAGGCACGTTTCATAATCTGTCCATTCTTGTGGTGTAAAAGGATAAAGGTAAATTCACCCCATGTTCGTACAGAGCAAACAGCCTCGTGGCTAGGATTCATGGAGAGATAAAAGACTGACATGTACCAGGATGTCCCATAATAAACACACAAGTCCCTCCCAGTGGCCAGTTAGAACACAGATCTGACCACAACTAAAACTACATTTCCCAGAAGGCCACCTCTTAAGGAGAGAGCTTTTAACCCTTAAATGCTACTTGCTCTACACACAGTTCTCAATTCCTAAGCTGGCTATATACTGGACCAGCACACACATCTTGTGGTGATGCTCACATGTTCAGCTCTAATGTTACCTTCTCAAGGTCTCCACAGCTCTGAAAGACCGGATTTTATTTCTGCCATTTCAGCCTGTGAATCTTTAGCCCATTCATCAGACTTATCAGGATTCCTGATCAAGAACGACTCCTACAGCAGGAAAGGATCGGGCAGCTGGAGGTGCCAGTCTCTTCAGCCCCCCCACCCCAGACCCCCAGAACTGAGCCCCCCCCTGGTGGCCACACAGTGGGCCTGTGTGACATAAGGCTCACGCCCTGTGATGCTGGTTCTAGAATGGGGGGGAGGTCTGGGGGGGGGGCAGAGGACAGCACTGACACCGCAGTGCTGACCAGATTGCAACAGAGACGATGGCCTTTTGTGGGGGGCTGGAAAAAGCTTCCTCAGCATCCTTTGCCCCCTCCTACCAAGGTATACCCCTCCCCCTCTGAAACAGTTTGAAGTCAGCTTGGCAACAGTGGCAGGAGGGTCTAGAAATGGGGATCGCCAGCTGAGGGTGAGGCACTGCAGAGAGACAGGCCCCAGCCATTCCCAGTTGCGTTATCAGGACAACACAGCCAAGTCACACAGAGGGCCAGGCTGGCTTGACCCCCAATGTGCCCTGCTGGGCTCTGCTCTTGCACAGTTGGGGGTTTTGACTCTGACTAGAATAGAATAACAAGAGTTGGAAGGGATCTTGTAGGTCATCTAGTCCAACCCCCCCCAAACTAGAACCAAAGGGGCGTCTTTCCCAAGTCTCTTTAGCCAGACCGATTAAAAAAGGGACGGGGTAGAAGAAGCCGGTAACCCCACACTTTCCCCTCAGTGACAATTATACTTCAAAGCCCTTAGGGTGGCACCTTTTCCCCTTTTGTTGCTGTTCCTTGAACTGGCAACTGGGTGGATCGGGTCACAACGCAGAGGGTTTATGAGGGGGTGTTTGTTTTACCCTTTTCTAAATCCTTATCAACCTGGGGACCCATCGTCACAAGATCCAGAGAAACAGGGGATCAGCCTGTCTTCAGAAGCATCTGAAGGCCAGACAAGGAACGATGGATGGAAACTGATCAAGGAGAGATTCAACCTAGAAATAAGGAGAAATCTTCTGACAGTGAGAACAATCAACCGATGGGACAGAAGTTGCCTTCAGAAGTTGTGGGAGCTTCATGCCTGGAGGTTTTCAAGAAGAGACTGAACGGCCATCCGTCAGAAACAGTGTAGGCTCTCCTGCTTGGGTGGGGGGTTGGACTAGATGACCTCCAAGGTCCCTTTCAACTCTTGCTATTCTCATTCTGGGGAGGGTTAAGCAGAGCTAGAGGGTCAAAGAGAGGCTGTCCCCAAAGGTGCTTTCAAAGAGGCCATTGCTTTGTTGTTGTTTTTTCTTTGAAAACATTTCTCATCCAAGAAATGAATTCTGAAGTTAGAACCAAAGAAGCTTCTTGGATTCAGAAGTGAAACATTTGGATAAAAAAAACACACACACCAAGAAAGTCCAGTTGCTGTTTGAAAAAAAAAGCACCTTTGGGACAACCACAACCTGGAAGATTGAGAATCTCCACAGACGTTAAAAGGGGGGGTTTAAGAGACCCCCTTTATGAGGGGTTATTTTACCTTTCCCAAATCCTTGCCAGCCTGGGAAGCCACCATTATGGAGGGTTAGAAGAGATCTGCCAGGGTGAAAGGGGAACTGGGGACTTGCCTTCACCAGAAGCGGTTGAGGAAGCCCGCCCTATTTAGCTTGCAAAAGGGCAGCTGGGGTGTGTTTGTGGCGGGGAGGGATTGGCAGCCCAGAAATATCTAAAACAGGGGTTCTCAACCTTGGCAACTTTAAGACTTGTGAACTTCAACTCCCAGAATTCCTCAGCCAGCTTTGCTGGCTGAGGAATTCTGGGAGTTGAAGTCCACAAGTCTTAAAGTTGCCAAGGTTGAGAACCCCTGATTGTAAAAGATGGAAGGAGGAGGAGGAGGAGCAGTGGGTCAAAGTGAGAAGAAAGGAGAATGAATATTAAAAGACGTTCATTGGCTGTGGGAGAGACTAAATGGTAGCACATCCTGCCTAAAATAAGGGTGGATTCCTCCCTGCTGGAGATTTTAAAGGAGGGGCTGGTTGGCGATAGACTACATGGTCTCTAAGGTCCCTTCTCCATACATTCTATTGTCCTACACCTCCTAGAGAAGGAGCCGTTCTCCAGTTGCCCAAGATCTGGTCTGCCAAGGCAGCTGGGGAACAGAATCTGGCTCCACCTCCCTTCACTATTCATTATGGGCAGAAAAACCCTCCTTGGGACGCGCCTGGCATCGGCTGTGCCCATCCTAACTTCACCCAGGAGACTTGCCTTTTGCCAGCCTTCAGTGGGGCTCTGCTGCTCTTCCTGGGTTCACAGGTGGGGGAGCGATGGCTGCTTCAATGGGGTACTACACGCTGAGCCTCTTACGCTCCTTGCCAGCTCCCGAGGTGGGCAACTACTGGGGTGCAAAGGACAGGAAAGGCTTCTGGTGGGCGTTCCTGGCATCTCCCTCCTGAGAAAGAGGTTTGAGAAGTCACAGGCGGTGGAAATCCACCCGGGGGGTCTGGGCCCCCTTTCTCTGGCCTGACCTACTGAAAGGAGGGGGGAGTGTTATGCTTCAGCCGCCTGCGCCCTTCATGGTTGCTGCATCTTCTGGCAGGGAAGGCAGCGGAAGGGGGGCAGACTCTCAAGCTGGCATGTTGTCCTCTGAACAGGAGAATCGACCGGCGGCAGCAGCAGTGAGTCCAAAGAGGCCCCAGGGAGTCGGCCGAGCCCCTTTGCCCATGTGCCACGCGAGGCCCCTCCTTCAGCCAGCCTCCCCTGCCCCGCGGGGCTCCTGCGAAGGAAACTGCAGGCCAAGCAGACGACTCCCCTGCAGGGTGGTGCCACGCGGCTTCCCCAGGTGCCCAGCCTCCCCCAGTCGTGCCCGGCCCCGGGGGCTCTCCAGCAGGGGGGTACCGACCCTTGGGAGACACCCTGGAGGCTCCCCCTCCAGAACGGGGCCCTGGAGTACCCGCTGGAGCACCCAGCCAACCGGTGGCTCTACCTCTCCCCGGGCGCCCCGCAGCCCTTGCAGCAGCAGCAGCAGCAGCAGCAGCCCGCCAGCCCCAGCGGAGACTTCGCCCTGGCGCAGTGGGGCTTCGTGCCCAGCAGCGGGGTCGTCGTGATGTCGGCCAAGCTGAGCAGAGACAGGGATGCCCAGCCCAGACTGGCCTGGCCCCCCAACATCTGCATCCTGACCCTGGCCATGATGATCGCGGGCATCCCCACCGTCCCCGTGCCCGGCGTGCGTGAAGAAGACATGATCCACGCCGCCCAGCGCTTCATGGCAGAGAACCTGGAGGCCGGCGAGGGCCCGGCGGACGGGGCCCCCAGCAGGCGGTGGGCAGCCTTGCAGCGCCTTGGCTCGTCCTGCAAGAGGGACCGGCAGCGCAGGCGAGCGGCCCACCGCAGCCTCCTGCCTCTCTTCCTGGCCCAGCTGGAGAAGTAGCAGCCGGGGCGCTTCGTCTGGGGCCGAGAAGCCCCCATAAAGGAATGGAAAAAAAACGGTCCCTTGGCTGCCCTTCGTCTCCCAGAGCCGGCAGCCCAGTTCGGCTGCTAACGATGCCCTTCCCAGCCGGCTCCCTGCACCCGTCCCTGCCCCTGCTCGCCCTTCGTGGCCCGGCTGCTCCCCAGGACAGGGACCCCCACCCTCAAATTGGGGTCAGGAGGCCAGGACCTGTCAGGCAGCCCCAGCCCGGGAGGCTGTTATCCAGGGGTCTACGGGCTTGGAGGGTCCCACGTGTGTGGGTGGGGGGGGAGGTGGGCGAAGGCAAAGGCAAGAGGGACCTTCCCTGCCCAGCTGGACGGGCTCTGACCCCAGAGATGAGGGGCAGCCTCACGACCCGAGGCCCGAGACTGTCCTGCCCGGCCGGCCGCTGCTCCCCTTCCTCACAATCAGCAAAGCGCCTCCCTCTGCAGAGGCAGCACTGTGTCCCGTCTGACTCCGTGACTTTTACCCGAGAAACACCTTTCGGGGGGGGGGGTAGAGGTGTCCAGTGGCAGCTTTAAGATCTGCAGCCCCCAAGCCTGAACTGCCCCAGCAGCGGGTCCCCCACGCGGCTGCCTACGAAGGAGTTGCCCATCTCGGCCCCCATCCCAGGATGAGTCCGGGCCTGTGGGAAGAAGGAGAGGCCCCTTCCCCTCCCCTGAGTCCCCCCCTGCCCCTTGCTGACCAAGCTTCAGCAATACCATCGTGCGTGATTGACAGGCCAGCTCGTCGCCTAGGAGACTGGAGGGAAGCGGGGTGGGGGCTTTGCGCAACCCTCTAGATGGGCGCCCGCTTCCCTCACAGCCGAGTGTTGGGAACGTGGCTCTGCAGGGTGCCGAGATGGGAGGGAGCCTTTGGGGTCCAGAGACGCGTGTCCTAAACCGGCCTGGAACCGCAGTCCCCCTCCCGGTCCCTGCGCCAAGGCTTGACTGGGTTCCCCAAGGGCGGCTGGGGCAGTTGCTGCCTCACCCAGCGGTGGTAAGAGAGTCCGACGGAGCGGATGGAGCCGGGGCTGCCCGCTTTCTATGGCGCAAAGAAAGGGAAACGTCCAGTGGGCGAGAAAGCGTGGCCAAAACGGGGTAGCGTCTGCGGGAGAGCAGAGCGTGGGAAAGGGGCATGGCTGGCCTGGCAGCCTGGCACCCACTGCTCCAGGAGATTCTGCTCCGTCGCCCGTGGGAAAGGAGGGGACGGGGTGGGTGGGTGGATAACAGGTGAGGCTTTCAGCCGCTGCCCGTCTTCTGCCTTTGGAACCACAGTTGCCCCTTTTCTCCATCTTCTGAAGACGGTGAACCCGCCAAGTCTCTGGGCAAGAACCAGCCTGCTTGCCCCAATGGCACCTAGAATTATATAGTGCCTCACAGTTCTTCCCATCCCTCTCTGAGCGGTTTACAGAGTCAGCCTGTTGCCCCCCCCCCCAACAATCTGGTTCTTGTTTTACCAATCTGAGAAGGATGGAAGGCTGAGTGGGCCTTGAGTCGGTCAGGATCAAACCGAACTGGTGGCAGTCAGCAGAAGCAGCCTGCAATACTACATTCTAACCACTGAGACCACCATGGCTCCAAATAAACTCGGCTCCGGTGGACCCTCTTGGTTCCCAAAAGGTGCTGCTGGATTCGAGGCGTCTGTCTGCCCAAGGCTTGGCGCTCACAGCCCCCTCCCCCTCGATGCCGCCTGGTTGCCTGTCCCACCTGAAAAGTCTTTTCCACGAAACCATGGAAAACCAAGTGCCATCCCCCTCCCCCCCTCCCCCGGACCAGCCTCAGCTCTGCTTATTTCTCTGGCTACCAAGATTTGCTTATATAAAAGCGTCTGCAGGCTCTTCTATTTGGAAGGAAGCAAGAAAGCAGGTGTTGTAGTAGGAAACCGGCCACGTGCCGGGTGGGTGCAGTGAGGTGCAGATCCATCGGCTGGGGAGTCCCAATCCTAGCCAGCTGTGTCCCCCCCCAGGTGCCCTTTTTTGCAGGAGGATCCACACATTCGCACAATAAACAAACAGGTCCCCCGGCTTGAAAATAACTGGGGAACCCGGAGTTGATAACATTGGGAGCTGCACGGAGTTTGTTATAAAGCAGGCAGCTCTAACAATGTTCTAAATAAGTAAATAAACACTTCTTGCAACACTCCAAACCACAAGCTGCCACTTTAGTTAGCTGTAGCTCGCAGAGGGAGCTCAGCCGGGCAATAAAGGCGGTTCACAAGTGGGTAAGGGGGGGGGGGGGAGAGGGCACGGAAGGTGGCACAGACCAGCCCCGTTGTTCAGCTGAGGCGTCACCAGGGGGCAGCACTGAGCCAAGCTTTATCTGTCAACATGCTACATGGATTTAGAGAGTGCGTCAGAACCCTCAATTATTTATCCTGTTGTTTCAAGCAAAGGGGGGGGGATTTACTATTGCTTGATACAGGCAGATAAATTCCACGGAAAGGGTTTCATGCAGATTACTTTTAATTCATCGGGCATTCTCTAAACATTAACTCACAGTTACTGGAGAGATTCTTCTGAAGCACATTTCATAATCTGAACCCAACACGTAGGTGAAAAGAGATAGTATCTCCCATGTTAAAGGAGCAAACAGCTCCCGTGGCTGGAATTCATAAAAAAAACCCGCTGGCCTGCACGTAGCCAGTAATCCCAGGTAGCTAGTCAGGTCCCTCCCAGTGGCCAATCCGAAACACAGATATGACCAGGTAACTTAAAACTACATTACCCAAAAGGCTATCCCTTAAGGCAAGGGTTCTCAACCTTGGCAACTTTAAGACTTGTGGACTTCAATTCCCAGAATTCCTCAAAGCTGGCTGAGGAATTCTGGGAATTGAAGTCCACAAGTCTTAAAGTTGCCAGGGTTGAGAACCCCTGCCTTAAGGGGACAGTTCTTAATTCCTAAAACAGCTATTTACTCTGACCAGCACAATCCCATATAATATCCTCTGTGGTTAAGCTGTTTGGGGGGTTCTGCCATCTCTTATGGGGGGAGGGGGGAGACCGGGGGCCTTCGTAATGCAGGAGGAAGGCTTCCTCTGTCTGCTTTGATGTATCCTCCTTGGGGTGTGAAGGGAATGCGGGGGGGGCACCTGCCTTACCTCAGTGTGGAGGGAGGAAACAGCGAAGACCTATCAACCTTGAAAAGGCACCTTACGGGTCCATTCCCACAACTCGATGTCACCCGTGGATCGGCCCGTCTGAACTGACCGGAAGGACAGTTGGGGGTGGGTGTTTATTATTTTGCAGGTTTTACCTGTTGATTTGGGCGGGAAGCCCTCAGATCCCGTCTCACTCTCCTGCTTTCTGTACCTGCCAATAAAAGTTCTTTTTGAAATGATGCCGATTTCAAGAGTTTTGCTTCCTTTGGTAGAGAAACGGAGGCAGGTCCTTACATAGTCCTCAACTTACAACAGTTTATTTAGTGACCGTTCAAAGTTACAACGGCCCTGAAAAATGTGACTTACAACCATTTTTCACACGTACAACTGTTGCAGTATCCCCACGGCCACATGGGCAAAATTCAGGGGCTTGGCGGCTGACTCACGACGGTCACGGTGTCCCGGGGGGTGTCACGTGATCCCCCTTTTGTGACTTTCTTACAAGCAAAGTCCACGGGGGGGGGGAGCCAGATTGACTTAACAACCATGTGACTAACTTAACAACTGCAGGGATTCAATTAACAACCGTGGCAAAAGAAGGTTGTAAAATGGGGCAAAATTCACTTCAAAATGTTTCACTTTGCAACAAAATTTTGGGACTGAATTGTGGTTGTAAGTTGAGGACTTCCTGTATAATGTTTGGTTTGTAGAATGGGAAATCCCCAAACACCACATTATTGCCAGTAGATTAGAATAGAATAGAATAGAATAGAATGGAATGGAATGGAATGGAATGGAATGGAATAAATAGAATAGAATAGAATAGAATAGAATAGAATAGAATAGAAGCTGAAAAGGACTTCGGAGGTCTTCTAGTCCAGCCCCCTGCTCAAGCAGGAGAACCTATACCATCTCAGACAAGTGACTGTCCAGCCTCTTCTTAAAAACCTCCAGTGACGGAGCGCCCATGATTTCTGAGGGCAAGAAGTTCCACTGGTTGATTGTCCTCCCTGTCAGGAAGTCTCTCCTTAATTCCAGGTTGCTTCTCTCTTTGGTCAGTTTCCAACCATCGTTTCCTGTCCTGCCCTCTGTTGCTTTGGTGTATCTGGCCATGAAGTCTCTGGTGTTAATTAAGCTTGACTCAGAGCAGACTCTAATCCTGCAGTCCTCCACGTCTCTGCTAGCACATAATGCAAGGACTACCCAGCCTGGGGCTGGTACTCTGGACAAGCAAGGATTGCCTCTCACCATCACACCTGTTCAGGGTGAGAGAACTGGTCCGCCCTCTCTGCAGAAAGTGGATAACCATCTCCAGACAGCGTCCAAGGGGCAGGCTGCCTCTTTTGCTGCGTTTTGCAGGCTGGGAAGAATCTGCTTAGTCATGGGAGCTGTGACTCACCCCCCAGGGTGTTTATAGCACTCAGTGAATATAGCACTGAGTGTGAGCAAGATCATACTAAGAACATCATGGGATGCTATGAAATGTTACATTTATTAAAGTTAATGAGTCTGCATGCTACATCACAGGTGTGTCAAAGGATACTAACCAATGAAAGAACGTATTCTAAATGCAATATGTTTGAACCGTATATAAAGCGATTCTCTGCCTCCTTTCTTTTTTGAGTCTTATGTACACAAATAAGGAAGTTTTAATCCAGTGCCCCCCCAATCTTTTTGATGCCAGGGACTGGTTCTGTGGAAGGTATTTTTTTTTTCCCACAGACTGGGGGAGGGCATGGTTTCACGTGCTGCCCAGATCCCACGCATGTGCAGAAGGGGTTTCAGTCTCTTGCGTAGCCTGGTTCCTTGCAGGCCGCAGACCAATGCTAGTCCATGGCCTGGAGATTGGGGACCCATGTTGGGTTCTATTTTGGAAGGCATATTAGGCTAATGGATCTTGCTAGCATTTATGTTAGTGTATCTAACACTGCCCTCCCCAAATCATCTCTTTGGCTATTGCAACCTGGAGGCGCAACGGCCCCGAGGAACACTATTGTCCAAATACATTGTGGCAGGGCTCTTTCAACTTGGCCCTTTTATGACTTGTGGACTTCAACTCGCAGAATTCCTCAGCCAGGCACGCGCCTGGCTGAGGAATTCTGCGAGTTGAAGTCCACAAGTCATAAAAGGGCCAAGTTTGAAGACCCCTGCATTATGGGATGTGGCGGAGTCTCCAGCTAGACTGGAGGAAGGTGATAAGGGAGCCCAGTTAAGAATCCTTTCAGGGGCAACAGAGGCCTGACCTCCTGTAGAATCATTGAAGCCTTGTTTGACAGTTCCCAAGGAAATGCAGTCGGATGGTGACATTCTTATACTGTGGGTGGTGACCAACAATAAAGCTTCTCTTGAGACTATTCACAAGTAGTTCTGCTTGCTTGCATCCAAGATTGAGCAAGATTTGAAGACGGTGCTGCTGTAGGCTTCTGACCCAGCAAAGCCTCAGCTCTGCTTAATACAAGCAGGTTTTTTTAACGTAGCAGATAAGGAGAAAAGCTGGGAAATTATGTCTGAGCCAAGGGCGGTGGACCAGATTTGGCAAAAATTTGTCATGCTTAGATCTCACAACCAAAGACCCCCCATTTTTTTTCTATACAACGCAAATCCCACTTCCATCACATTTCACCTTATTAAGGCGTGTGTTAAGTAGGGAGGTACCGTGTCATGTAATGTAATTAGTCTTATGCAGGTCAGGTAATGTTGCCTCCTACGGCTTGCCTGATTTCCTGAACAGCATGTACTGATGGGAACAGAGGAAGATTGCAATTTTATTGCTCAGAAGCTAAGCAGGAACCTGAATTTGCTTCTGAGATTGGAACAATCTCTGTGTGCTTGGCTTGAGCAGAGCCATCCCAGCTGCTGTTACTTTAAGCTACTTGAGGGGCTTCCCAGCCAGTGAAGGTTGGTGGTCTTCCAGAATGAGACTGAAATGACTTCCGTATCTTCTTTCTCTACCCAGAGAAAAGGGAGATCTCTGACATTTTGGACATTAAGAATCCCCCCAGCTCCCGTCTCTCCTTCCTCTGGCTGCAGGTCACAGCCCTAGGTCCAAACATTAGCCATTATCTTAAGGGCGGAGATGCCCTTTTCCAGCTCCCGTCCTTCGTTCTGTAGAAACAGACTTCCCAGGTCTTTGCGGAGAGCCTGGATTTTGTGCCGTTGCTCCTCAGAGATGTCACTTCCAGTCCCCCTAGATGCCAGTGGAAAAAGGGAGAAAGAGAAAAGAAAAAGAAAAGGGAAAATAGGAAAGAAAGGAAAAGAAAAAGACAAAGAAAATAAAGAGACAAAGAGAAGAAAAGAAGAAAGATAAAAGAAAGAGGGAAGGAGGGAGAGAGAGAAAGAAAGAAAGGAGGGAGAGAAAGAAAAGAAAGAACGGAAGGGAGGAAGGAAAAAGAAAAGAACAGAAGAAAGGGAGAGAAAAAGAAAGAGGGAGGGAGGGAGGAGAAAGAAAGGAACAGAAGGAAAGGAAGAAAAAAACAGAAGAAAAAGAAAAGAATAGAAGAAAAATGAAGGAAGGAAGAAAGAAAGAAAAAGAAAGAACAGAAGGGAGGAAGGAAGGAAAGAGAAAAGAATAGAAGGAAGGGAGAGAAAAAAAAAGAGGGAGGGAGGAAGGAGAAAGAAGAAAGAAAGAACAGAAGGAAGAAAAGAGAAGAAATAAAAAGAAAAGAATAGAAGTAAAGAAAAAGGAAGGAAGGAAGAAAGAGAGAGAGAGAGAGAGAGAGAGAGAGAGAGAGAGAGAGAGAGAGAGAGAGAGAAAGAAAGAAAGAAAGAAAGAAAGAAAGAAAGAAAGACTCTCTCAGCACTTAAGGCGCCACCAGCGTCTCCCCTAAGGGCCAACTCAGTGAGAGGCGTTTGGACGAACTTCCTAGATCGGCCGGAAGCAGAAGCGTGGGAGCCGACTGAGGGGAAAGCGCTTCCGGTCCGGTCACCTGACTGTCCAAGATGGCGTCCTTCAGCGGAGCCGGCCGGGCGCCCGAGTCCGAACAGTCGCCAGAGACGCGGGGGGACCTGCGCAGCGTCCTGCTGACCAGCGTCCTGCACCTGGAGCAGCTGGACGTGGACCTCTTCCGGTCAGTGGGGCCGGAGCCGGCGGGGCTTTTCGCGGAAGCGGCCGGAACAGCGCTTCCCAGCCTCGGTCGCTTGAAGAGGGACGGACTTCAACTCCCAGAATTCCCCAATCAGCAAATGCTGGCTGGGGAATTCTGGGAGTTGGTCCACCCCTCTTCAAGCGACCGAGGCTGGGAAGCGCTGAGCTGGGAGGAGGCGGAGGCGGCTCGACCTGTTGAGTCATCCGGGTGACGGTTGCCCAAAGGTGTTTTTCCAAAAGGCAAACCGGATTTTCTTTAGAAAGTCCCTTTTAGAAAAAGCCCTTTTGAAACAGCACCTTGGGGGCTCGACCGGCCGCGTTCCTGCCTGCCTGCAGCCGTGAAAGCAGCCCTGGCGAAATGCTTCCCTATTTAGAGTTTGAGGGTGGGGGGAAGCAGCCGGTTGTAGGAGAAGCCGGTCCTGAGCTGTGAACATTGCCGCGCAGGCCCTGGCCCGATGGAGGGCTGCTCTTTGGATCCTGGCACTGGGGAGGGAAGCTTGGGGGCAGCCACTCGCCTCCCTGGCTTGCAGCACCCCCCCCCCCAGGAGGCAGCCATTGCCAGCCATAACTCCTCCTCTTTTCTCCTTAGGGGAAGACATTACTGGGTGCCCGTCACGCAGCGTCTTTTTGGAGGGCAGATAGTGGGGCAGGCGCTGGTGGCAGCAGCCAAGGCCGTGACGGACAACCTGGAAGTCCATTCACTCCATTGCTACTTTGTGAGGGCAGGTAATTAGCAGCTTCTGGGATGGGAGGTGTGTGTGTGTATTTGTTTTCGCAGGTGTTTGTATGTAGGTCTTTGGTTATTCGGGTTTTCTCCCGCGTCAAATTGGAAGTGTCTTGGCAACGTTTCGACAAAATCTCATTCATCATCTTCAGGCTGGTGTTTTTGGCTTCGTGCTTCTAGGAGCAAATTGCTCCTAGAAGCACGAAGCCGAAAACACCAGCCTGAAGATGACGAATGAGACTTCGTCGAAACATTTCCAAGACACTTCCAATTCTGTGAGCTGCTCTACAAATAAATAAATAAGCCTGAGCTGCTCTGCTTATAAATAAGTAAGTAAGTAAGTAAGTAAGCAAGCCTGTCTTGCCCTGGCAGAGAGGGTGCTGGGAGCTGCTCTGCTTGTAAATATATGCATACAATACATTTTTACGCATGCCCTGACTTGCCCCAGTGGCCTCTGTAGGTGGATTACAATAATAAAAAGGAAGAAAAAATGGAAGGAGTGTAAACAGAAGTAAAATATCAGAACCATAAAATTAACAGTGACAAAGATACGCTGATGATAATACATGAATATAATATTCAGAAAGAAATAGAGCAGAATTTCCTGATCGTGAGACCGTGAAGCGGTGGAACAACCCACCTCCTGAAGCCGCCGTTCTGTTGCTGGAGATTTTAAAGAAAAGATTGGGCAGCTCTTTTCCGGGATGTGAAGCGGGCGGCTGTAATGGGCAGGGGGGTTGGGGGTTAGGGTTATCCTCACAGCAACCGGGATGTCTCCTCGCTGGGACAACGGGGGGCTCAGGGCAGGCTCTTCTGCCTTCCAGGGGACCCCACCATGCCAGTTCTGTACCAGGTGGAGCGCACCCGCACCGGGAGGAGCTTCTCGGTGCGCTCGGTCAAGGCCATCCAGCACGGGAAGCCCATCTTCATATGTCAGGCCTCTTTCCAACGAGGACAGCCCAGCCCGCTGCAGCACCAGTTCCAAATGCCGGCTGTGCCTCACCCAGAGGAGCTGCTCACGCAGGAGCAGCTGATCCAGAAGTACCTGCGGTGAGTGGCTGGGAGGAGCAGGGCTTGCGGCAGCGCTAAGCCAACGACACATCTGGCGTGCGGAGAGAGCAAACATGAGTGGGAGATGCTCCCTGCTGCTCCATCTTGGAATGCAGGAACCGGCCCGAAGAGAGTTTAGCTCTGCCTGCGTGAAATTCACGGGAGACTTTTGTATCTCTAGCAGCTGGGAACACATCAAGCTACATTCACGGCTTTGTCCTGGCACTGGAAGTGCCAGTGGTGTGTTGAGCCAAGGCTGCTGCAGCTCACACCGGAGTGAAGTCTCCATGCTGCTTCCGCTTTTCTGTGCCTTTGGCAGAAAGTACCACACCGGCACAGCCTCCGAGATTTCCAGCGTCTCACGCTGGCATCTGCCTTTTTTCCGAAGGGACCCCAACCTCCTAGAGCGATACCGGCAGGGACTCAAGGGGATGCTGGCCCAGGAAGTTCCGATTGAGATGAAGCCGGTGAACCCGCCTGACGTTTTTCACCAGAACTCCCAGGAACCCAAGCAGCTCTTCTGGGTGCGTGCCAAGGGCTACATCGGTAAGACCTGCATCCTGACCCCAGCCTGCTTTCTAGGAGCAGTGTCATCGTGCCCAGGAGAGGGAAGGGTTAACTGGAGAGAGCAGACCCCTCCTTTTGGCCCTGGGAAGGGTCTCATGGTGTGGGGGGGCTCTTTCAGTGTGGGTTTCAGAAGGCCCGCCCCTCGGAGCCCATCTCTTGTTTTCTGCTGGGGGGGGGGCGTTGGGGCCATTCCTTTTGGCAGGAGAGAATCTCCTTGGAAGGAAAGCACCACCCCTTCGGGCATTGTGTTGGTACGAGTGGGGTTCTGAGTACAAGTCCGTTTGCAATAGTGGCGAATATCTGCGGCTCGGGTGTAGGATGAGGGAGAAGGTCCGTTCTCCCAGCTTGGGGGTTGGTTTCTGAACGTTTCGTTACCAGCAGTGCTGAAGAAGTTACCTAGCCTGGTAATGAAACGTTCGGAAACCAACCCCCAACCTCGGGAGAACGGACCTTCACCCTCAAAAGCGCTGGTTATGGGGCTGGCCTTAGGAACCATCTCCTGCAGAACGAACCTGCCCGCCCCCCAAGGCCCATTCCAGAGAACCAAGAGCCCAGCGGCTGCCTCACCCTCATGGAATCTCCTGCCCCCCCTCCCGTCCCCCCCCCGGTTGTTTCAGAGTGGCAGTCTGACTGGCATCGTGCTCTTTGTCCCATGTTTTCTGTGTGGCAGGCGGTTTTGTAAAACCTGCAGCTTTGGGAGGTTTACCGATTTTTAATTAATGTGAGCTTCTCAAGTTGGAATGATTACAAATACTGCAGGAAATGTATGCCAAGGACACACACACACACACACACACACACACACACACACACACGCACCCCGGGTAGGAGAGAGCTTGACCTGTTGAACAGGGCCGCCTTGCCTCTTCCAACCCAATCTCTCCCCCAGACCTGCTACCTTGCTTGGCCTCCAGGTGAGGCTGAGCCTTGCCCTCTCCCGTTCCAGGCGAATGCGACATGAAGCTGCACTGCTGCGTGGCTGCCTACATCTCCGACTACGCCTTCCTGCGGACGGCCCTGTTGCCGCACCAGCACCACAAAGTCAAGCTCATGGTCTCGCTCGATCACACTATGTGGTTCCACGCGCCCTTCAGAACCGATCAGTGGATGCTGTATGAGTGCGAGAGCCCCTGGGCCGGTAAGCGCCGCTGCCAGCCTGCGATGGGGAGTGGTGGGGCAGCAGATGCTCCAAGCGGCCGGCTGCAGCTCCTCCGTTCTCCCCTCCCCTTCCCCACAGGTGGCAGCCGGGGCCTGGTGCAGGGCCGCCTGTGGCGCAGGGATGGCGTGTTGGCGGTCAGCTGTGCCCAGGAAGGAGTAATCCGATTGGAGGAAGAGCAGCGGGGCACCAGCAAGCTGTAGCGCTGCTTTTCTTTCTTCCCTTGGCTATTCTCTCCTAACGGGAGCCCCCCCCCTTTGCACTGGCCGAGTCTTCGGTGGTTGGAGGTCGCTTACAAGGACCCCCATAACCCCTGGAGGTGGCACTTACAGATGGAAGCACTGGCACCCCACTTTCCTTGGACATATTAATTTATTGGAGACGGGCTTCTGTCCCCCGACCGTTAATAAAGGGAGGAAAGTGTCCCACGCGGCTTCGGTTTCTGAAGGGGGGGAGCAGGAGGTTCCTGGTGGCTTCACACACATCGATGCCGGAGGGGGGAGCCTGCCCACCGCCCAGGCTGCAGCCAGGAGTCCCGCCAGTGCCTAACGGCCTCCCCCCTCTAGCAAGAACAGCCTGTGGGGGGAGCCTCTTAGGAGGGCTCTCCATGCACCCCTCTGCCAGCGAGCCTTGCAGATGCTCTTGTCTCCCCAAGAGGGCAGTCATCACCTCGCTTTCTCGGAAGGATTTGGGGGTGGAGGTTTGTGGGTCTGCACCCCAGAAGCCTCTTCTGAACAGGCCAGCCAGCCTTGTCCCGCTGCCAGGCAAGCAGAGTGTGTAAGATGGCGCTGGCTCTTGCTCGCCTGGTGGATTTCCCCCCCCCCCCGCTGCTCATCCGGTGCCCCCACTTCCCGGCAGCTCCCCTCCCTTGGCAGGGGGTCAGGGCAGCGGCTGTTTGAGCAGCAGCTCCTTCAAAGTGGGTGGTGGCTGTTTGCCCTCCCCGGCTTCCCGCAGGCCGCGCAGGCGGGTCTCTGCCTGCTGCTTGTCCTTGCCCAGCCCCCAGGCCAGGTGGATGTGGGTCTGCAGGAGGGCAGCCAGGAGGGGGTGGCTCTGCTGGCCCTCCAGCTGCTGCAGGGCCTGCTGGCACGCCCCGTAGGCCTCTGCCCACTGCTCCAGCTCTTGATGGCAGACGGTCAGGCCGGCCAGCGTCAGCAAGTAATGCCCCGAGCGGCAGGCGCCCAGTTTCTCCTGCAGCCGCCGCGAGGTCAGCCAGGTGGCCAAGGCCTCGGGGTAGAGGCCCTTGCCGGTCAAGCGCTGCGCCCCCTGCAGGCTGTCCAGGAAGAAGAATTCCAGGAACGTGGCGGAGCGGCGGATCTCCGGCGAGGCGTGCAGGCGGGAGAGAAACTGTTCAAACGCCCGGCTGCGCTTGGCGATGGTGGCGGGGGTGAAGTTGTGCCACAGCTGTTTCCGGGGGAAAGAGACCCCCGCCATGTCTCGGCTGAAGTGGCGGCGCAGGCGTCGATTCAGCTGCTCGAAGTCAGAATAGCAGCGGGCGACGGCGGCGGGCATGTGGTCAAACTGCCCTGCCCGGATCAAGTAGATGGTGTAGAGCTGGGTGCCAATAGAGAAACGGGTGAAGGGGAGTGAGAAGCAGCTGCCCAGCCCAGCCTGGCCCCCCTTCCCTGTCGACACCCCCACCGGCAGGCCTCCCATGGAGGGTCCCCTCGAGTGGCAGAGACACGGGGGCAGCTCCTGGCCCTGGGAGAGAATTACCTGAGGCTCTTCTGAGCCCAGAGAGCCCAACGCAGCAGCAGAAGAAAAGAGACAACAGTCAAGGCCAGCTGCCACCCTCACACCCCCCCCCAACCCCGGCAGCCCCCTTTGGGGAGAAGAGACTGCTGAGACTGTGGGGAGCAGGTGAGCTCCATCCTTCCAAAACTGGGGGGGGGCTACATCTTGCTTTGGGCTGGCCTTCCTTGGGGGCACGCACCCACTTCCTTGCAAGCAGGGGCAGGGGGCTCCTTCCCGGTCTGCCTTTTTTGCCCCCCCCCCATACTCACCACGTGCTTCGAGCTGCGCTCGCTGACCACACTGGCATTGGTGACCTCAAACAGGAGGCGCTGGGGAACGAGGCTGCCCCGGGATTTCCGCCAGAGCTCCTGCAGCTGCCGGGTGAGCAGGTGGCTGCCCCGTTGCTCGGCCAGGGGGGAGCCGGACTCTGCACCGGAGGGGGGAGGAGAAGGGGGAGAGCAACGGCTGAGGCCGGGAGCTTGGCCTGTGGAGCCCCTGGGCTGGCAGAGGAGTCAGGGGCCCCTACTCCAAGGATCTGGGGTGGAGGAAGTTCTTCCCTCCCCAATACATGGGTGGGGGAGGGTCTTATCCAGAACTGAAACTTCCTATCAGTGAGGACAATCAACCAGTGGAACTACTTGCCACCAGAGTTGGCTGATTCGTAACTGAAGGTTTTTAACAAGAGACTGAACAGCCATTTGTCTGAAATGGTCTAGGCCAGGGGTAGGCAACCTTGGCTCTTTTATGACTGGTGGACTTCAACTCGCAGAATTCCTGAGCCAGCGTGGGGGAACTATGGCCCCCTCATGATTCGTGGACTCCAACTCCCAGAATTCCTGAGCCAGCCACACTGCGTTGAAAGGGAGAGGTTTCCAGGCTGAGCCATGCTGGCTCAGGAATTCTGGGAGTTGAAGTCCACCAGTCATAAGAAAGCCAAGGTTGCCAACCCTTGGTATAGGGCAGGGGTAGGCAACCTTGGTTCTTTTATGACAGCATGGCTCAGCTTGGAAACCTCCCTTTCCCCTCAGTGTTGCTGGCTCGGGAATTCTGGGAGTTGAAGTCCACCAGTCATAAAAGAGCCAAGGTTGCCTACCCCTGGTATAGGGTCTCCTGCTTTAGTGGAGGGGGGGTTGAACTAGAAGACCTCCATGGTCCCTGGCCGCTCTATTCTGAACTGAATTGCATTTCCACTGGAGCCCAGATTCAGCACCAGGGAGGGAAGCTGCTAGAATCTTCTCTTATAAACCGGGGGGGGGGGAGGAGTTTAAATAAATTCAGGGTGCCGGAATTATGGCGCAGGGTCTTGTCCACTCGTGAACGCTGCTTATCTGACCCCCCCCCCGGCTCAGCTGGCCCAGAATCGGACGGACACCGTTGTCGGCAGCTCACCCGCCTTTCTGCCCCCCCTCCTCGCCCCGCCCCGGGTTTAGCCTGTACCTCCGATCTCCGCCGCATCTCCGGGCAAGTCCAGGTCGCCCCCCAGCCGGGCTCCCCGCTCGCAGTCCTCCTCCTCGTCCTCCTCATTGCTGCTGAAGCTGAGGGTGCCGCTGAGGCGCGTGGCCAGCCCCTCCGTGTCGTCCTCCAGCTCCGAGCTCTCCGGACAGTCCTCCGGCCCGGCGCAGCCCCCGGCCGCCCCCCCCTCGGCCTCCCCGGGCCCGGCCAGCGCGTGCCGCAGCCGGTGCAGGAGGCGGGAGGCCATCCTGCGGGGCGGACGGAGGGGGGGAGGAAGGGGGCGCGAGGCCCTCCCCGCCGGCTCCAGCTGTGGGGGGGGGGCTTTTGCCGCCCCAGCCGTTCGTGCCCCGCTCCGGGCCTCTCCGCGCTTCCCGGGGAGGCCCCTCGCCGCCCTGCCAGGGGCTTTGGGGGCGAAGGCGCGACCCCCGGCCCGGCGCGCCCCTTCTGCCCCAGAGCCGGATGGCCTCCCCGGCCGCCGCCCTCCGCTCGGAGCCAGACGGCGGCCGCGTGGGAGCTCCGGCCCGTCGCCTGCCCGGAGGAGCCGCTGGCCGCTTCCCGGCTGAGCGGCTCACTTGCGAGGACCCCCCGCCCTCCTCGGGCCCCGGCGACGAACGTGGCGGCTCCCCGGGGACGGCGCCGCCCGCCTCCCTCGCCGCTAGCCCGGCCAAGCGCCGCCCCGCTCCGCCTCCTCTCGCCACCGCCGCTCCGGCCACGGGCCGCCTGCGGAGGGGCCGGCGGGCAGGAGCAGCGCCCGGGCCTCCCCGGCAGTCGGCCTTCCTGGCCGGCTGGCTCCGGCGCCGAGGCCGGCTCGGCTTCCCGTCTGCCCGCAGCCCAGAGGCGTCCTCGCCCTTTCGCCGCGGCGCCCGCCCGGCAGAGATACCGGGCACCGGAGCGCGCCGGTCAGCGGGCCCTTCTTGCTTCCGCCTGAATGGAGGGAAACGGCTTCGGGCGCGCCTGGGAGCTGCTCCGGCCCGGCGGCCCCTCCGGCCTGGTCTAGATCGGCTGGGCGGCCGCGCCGCCCCTTGGACAGCGGCAGGCTGGCCAGAAGCGGGCTCCGGTTCCCAGCCCGGGGCTCTGGACCCGGGCAGCTTCAGCTCCCAGAATTGTTTCTTTCATATATTTAATGACCCGTAGTCCTCGATTTACAACAGTTCATTCAGTGACGGTTCAAAGTTACAACGGCCCTGAAAAAAGTCACTCATGATGGTTTTTCACACTTAACAACCAGGGTAGCATCCTCACACTCACATGGACAAAATTCAGACAGTTGGTGACCGACTCATATTTATGATGGTCGCACAGCATCCTGGGGGGTCACCCCTTTTTGCAACCTGATCAGCAAAGTCAATGGGGGAGAAGCCAGATTCACTTAACAACCGTGTTACCAACTGAACAACTGCAGTGATTCATTTAATCACTTGGCAAGGAAGATCATAAAATGGGTCAAAACTCACTTAACAAATGTCATGCTTAGCATCAGAAATGTTGGTCTCAGTTGTGGTCGTAAATCAAGGACTACCTGTATCCTTATTCACATTTAGAAGAGATCTAAGAAATGTGTTTGTAAAAGTTACTAGCTGCCCATCTTGCCAGTGGTAACTCTTACCTTAGTCAGGGTGCCTGGCTGGGGAATTCTGGGAGTTGAAGTCCACTAGTCATAAAAGGGCCAAGGTTGAAGACCCCTGACTTATTTCTCTATTTTATTACTCCAATGTATAAAGCTGTTCATCTTACCCAATTCCATTCAGTGCAAAGTTCACCCATTGTCAAGCTGCCAAGGTAGGAGCATTCCTTTAGCAATTTTGTCACTTACAAAGGATGACTCTGGGACCCTCCCAGTTTTGCCCTAAAAGCTCCTCTCTGGAAATGTGCTAATTTATGGAAATTTGTATGACTGCCCAACTTGCTCTCCATGACCCCAGTAAGCTAACAAAGAAACTGGACCCATTTGCAGCCTGAATGAGACTTTGGAAAAAAAAAAGTGCAAAGAAGAGCAACCAAGATGGTTAAGCGCGTGGAGACATAAGCTTATGAAGAACGGTTGCAGGACTTGGGTTTGGCCAGTCTAGAGAAAAGAAGGACTAGGGGAGACATGACAGCAGTGTTCCAGTATTTGAGGGGCTGCCAGAAAGAAGAGGGGGTCAAATTATTCTCCAAAGCACCTGAAGGCAGGACAAGAAGCAACAAATGGAAAGTAATCAGGTAGAGAAACATCCTGGAACGAAGGAGAAATTTCCTAACAGTAAGAACAATTAATCAGTGAAACAACTTGCTTTCAGAAATTGTTGATGCTTCATCACTGGAAATTTTAAAGAAAAGATTGGACAGCCATCTGTCAGAACTGTTATAGGCTCTCCTGCTTGAGCACGAGCGGGGGGGGGAGGGGGGGTGGACTAGAAAACCTCCAAGGTTCCTTCCAGCTCTATTCCGATTGTGATTGATTTCCAGGCCTTCAGGAGTTCTCCCTTCCCCTCGGACAGAGGCAAGAATTCAAAAAGGAGGGACCGAAAAGCCACTGAGAGGTGATGGCAAGCAGCAAAATTAGCAGCATGGCAGAAATGGCTAAGCTCTGTGTTCTAGTCTAGGGTTGTCCAGTCTTGACACTTTTAGATTTGTGGACTTCAACTCCCAGAATTCCCTAGCCAGTCATGCTACAGGCTGAAGCTGCATTCCCTTTTTGCCAGTTATATCTTGCTGTTAACTTCTATTGAGTCAGATATTATTCCAAGACGTTCTTCACAAGGAGTAGAATAACAGAATTAGAGGTCTTCTATCTAGGCCAGGGGTAGAATACCAGTTATTGGAGGTCTTCTATCTAGACCAGGGCTAGGCAACCTTGGCTCTTTTATGACTCGTGGACTTCAACTCCCAGAATTCCTGAGCCAGCCCTGCTGAGGGGAAAGGGAGAGGTTTTCAAGTTGAGCTATTCTGGTTCAGGTATTCTGGGAATTGAAGTCCACGAGTCATGAGGGGGCCATAATTCCCTCATGCTGGCTCAAGAATTCTGGGAGTTGAAGTCCACGGCTCATGAGGGGGCCATAGTTCCCCCATGCTGGCTCAGGAATTCTGGGAGTTGAAGTCCACGAGTCATGAGGGGGCCATAATTCCCCCATGCTGGCTCAGGAATTCTGGGAGTTGAAGTCCACGAGACATGAGGGGGCCATAGTTCCCCCATGTTGCTCAGGAATTCTGGGAGTTGAAGTCCACCAGTCATAAAAGAGCTGAGGTTGCCTACCCCTGGGCTAGACCAAACAAGAGACCTTATACCATTTCAGACAATCGTTGTCCAATCCCTTTTTAAAAACCTCCAGTGTTGGAGCACCCACAACTTCCAGATCCGTGTTTTTCCACTGATTAATTGTTCTAATTAGTGGTGTTACCACAAGCCAGCCCCCCCCCCACGGGCTTTGGCTTTTCTTTCCCAAGTTAAGCCTTTTGCCTTTGTTTCCGTGACATTTCATTCTGATATTTCAACCCGGTTTCCCAAGCTGTCAGGATCGCGTTGAATAATATTTCTGCCTTCCAGGGTGTTGGTGCCCCTTCCAATTTTGTGCCATCTTCAAGCCCTCAATCGGCTTTCTTTCTTTATCCATGTCCTTGAAGAAAAATCTTGAAGAGAGGAGGCCAAGCACCGGACTACGAGGGAAGCCAAGCTTCCAGCAGTTTAATAAAAGCCACTCGCCACTCATTTTTGAGCCAAATGTTTATCGTTTTATCTGCCATGCCAGGCAGTTGTATTTATTAATTTAAATCTATTGGCCACCCAGCTGCAATGGACTCTAATCACACTTTTAAGGAAAAATGTCTCCAAATGCTTTGCTGGAACCGAGCAGGGCGTCTTCTGCCTGTGGCACACTCACCCTTGGATAAAGCCATGTCCTGATAACAAAGGAAGGGGCCATTCAGCCATTCTGGTAAGACTTGTTTTCCAGTTCAGGGAATTTCCAGGCAGGTCAGTCCCAAAGATTAGGGCAATTTATTTCCTAAGAGAGGCCTCTCCGTCCGGCCTCCAGTTTTCATCCATTTCTGCCCCAAAGCGAGGGGACGTTGGGCTTGAACACGGGGGATGCAGCCTAGAGGGAGCTGGGCTTTCCCCATTACTTCCCCCAGCCCATTTCACCCGGCACAGGGTCAGGGAAATGTCCAAATGAACTTAGAGACGCTGACACAAACGTCTAGTTTTTTTTAAATAAATAAACCTATGTAACATTTGTATTTACAGCAGAGAAGATAGACAGACGAACAGGAGCAACGTGAGCTAAATCAAATGTCAATTGCCAGTGGCAGCCCCCTCCCAGGAAGATGGGTGCATGCTCTGTGGATGTGCGTGAGGGTGGGAGTTGGGGGGCTGGCCCCTCCATCTGAGCCAGCACTTCTCCGCCTTATTTACCTCCCTGCCCCACTGCCCTCCTCAGCAGCTTTCCTTGGGCATGTCTATTAATAGGGGGAGGGCTCCAGCTGCTCCTGCCTGTCAGCCCCCCCCTCCTTAGGAATTGGGCTGCCCTGCCCCAAGTAGCCCCCCCCAACGGGGGGAGGGGGCATCCTGGTTTGCATGCAGCATGTGCAGGGGCTTCTTTGTCTCCCCTAAGCCAGGGGTCGGGGGGGGGCTGCCCTCTGGCCTTCTCCCCTCCCAGACGCAGAGAGGTGGGAAACAGGATCCCCCATAAACAAAGCACAGCGAGGGGGCAGGAATGGGGGAGAACCGCGTAGGGGCTTTAGTGGAACTGCTGCGACCTCCCTCCCTCCCTTCCCACCCCTTGCCATGCAGATTTGAGGGGGGGGCTGCTGAAATGCTTTATCCTCCTAAAGCTGAGTGAGCCAGTTTCTCCCCCCCTCCCGTCACAAGTGGGGGTGTGAATCAAGACAGCCTCCTTGGGGTTTCATTCTTGACCGCGGGATGCTGAGATGGGACAGAGGTCTATTTTTATTCCCGTCCAGGCTGGGGGGGGGGGCGGGTCAGAAGGGCAATTCGGTCTGCAATGCAGTTTCCCTCAAATTGTGGGGAATTGAACCCCCTCCCGGCTCGGACTGCCCCTCCCGCTGCGCTCAGCCCCCCTTCCCGGCCGGGAGAACCTTGGCTAAATTTGGTAAAATGCCCGGCTGACCAATCGGCAGGTGAGGCCGGAGGCGATTGGCCTCGGGCAGGGCTGCCTCTCCTGGCGCCCAATCGGAGGGGCCGGGGGGGGGCCCTGCCGGGCTCCGGGGTACAAAGGGGGCCGGGCGGGTGGCGGGGCAGCGTTTGCCACCTGCTCAGACCGGAGGGGGACACGGAGGTTCTGTTCTGTGGGTGGCTCCGGGGTGACACCTGCCAACATGGTAAGCATGGTAAGACCCCGGGCGCGGAGCCCGGTGATGGACGGCGCAAGGACGGTTGGAGCTGGCCCTCCTGCCAGGACGCCGGACGGGAGCGCCGACTGTGCACAGATGGCCGGCTGGACTGGTTGGTCGAGTGTCCGATGGGACAAGGCGGCCCCGGCGCCCAGGGCCAGCGCAGGAGCGGCGAGGAAGCGGCCAGGACACAAGCCGTGCTCTGGCGGAGCCGCTCTGTGTGAGGCCGGGGGGCAAAGCGACCCGTTGGCCGAGGCGGCTGGGGCGACTGGAGGGGGCGAGCGGCCAGGGTGGGTGGGGGGTGGGTGG